ATCGCCCGTTTTTCGAAGGACGCAATTAGGATTCTGTCCGAGCTCGAGGAATTTCTTGACGACGTCATAGAGGCCGTACTTGCAAGCCGCATGAAAATGTGTGACGCCGTCGCCGTCGTCATCGGTGTAATTCACCTCGAATTTTTCGTATATTCGAAATAGATCATCGAGAACCTCAGAACAGTATTTCTTAGTCGCGAGATGAATCGGTGTGGTGCGATGCAAAATTATCTTCCCGTTTTGATCTACCTTGGGTTCGTCCTTGTAACCGGTGTTCATCACAAATCTGATGAGTGGCTTTGGATCGAGACCGTTACAAACTTTCTGGCGTATGGACTCCATGAGAAGCCACTCAACAGCTTCGGGCCGAAAAATGTCTCGCAGATTCGGAAGTTGACCCTCGTAATCTCTCACTAAAGGATAAAGTTTACGAAGAAATTTGTGATTCTTCATTTCTTGGGCCATTGTTTTCACGCACTCGCGCAAACAGAATCGCTTATAATGCCAAACACACAATTGCAAACTCTTTATATTTTTCTTTTGTTGTTCGCGCTTCTGCGTCGTAACGTGTACAGTACGTACAATGACTCTACTGACTGTAATATAATAATTCGCTCCGTGCGTGTGCTTCGAGCCAACAAAGAAATTTATCTTATCACTCCAAGTGGAAAAGATGATCGAAATTCGCGCAGAAGCTACATTTCGAGCTATCTGTACGAGCTAAATTTTTAACTAAAACAAAAAAGTATCGAAATATCAATTTTATATTTTCCCCGGATAAACAACGAGTGACTTTTCGGGCATTTACTCGCAGAAAGAAAACATTACTTTTTTCACATTATTCGCACACCCGAATAAACCTTGAAACGATCGTTTTTTAGTATAAAGTGTGTAAAAAATATTTTCAAGGTGATCTCATCTAAATGTTAATCGTTATCGTTGTATCTTCATTGCCATCGAGGATGACTATAAAGAGATTATTTTTTCAATGATATGAACCATTCGATTTATACAATGTAACTGTTAATCAATACGTACGATGAAATGTGAAAAAAGAATATTGAAAAATTATTAAATTCCAAATTAAATGATGAAAACATTATGAAAAGTGGTAGAAAAATGAATTCGTACGATTCAGTGATGAAAATCAACCAGAAAATGTCGGTCTCATCTGTCGTGTGATATGAACATAAATTTTGACAATCACCCGTAATCCAAAGATGTGAAAAGTGTTTAACCCGAAATATTGAACAACTTTCGTAGAGTCTAGATTTTTATATCTACTAGTGGCACCTATGCCATTATTTTTATGTATTCCATAAGTTTCGAAATTTCGTCCCTTCCGTTGGCATACGTTTAAAAATCAGCACACAATCGGGGGTTTTTCTTACATTATGACCATATCGATCTACAGCAAAGGACACTAGGTGCTCTTATGTCACGGCACGGTTCGGATCCCAACGCGGGCAACCTGGATGTCAAAAACGCAGTGGCAAAAAAGTTTTGACTCGCTGAATTTAGGTTGGCCACGCAGCCGCAAATGATAAAATTTTGTTCTGTTCTTGCGCATGAAAGAGAAAAAAACGAGTGAGCTAGTGTAAAGATTTTCTTACATTTGTAATGTGAGCAAACAATTAACTCTCACCGTGATATCGACTCAATTTTGTATGTTGAGAGGAAACTCGAAGTGATCGTCTTTACGTAAATTTGAATTAAATGTTGAAACAAAATTTAATGTTGAAACAAAATTTTATCATATATACCTGCGATGCCAACCTAAATTTGACGAGGCAAAAGTATCCTTCATGTTGCAGAATTGGAAGTGATATACCTGTATTGAGCGTATTGTTATAAACACACCCTAATTCAAACATGATCTACTTTCTATTGCTATACGACATGACGTGATGTGTCGCGATAAGCTCATTGAAAACGTTAAGTTTCAAAAATCGTCGTATTATAAGAGAGAGGCTATGTTTTTTCATTCACCAGCAATGCTTTTTCAAACATATTTTTTGACAATTTTTTTTGCAGTGTGTTTAGGCGCTGATAGAACATGTATCTAATGTATTGTTATTTTTTCAATAAAAAATTTTTAAAAGCATTAAATAAGCAGCGTGCGTCACATTAAGGCAGTCACCCCTATGCTGATTTTTGTACGATTTTTTTTTCTATAGAAATAATATTTCATGAATTTATGAACTTGGCCATACGAGGTCGATGTCAGTGCAAATCGAGTCGCTATTATTATACATGACAGGTTTGCTTCGAGTAAAATGAGAAATCGATCAATTTTTTCACGAAATCTGCGCTCGATCGATAGGATAATACAATTATCGTTACGCACGTTCCAAAGCCGATCGAGTTCTCATTGCTATATGAGTCATTTCACGTTAAGTCTCCAGCGATGAGCGCGAGCGGCCTTATTAAGCCAAACTGCTTAATTTGTAACTCGTCAGAGAAGCATCTAAATGCACTTAAAAAAAAATATGATCTACATTAATTCGATGGGAAATTTTCTCAGCTTTCGATCGAGACTATTTTAAAAAAATCTTAAAAATGCCGTTTTTGAGATATTCGATTTTGAAGGTTTTCCGGCAATATTCTCGGGGAAAATGAAAAATGTTGTGGAAATTCGACCTCACCATCGGAAAGCTGAGGTAATTTCCCATTGAAATCATGTAGCTCATATTTTTTCTAGCTGCATTTAGATGATTTTCCGACGAGTTACAAATTGAGCAGTTTGGCTTAATAAGGCCGCTCGAGCGCACCTCTGGAGACTCGACGCGAAATGACTCGTATATCGCTAGTGTACCCATCACACACACATACACACACAATAGTCAATTAAGTGTAAAATTAAGAAAATTTGTATCTCGATCGTAGCGACTGTAATAATTATATACACAAAAATTCTACGAGCTGCTCGGAGTACTTCGATTCAGCTATCCTGTCGCCTATCCCGTGGAGAAGTTCGTCAAGGTCGACCGGCCGTATCCGGTGCACGTGGCGGTGCCGGTGCCGAGGCCCTATCCGGTGCCCGTGGCGATAAGGGCCCACTACGAGCCGCTCCATCATCATCATCATCGCCATCACTATCTTCATCATCATCACGACTGGTGATGCGATATTAATTATGGTTGAGATAGTAAAAAAAAAGTATCGTTGTTGATTAATTTTATCAGTTATAGGTAGGACATTTTTTTACAATACTGCTTTATTTATGTTGTTATACTCCGATACAGCGAGTTAAATACAATTTTTTATGTTTTCGTTACGCACGTTGTCTCGTACTCATAGTTATTTATTTTCCTCGCACCTATAATTCCGTCCTTCTTTCTTTCTTTTTTTTTTTATCCTCATAAGTCAATCAATTGCCGCCTATCCAAGAATCGAATCACACCCTCGCAAAAATTTGATAAATTTCGCAGACGATAGAAGAATTTTTCATGGATAAATGCGTCATTGCACGAGAAAAAGTTAATCAAACCGCTGATCGTAATTAATTCCGAGACGTATACTAGCCAGCTTATTAACTAAGAAATTTCTTCATTATCGTAGGGGTCTCGAACTTCACCTTGGCTCGCAACGATACTTCGTACGTCTGATCGATACCAGTTTCTTTTTTTTTTGCTTCAATTTTTGTTTTCTTAATTAATTTATCGATTTAATTATGATAATGATTTTATTGTTGTAGTCCTTATAGGACCGCAGACGCCCGCTGCGTCTGGCCAACGAAAACACGCGCTACGCACGGCTTCGCAACGGTATAGAGTCTCGAAGCAAAACGAATCGGAGCCACGAGCACGCGACTCACGAGATACGCAGCTTGAAAAAGCTCTCTCTCTCTGCGCTGAGTATCTCACTTTCACCGCGAGGCTCGTGAAAAATACTTTGTGCCTAATGGAGCTTGGATGTGCGATCGTGCTGTCCATAATACGTTCCAATACACAGAGACGCGTGACTATTATTTGGAACGTTCGATCTGCCGAGCCGCCCTTTTCATCCGGATGCTCCGATGCTGATTATCGAACGAATGGCAAACTTTTTTTTTGTCAATAAAGTCGAAGTAAAGAATGATTCGAATGAAGGGAAAATCAATAGATTCGATGGGTTTCTTTTTGAAATTTATTTATTCGAATGATATGAATATGTATAATGACACCAGACATTATACAACAGAGATTGCCAATATGATTGATGTCGTCAGGAGCTTAGACCTGCAGCTAACAAGCAAATATCATATAAATCTCTGTTCGTGTATGTGCCATTGGTGATCAATTCACGGTACTCGATTGGCAGTCGATCGAGGCGCGTCAGCTCCGAAAAGGAGTCCAGGGCCCATCGCCGGAAGAATCCTCTCGACATCGTCTCGCACAGATGCGCAGCACCAGCTTGACGAAGCTTATCGGGTAGGTTCCTCCATTTTTCCGAGCACGCAAAGTCATAATAATCCGAAAGGGTGAGATTTTTTTCCGCCTCTTCGGGCCTTAACTTGACCAAATCGTATAGCGACAGGTTCGGCTTCATCATCATCTCTTTTGCTTTGTTCGCGAACTCCTCGTCGTCGTACCAAGATGCATCGAGATTCATCGGCTCATAATAGAATCTGTGCTTGGTGAAAATTCCCATGATTTTCAGGGCATCGTCTCGGTTCAGTTCGTATCCTCTATTCTCGAGCACGTCGATCATATTCAGAGCACGAGACCCAATCATCAATCTATTTATGTACCTGAGATGCATGAAGATTGCAGACGACGATGGTTCCAAATCCTTAGCAAAATAATTCTCAGAGGGAAAAACGAAGCTGGACAGATCAGCGCGGTATTTCAAGAGTACATCGAGAGTTTTTGGCGCAAGGCTCAACACAGCTAATTGCAGTGGTGTACGGCCCAACTTGTCCTTTGCATGGATCTTCACCTTTCGATTGTTTTTTTCGTTGATCTTGAAGAAAAACTCGGCCAAGCCTTCGGCATCGTCGTATCGATTGCAANAATAATTATATACACAAAAATTCTACGAGCTGCTCGGAGTACTTCGATTCAGCTACCTTCGCAAGGTTATTAATTTTATCGTGTACACACACATCGAACAGCTAGAAATCATCATGATCAGCGAGATCGGCGCCGACGACGAAACGATAGTGCAGGAGCAGCTGGCCAACGTGCGCACGAGCCTGGGCGACATCGTGATCGAGCTGTTCGGCGACGAGGCGCCCCGGGCCGTGGAGAGCTTTCGCTCGCTGGCCCAGTCGGGCTACTACAACGGCCGCGGCTTTCATCGGCTCGCGCCGGGCCTGCTGATACGGACGGGTGGCGACCCCGGCGAGTCGATCTGGGCCGGCGGCCACCTCCTCGAGGACGAGTTGATCGCCAAGGAGTTGCCGAGACACGACGAGCCGTACACGGTGAGCATGGCCAGCTTAAATAAAGGCCAATTATTCATCAGCCTGAGGGAGCTGGCCGCCGAATTCGACGATCGCCAAGTCGTGTTCGGTCGAGTGGTCAGCGGTCAAGAGATCGTGGACGCGATCGGCGCGAAGAATCCCGAGGCCGATCGGCCGCCGGACGTTAAGATAATCAAGGTGCTCGTCAAAAGCAAGTACTACAAGTGTCTGTAATGATTCAATTCTTATAATTGATGCTGCCCTGATTTAATATTGATAATTATTGTATCAAATTCTGTAAATAGCAGGGGAATAAAGATGAATTTTTACTTCGATCGACAACAGTTTCTCTCGCTAGCACTCTTGGTACTCGCAAACTTGGATCGATTTCAGTAAAAATCGAGTCGTTATTATTACTTTTTTTTTCATTTTCAAACAAGACAGCCGACGAATACTTTCATTTGTTTTTTACTCAATCGATAGATAATACGGACTTACGGTAATCGCACACGCTTTCCATACAGTCCATCGAATCTCTACAGCTTATTCTCGGCTCGCACACGTCAAGTTCAAATACATACGTGTAAATTAATTTCGCAGCGATATTCTAAAGAAAATACGGCGGCGGCGGGGCAATTATTTCTATACAGGTGTGCATAAGTAAACGAGGAATGGGTAATTTTTTTTTTTTTAACCGTTGCGATTAACTTACACGCACGCACACGGGGACACCCTTCTGCTGCTCAGCAGGGCAATCATTGGCTGTCTATAATGCACCGCTCTTAAAAACACCCCCCTATAAGAGCCTATAAGATCGGGACAAAAAAAAAGAAAGAAAAGAAGAAGAGGAAAAGGCGCAGTTGCTCTCGTAGAAGCACGATAGACGGATAGAGCGTACGCGTTCGTCTCGTTAAAGTTATACGGAGATCTATCTTTTTTTAGTCTCACTCAGCTGCGGAATTTCGTCCGTTCGAAGAGATCGATAACAACCCAAAATTCTCCCATCGTCGAGCGTACGCGCGACGATCGGACGATTGGTGACTCGCGCGAGAAAGTACTTGCGCGATTCGGTGAGTTTTCGTGCCCTGCTGAGCTTTTTCAACTGGATCGTCGAGGACCCGCCTGCTGCTGCTTCTAAAAGAAGATCCAGCGGAACGATGCAGTTCAGTCTGGCGCAGAAGGCCGCCCTGGCCGGTATCGGCATGTTCGTGTTCTCCGTGCTCTACACCACGGCCATCTTTCCGACCATCTTGAAGCTTCAACTGAAGAGGGTATAAGAGAATAAAGCTCGGAAAAAATATTCGATCCTGATTTAAAACGAATGAATTTATAGAAAGTCGCGCTGAAGAAGGGCTGGATGATGCGCGACACCTGGAGCAAGTTCCCGTTCGTCGTCAACATGAACTTCTACATGTTCAACGTGACGAATCCGGACGGCATCAAGGAGGGCGAGAAGCCGATCGTCCAGGAGGTCGGCCCCTTCGTGTACGAGTGAGTCGATCGCCCGATGCGGAGCATCTGAATTTTTTTTTTTTGGTCCATAATTATTAGCTTTAACGCTCGTGTTTATCCGTATAGCAAATACCACGAGAAAACGAATCAGGAGGATCGCGACGAGGACGACACGATATCCTTCACCATGAGGGACACGTACTTCTTCAACGCGGAGAAGAGCAACGGCTTGACCGGCGACGAGGAGATAATCGTGCCGCACTATCTCATCCTGGGCATCGTCAACGCCCTGCTCAGGACCAAACCCACGGCCGTGCCCATAGTCGGTAAGTTATATATGAATCCACCTTTGAGGAATGGGATCTACTTTTGTTTTTTTTTTTTCGTTCACTCAGGCAAGGCGGTGGACATAATATTCTCCAAGCCCAACAGCATATTCATCAAGGCCAAGGTCAAGGACATACTGTTCGACGGCCTGTTCATCGACTGCACGGCCAAGGATTTCGCGGGTGCGGCCATCTGCTCGGAGGTCAAGGCCGCCCACGAGGAGTTCGGCCTGAAGATGGTCGCCGAGGATCAGTACCTGCTCTCTTTATGGGCCGCGCGCAACGGCACCGACGCCAAGGCCCGCCTGCGCGTCAAGCGCGGCCTCAAGAACATCATGGACGTCGGCAAGGTGGTCGAGTACGCCGACAAGGCCAACATCTCCGTGTGGGACGACGACTACTGCGACCAGTTCAACGGCACCGACGGCACCGTCTTCCATCCTAAGTTCGATCGACGCGGCGCCGACGACATCGTCGCCTTCAACACGGATCTCTGCCGCAGCGTCAGCTGTCGCTTTCAGGCCAAGAGCAAGTTCAAGGGCATCAGGACGCTGCGCTACTCGGCGGATCTCGGCACCGACGGGGAGCACAACGAGCTGCACAAGTGCTACTGCCCGGAGCCCGACAAGTGCCTGAAGAAGGGCGCCTACGACCTCATGAAGTGCATCAAGCTGCCGCTCGTGCTCACCAATCCGCACTTCTACATGGCCGATCCGTCGTTCTCGGAGCAGGTGGACGGCATGAGCCCCGATCCGGTATACATACATATTTATGGATTTTATTCGATGCATTATAGATCGCGCGCGGAGCTTATAGTCGTTGCGCGGCGAGAGACCTTATAAGAGCAAGCCTCATTAATTATTATTATATCGCTTGGCGCGCGCGCGCGAGTAATTAATCCAAAGTCACACGCGCTGCTATCGTTATTATTATTATTATTATTATTATTATTATTTTTTTTTGTTAAAGGCTAAGCACCAGATGCTGATCGATCTGGAGCCGCTGTCGGGTGCCCCGGTGCAGGCCTGCACCCGGGCCCAATTCAACATGTTCATCATGCCCGTGCCCAAGTTCAAGCTCATGAAGAAGTTCCCCGACGCGCTGCTGCCCCTGTTCTGGTTCGACGAGCAGATCGTGCTGCCGGACTTTCTGCTCAAGGAGATACGCGGCGGCGCGGTCATGTACAAGATGGGAAAGTGAGTGCGATGAGAATGTATATAGGGTAAAACGTATCGGTACTCGACCCGCTTGAGAAAAATTCGCACTTTAAATTGACCTAAAAAGGAAAAGTTTCGAAAGAGTACTTGCACTTGATCCAAAAAGCTTGTAGTTAATGACATCAACTTAAAACTTGCTTATAATTTTATTTTTGAAGGCTGAAAGCATTATAAATGGACATAATGCTGTTGTATTGAAATGCATCAGGAACCTATTTTCGCTCTTAAAAATTGAATTGACACACTTATCTATAAATCATTAAAGTTTATTGGAAGTTGTTGATTAAATCATTTTAATCACGTTCACGATTCTGCCGTTTTTTATACAGACAAACAATTGATTTTTTGGGATCGGTTTGGGGAGTAATTTAACTCATAATTTTATGAGTGTTGATTTTCCACGAAAATCTAAGATAAAACGATGATTTTTAAGATTTATAATGATTTAAAATAAGTGAAATTTTTCTACGCTAATTTCAAATCTGTGGAGCTGAATTCGTCTAAAGATGACTATTTTATCAAAGCCACAATGCAATTTGAATCGTACACAAAGTGAAAAAACCTCGACCATGTGGTTGAATTCTAAACGATCTCTTTCATTGAAGTATTACGGCAAAGTTTTAGATCGTATAAATAAAAGTTTAACGATTCAAAAGTGCAGCTATAATTTTTTTCTGAAAATATGATATTTAAAAAAGTGAAAAAAATGTTCTTCACGTCATCATTTAATTTTAATTACTATTTATTTGAATAATATCTCACTGTGGTCGATTATTGAAGCGTATTTGGGCATCGGTAGGTTTACCCTATTATAACGCTCATAAATCGTTAATATAACGTTGAAAATTCGCCAATCCAGGATGTTCGGCAAGTTCATGATGTTCGGCGGACTGCTGATGATCATGTCGGGCGGTGGCCTGTTCGTCAAGCAGAACTACGTGGACAAGGCCAACTCGAAGACGACGGTGCAGGGCAGCAACGTCGGTAACGGCCACGGCAACGGCGACGCCGAGAAGAAGATGAATATCAGTACGGTACAGGCGCCGATACCGCCCAACATCAGTTAAAAAACAAAAAACAACAAAAAAAGCATCTTATTATTTTCCGTGCAAAAGAGAACGTATATCATATACTTGTAAATAATGTACATACACGAGGTGGGAGATATATAATACATAAGCGAATTATCGATCGCATTAGTAGTGCGATAGGATAATTGTATCGTACCTATAGAGCCAATTACAGTTCGTTCGGTACATATATGCTATTTTACATTCGTTATATAGACGACTGAAAGTTCGCCCGGACACCACCGAAAAAGTGCGATCGCAATTTTTCAATTAACGTATAGCGTGGCTAGTCGGGTTATCAGTGATACGCGTCGATTGGTCTAATTGGCATTGCCGACTGACTAAAGTACTGTATTAAGTATCTGAGTTATCGCTAAATGGCGCGTGTCCGAACTTTTTCGGAAATCGAAAGAGAAAAAGCCGAGTTATTGGCACATATATGCGAGCTTTGTTTTACATTGCTGTCTCAGCTCGTATTTGTGAGCACCACGGCGAGCTTTCGGTCAGAGTACAATGAAAAGTTACACACATATATTTTGTCGAATCAATTCCGATGAGGTATCGATCTTGCAAAAAAAAAAAAAAAGATTTCACGACTCACGCGTAAGTTCTACATAAATCGACTATATTTTTATTGCGCTTGAAAACTCGTCGAGTTAAAAGTCAAGCGCGGGGCACGGATTGTACGAAAAAAAAAAAGTTCTAATATCGCCGATACACGTAACGAGCACTATATAGAATATTGAACGCACTCTCGTAAATAGTGTAATGTTGTACTTCTTAGCTTTATTACGCAAAAAAAAAGAGAAAAGAAGGCGAGCAAATCCTGTTTTTATTGCTCCATAGAATTCAATGATCGTTACTTATAATCCTCATGTATTTTCATTGTGTACTCTATCAGTTGGGTTAATAAAGTTCTCATTTCAAAATTCGCATTCTCGTCATTCACGAAAATCGTATCAATAACAATGAGTTTACACCTCGACTGCGACGACGAATATTGCGTTTCGCCCCCCAAAAAAGAAGGAAAAGAAATAACAATTACATCTAATTGCGTTCTCTTCGACATATAATAAAATTTTTTTTTTCTTATTCTTTCCAAGTATGCAAAATTCACGAGGCTTATCGACGCGCCCGTGACATTCTCCATTCGGCCGACGTGTTATAAACACACGCGTTATTTCATATATAATAACAATACGCAGTCGGGGAGCTTTAGGCCTCACCCCCGGCGGAGTTGGTTCGTTCGTTTCCTCGCGGGCGACACGCACGCATCGACTCGACGTGCAGCAGCAGTTCGGCTTTCGTAGCGCTATAAGAAGGGCACGGAATCGTTCTTTCTTTTTTGTCTTTTCTTTTTTTTTTTCGCACGTTTCTTTTCGAGTGTATCATGTTTCCGTTGTAATTTCGTGATTCGCGCCAATGCCAACGATCGATTGTAAAAGCGCGACGACGACTTTGACGGCGAAGGTTTTGAAATAATTGGCGGGAAACGACGTGTAATACACACAGGCCGACGTAATTGTATGCCATCATCTCTCGACACGATGCACGATGCGACTGGCCAGCATACAAAAAGTCGGAGCGGCCGGTTCCTGCTTCTTTCTGCTCGGCCTGATCATGCAGACGCAGATCTCGCCGGCTCTCCTCCAGTACGCCACCAAGAAGGTGTTTACTTTAACTATACAATACGGCACAAGTATAATTTTAATTACGATATAACACACGGATACACAAGTATAAACGGGCACGTGTATGTGTGTAAAGTGCGAAAAGTCTATACAGCTGCCCATGAATGCGATCGATTTTCCCGCAAGCTCTAGAGCTTTATAACACACGCGCGCAAGCTCACGCACTTATGCCGCAGCTGTGTATCGCGTGTGAATTATTAACGAGGAGCTCGTTCGAGCTTTTATATTATTATTATTATTATATAAAATATATATATATATATGTGCGATAGAGCGTCTGCCTGAAAGAGGGAAACATGTTCCGCTCCATATGGTCGAAGCTGCCCTTCGCCATTGAGTTTCGCGTCTACATGTTCAACGTGACAAATCACGAGGACGTCGAGGCCACGGGTGCCAAGCCGATCGTGCGCGAGATCGGCCCCTACGTTTACGAGTCAGTGTTAAGCTTATACACGAATTAATATAACATAATTTCCGGTCGCGATGTATATTGATGAGAAAAAAATTAATAATTAGCATGTGGCACGAGAAAATCAAGCAGAGGGATCGGGACGAGGACGACACGGTGGCGTTCATGGTCAAGGACACGTTCTACTACAACAAGACCAAGAGCAAAAAGTTGACCGGCGACGAGGAGATCATCGTGCCGCACTACTTCATGCTCGGCATGATACACACGATACTCAGGGTGCATCCGACCACCCTGCCGTTGATCGGTATGATACATATTGAATAAAGAGAAAATCGCGCTATTGTATGGTTTTGACTTTTTTATACATTTAGTCAAAGGCCTGAACAGCATATTCCGCAAGCCCAGCAGCATGTTCATCAAGGCCAAGGTCAGGGAGATACTGATCGACGGCCTGCCGATCGACTGCAACGTGACGGACTCGGCGGGCCTGGCCATCTGCAACGAGCTCCACGCCAAGTGGGAGGAGTACCACCTGAAGAAGCTCGACACCAAGACCTTCGCCCTGTCGGTCATCGGATGGGTAAGTCGCAACGTACACGCGGGCCCCTATATTACAGTGCATTGTAATATTTTTTTTTTTTTGGCTTTTCAGATGAACGCGTCGGAGGACGGCGACGAGTACCGGGTGAAGCGGGGCATCGCCGACGTCATGGAGGTCGGCAAGATCGTGGCGCTCAACGACCAGGACAAGCTGTCGGTCTGGGACGACGAGGTCTGCGACTCGTTCCACGGCACCGCGGGCATACTGTACCAGCCGTTCTTCGACAAGACCGGCAAGGACGTGCTGGCGATCTTCGCCTCGGAGCTCTGTCGCAGCCTCGTCGTCTATTACGAGTCGATCGGCCAGTTCAAGGGCATGCGCACGCTGAGGTACACGGCGGACTTCGGCGTGGACGTGGACAGCCATCCGCATCATCGCTGCTACTGTCACAAGTCGGCCAGCTGCCAGATGAAGGGCATATTCGATCTGTACAAGTGCGTCGGGACGCCGATAATCGTCAGCCATCCGCACTTCTTCGACGCCGATCCGTACTTCATCACGACCGTCGAGGGCCTGTCCACCGATAAGGTTCGTTACCTGGTTTTTTTTTTTGCGGTAAAAATTGATTCGATATCTTTTGTATAACGCGCGCAGAAAAAGCACAAAATAATCGCCGATTTTCATCCGTCCACGGGAGCCCTGATAAACGCCAACTTCCGGGCCCAGGTGAACATGTTCCTGACCAAGGTCGAGAAGTTCAAGCTGATGCGCAACTTTCCCGAGGCGCTGCTGCCGCTGTTCTGGGTCGACAACGTCGTCATACTACCCAAGTGGATACTGCGAATACTGAAGATGAGCGACAAAATCATCACCTCGATGGAGTGAGTTTCCTCGGTTAATAATAATTACAGCATCGTCGCGCAGCTCGACAAAATAATTTATAATCAAAATTACGCGCGCAGACTCGTCAACTTCACGATGATATTCGGCGGCCTGGCGATGCTGCTCTTCGCCGTGTTCCAGTATCAGCAGTCGATCCACGTGACGAGCCTCGTGCTCGAGCAGAAGAGCACGCAGACCGACGCGCAGGCTGGCTCGACGGGGCCGGCGGACGGTCACGACGACCACGCGGCGCAGCAGCAGAATCTGGTGATGACGCTGACCAGAAACGTCGATCGCGAGGCCGACGAGCTGGCCGAGGGCCGAGCCAAGACGGCCGTTTACCATCAGAACAGCATCTCCGTGCAGCCGAGAGCCTACTCGTCTTACTTGGAATAGTGTGGGATAATACGGCGCGCGACGACGTTAAACTTCTTTTTGCTTCTTCTCCTTTTTCTATCCAATTTTTGTACTGTATACATTTACAAATGCTGATGTTTTCAAATATCTCCGTTAATTAATTATATCATGTATTATAATACGTAAATAAACGAGAAAAACATTTTATTTGGAACAGTTTTATTTCGATTCCACGATTCTTGGTGTAAATAAAAAATAATAATGTTGAATTCATTGTGTACAGTATGAATTAATAATGAAGACGAGAGGGCAGTCTATGCTATTGCATAAAAAATGTTCCAGCAAGAAACAAAAGTCTGAATACAGTTGGTTCGTTACAGGTGAATAAATATAAGAAAAATTTCTTTTTGATTTTAAACATTAAATAATTAAATCATAATTATCAGTTGAAATGTTAATTTCTCTGATGAATGAAATCGACGCAATGGGCATACTCAAGCGGGTGATTTCAGACATTTCGTCGGTAGAGTTTTTACTGCCGCTTATTTTACGTCTCATGGAAACGATGATTCTATTAGCAACATATATGAATAGAAAAAACATTCTCGTGGTACCAAAATAAGGAATATATAAAAGATAATAAATCCCAATGAAAAAATTGATAGTCATTCAGGGATGTACGAACGTATAAATAAATTGTGTTGGTGATTTGTTGGAATTGTGGATTATTTAAAAAATGAATAAATTTTGTTTTCGCTTTTCTGAATAAATTTGTACGACATGTTAATATTGACTAGAAGTTAATATTTTTTATTAATATTTTAGATTTTACCCATGAAAGAAATAATTAATAACCGTATTTTTCGGAAGAAGCTCTTTGTAAATTAATTTGCGACACTTTTTATTATCTTCTAATAGTACAGATATAACAATTGGCATTAACCAAGTAGAGTACATCATTTAACGTAAGTGCTTCTGTAAGAGCGTACAGATCAATTTATAATTAATGAATTTAATTTTTTAGAAAAGCAGTAGCAAATGAATGTATTTATTAATCACATAATAGTCAAATTTTTTCACTAGAATTCATAATCTAGAAAAAGGACAGTGCCATATTTCACTAATATTTCACACGTAAAAATAGGAAAATTAAATTTTTAAGAGGAAGCTCTTTTCCAATATACTGGAAGCTATTTTCATCCATCATTGATGTAGTTAAATTTTTGGCATGCATTTGAATGAGTCAAACAGGTTGGCATGCGGTATTTAGGAATAATTCTTGCTTCAATGCAAGGATTTTCTCGCAGCAAATCGATACAGGGAATAGGTGCTGGGAAGATTTTTCACAGTCACAACCAAATCGATAACAGTTTGAAATATTTTATTATTTTTTACTAAATTGTAATATTTATATAATTTTTTTTAATTTCGTAGCATACTCATGTGATTGTAGAAGCTTCATTGCGTCTAAATGTCTCGGAAAAAATCTCACATTCAAAAATTTGCTTCCATCTTCATGTACTCTCTTAATATATGCCTTTTCAGTAGATTATGGTATCCAAATGATTCTTGACAAATCTCACATTCAAAAGATTATCTACAATTATGTACCTCCATTATATGTTTTTTGAGATTCTCCTTATGTCCAAATGATTTGTGACAATTGTCACACTCAAACGATTTGCTCTGATTATGTACTGTATTTATGAGTTTCGAGGTGTTGTTTTTGTCCAAATGATTTGTGACAAATCTCACATTCAAAGGGTTTGCTCCGATTATGTACTACGTTTTTGTGATTTTTGAGTTTACTTTTTTCTCCAAATGATTTGTGACAAATCTCACAATCGAAGGGTTTGCTACGATCGTGTACGGCATTTATGTGAGTTTTGAGATTGACTTTTTGTCCGAAAGATTTATGACAAATGTTACATTCGAAGGGTTTGCTCTGATTATGTACTGCATTCACGTGTCTACTGAGGTTACCCATGTATCCAAATGATTTGTGACAAATCTCACATTCAAAGGGTTTGGTCCGATAATGTACTACGTTTTTGTGATTTTTGAGTTTACTTTTTTCTCCAAATGATTTGTGACAAATGTCACACTCGAAAAGTTTGCTCCGATTATGTACTACATTTAAGTGACGTTTAAGGTTGACTTTTTGTCCAAATGATTTGTGACAAATCTCACATTCAAAGAGTTTGCTACGATCATGTACAGCCAATATATGAGTTTTAAGATGACTTTGGTATCCAAATGATTTGTGACAAATTTTACATTCGAAGGGTTTAATACGCTTATGTACTGCATTTATGTGAGTTCTGAGATGATTTTTGTGTCCGAATGATTTTCGGCAGACGTCACACTCGAAGGGCTTTAAGTGATGTTTGAGGGTGACTTTTTGTCCAAATGATTTGTGACAAATCTCACATTCAAAGGGTTTAGTAAGATCATGTACTGCTCTTATGTGTCTATTGAAATCACTTTTGAATGAAAATGATTTGTGACAAATCTGACATTCAATGAGTTTGATTTGATTATGTACAGTATTATTGTGTCTCTTAAGATCAGCATTGTATCCAAATGATTTGAAACAAATACCACACTCGTAAGGTTGGATACGATGATGTACTGTATTTGTGTGATATTTAATGGTACTTTTTTTGGCGAATGATTTGTGGCAAATTGTACATTCAAGTGGTCTTATACTCTTATGGGTCGAGTTGATATGTGCAATTAAACTCGCTTTTCCGTTATAAACTTTTTGACACGTTTGACACTCGTAAAATAATTTACCTTGAGTCGTTTTTCTAAACCTTTTAGTACCTATATATTCATCTAGCTTCAATTGGAACTTTTCTTGAAATTGACAATTATTATGATAATCGAAATCTTTCTTTATCAAAATTATAAGATTTTTACCACTCAAGTTATTAGTCTGAATTCGATTTTCCATTTTCACAATAGGTAGGAAACTTTGATATTCAGTTTTGTAGATGGTTTTTGATCGAGACTTTGGTTCAAGTTTAACATCTTTGTACTCAATATCTATGAATATTTGTTCGTCTAACTTTTCCTTTATTGCCATAACCTCATTCATGTGATTTTCCTAAAAGTGTAATTGTGTAATCATTGTAGATAGTGATAAATTGGAACATAATTCAAATTATTACGATAACTCACAGATGATTTGCAAAACGGTAATGACAAAAAGTTTTTATCTTCGCAAGGGTCCACCGAATTAAAAATATAATCGTCACTTGCATCCAGACAATTATCTTTCGGTTCTTTCTTCACCCTAAGAAACAATTCAATTTAATGACGAAAAACCCCTTTGAAAAAGTATCGTATCTTGAACATAAAATGTTATACCTAACTGTGTCTTCTCTGTTTTCCATCTCGCCCTTGATAATATGTATTTTCACTATAAATGTTCACGATTGTATCGACTGCAAAAATATTCGAGGTTAAACGCTTCACAAAGTCAGCACTATAACCGATGTAATTTGTAAACACTTGCTTAGTTACTGTAGGAATTTACCTTTTCGCTATTATAGTGACTGAACGCACTACTCGTATATTATTGAGGTGATCACGCAGTTATGATAGCTCCTGGGCGATACTTTCCCCCTCCAATGTCGATTGATACTGCGATACAGACACTCGCATATCAAGTAGACCAAAATTGAAATGAAAGTTGCACTCATTCAGGCGCACAATGGCTTATACATTTTTTGCGATTGAAACCGAAAAAAAGCTTACAAATTTTTGTACTGAAATTTGAAAATTTTAAAAGAAGAATATCTTATTTAATTAATATTTAAATTTAAGAATAAGAATAATTTAATTTTCAAAAAAAGGCTTTGTCACTGTATCGAAAGCGACTTTTTCGATTATCTAGACCTCACGAAACAAAGTTTGAAAATTTTTTCTCTTAAAAAGGTTGTTAATCCTTTCTGTCATCTCTTGCAGAATTATATTTCGAAATTTAATCGTTCGACCAATTCATACGCTTACAGAGCATTTTTTATTCAACATTGAAGAAATTTTAAAATATTTCGAACGCATAATTCATTTCAGCTACGCGAGTTCCTCCTCAAAAAGAATACTTACCTACAATTTATATTCAAGCATCGTATGAATTTTTAAAATAAAGTTGCCCCACTCTCCTCTACCTTGGCAATAGCTTTACTCGAAAAAATGTCTCGGCGTCGAATTAATTTTTCAGATCTATTCAGAGTGCAAAAACTTTAACTTTAATTCATGCCGCGGACTTTCTCGAACTGCATCGTTGCTTATCCCCACACGACTTTGATGCATAATAAATTCATGGGTAAACAAATGACTATTTCATTGGCCTGGCTAAGTTTTCATTGCACGCGCGAGCATTATAATCACTGCTAGTTTTGTTTCAGAGCTTTGATAAACAGGAACAGCGTTGAAAAATGTCGAAAAATGTGCGAGTTTAGCTTTTAGATTTTTTATCTTATTTTACTTTTTTTTTGGAATATTTTTCATTTCTGTTCGCACGAAAAACACTTTTTCAATACGAAAAAAAAAAAAATGCTGCCGATTCTGTCGACGCTGACGAAGAAGCAAAAGTTGGGCGTGATGGGTCTGTGTCTGTTCTTCGGCGGTATCCTCATGCAGACGACCCTGACGCCGGCGATGATGAAGATGGGCACGAAACAAGTGAGTTGTGGTGGCGTCCGCGCGTGCTCATCGACAAAAAAAATCCCTATAAAATTCTCGATCATTTTCCATCCTGTGAATCGTCCGTAACAGATATCGGCACTGAGAAAGGGCGGCGTGATCCGCAAGATCTGGAGCAAGCTGCCCTTTCCCATCGAGTTTCGCTTCTACATGTTCAACGTGACGAATCCGCGGGAAATCGACCAAGGCGCCCAGCCCATCGTGCAAGAGGTCGGGCCCTTCATTTACGAGTAAATACAATAATAACATTTTTTTCTCGGTTACGCTAATCTCCGTGCGAGCTTGAATTTTGCGTTCTCGATAGGATCTGGCACGAAAAGGTGGCGCAGGCGGACCGCAAGTCGGACGACACGGTGGAGTATCGCGTCAAGAACACGTACTACTACAACAAGGAGCTGTCCGACCCGTTGACGGGCGACGAGGAGATCACAGTGCCGAATTATTTTTTACTAGGATTAGTTAGCGCAATTATGAAAATACGAAAGAGCGCCTTGCCGCTGATCGGTAAGTCGATTTCGTCAAAGGAGCCAAGTGGATTACACCTCGAATTGGTTCCTATTTTTTTTTTTTTTATCGCGTTGCTTCGCAGTGAAGGGCCTCAACAGTATTTACAAAAAACCCTCGAGCATATTCATGCAGGCGAAGGTCAAGGACATACTGTTCGACGGCCTGACGATCGACTGCAACGTGACGGACACGGCGGGCTCGGCCATCTGCTCGGAGGTCAAGAACAAGTGGGAGGAGTATCATCTGTACAAGTTCGACGAGGTCACCTTCGCCATGTCCCTCATCGGATGGGTGAGTCTCGCGCGAAAATTTTTCGATTCGCGCTCGTTATTATAATAATATTATTATACGCGCGCGACACACAGATGAACGCGACGGACACGATCGATCATTATCGGGTGAAGCGCGGCATCAAGAACATCATGGAGGTGGGCAACGTCGTCGAGTACAACGGCAAGACCAACGTCTCGGTGTGGAACGACGAGTTCTGCGACACGTTCTACGGCACCGACGGCACGATTCTCCATCCGTTCTTCGACAAGAAGGGCCGCGACACCGTCGACGTGTTCGTCGCCTCCATGTGTCGCAGCCTCTTTCTCCGGTACAAGAGGAAGAGCCGCTACGCAGGTAGATTAAAATTATATCGTTGCGTGCTTAGCGTACTCGCGGATATAGGAATGAATTTTTAATATTATACCGGCAGAGATTTTAATTCTTCGATTTTATGAGTGAATTCACATAATACAATCTTCAGACAAGATGGTTGATACACAATCGCGCTCTTACGTACAGCCGTACTTTAAAATACGCGGCTTCCTTACACGCGGGTCTCGCTTTATGCTACTATTTTGACTTTGACACTTGCAGATTTACAAATAAAGGTAGTAGCCACCTGGCGGTAAAAGATATTGGTTTCATTTTCATGACGTTTTTGAGCAAATTCAATAAAAAATTTAACTTTGAGTAAAGATTTAAATCTTTAGGTTCATTTTTTCATTGAAAATAATGTGGACGATTGCTTTTTCTTGCTTTTTTTGTGCACTTTATTTAAAAAAGTAAATCAGTACCGATATATTCATTTTCAACGAAGATTTCATGTAAAAGTATCTAAAATGAAATTCAGTGTTGATTACTTTAACTTCTTTTAACAGTTTATATTTGTTAGTGTGTACAAGAGGGTGTGTACAACATTGATTTCGCCAATGAGTAGCTTCCTTCTAAGCTGAACAGTGACGAAATTAATATTCATTGTTTTTGTAAGTACATTAAAATCGATTTTCGGGTATCTTAGTATCATTTTAAGAAGTCGTTTAACATTAATGGTTGTAAGTTTTCACGCGCAGGGCTTAGTTAAATTTAGCATTAAACCTAGACTTTCAAATGATTTTCTTGCAATTTTGCGAATGGTGAATGTAAATTAAAGAATTAAAAATGGAAAAAAAAATTTATTCGCTAAGTACAAAAGTGTTTGTGGGTAAATTGATTTGAAATTGACATGATTCTAGAGACACTTTTTGTTAACAAATACCAACTTTTTTTACATCAAAGCGTATAAGAATTTATAAAGCACGAGTATAGTATGCGAATAAATTATTGACACGTTTTTTTTTAACATTGACGGCAGTGTAAGTTTTCCATTACTTGTCTTAGTATATTCTTTTCAAACAAAGCAAAACGATTTTAAAGGGATTTTAAGGTCAAAGTGAAAAAAATTTCAAATAATTTTTTCGAAGTGAAGACTATTCGTGCGTATAAGACACCCACTTAATATAATGTTATGAAAAAAAAATAAATAAATAAATAAAATAAAATAAAATAAAATGAATAAAAAAGTATTTTTTTCTCCTCCGAAGGCATAAGCACGCTACGCTACGAGGTGGACATCGGCACGGACATGGACAAGTACCCGGAGCAGAGGTGCTACTGCGAGACGCCGGACGCGTGCCCGGACAAGGGCACCTACAATCTGTTCAAGTGCGCCGGCCTGCCCCTGATCGTGACCAATCCGCACCTCATGCACGTCGACCCGACCATCGCCGAGACCGTGGCCGGACTCGAGCCGATAAAAGTACGCGCGTAACCAAGTTTTTCTATCGCACGCGAGATTATATCGATTTTTTTTAAAATTTATGTCCCAAAAGAGCAAACACACGACGATGGTCGATCAGGAGCCGCAGACGGGCGCCATACTGCAGGCCTACATACGCGCCCAGTTCAACTTCTTCATCGGCAAGGTGGAGAAGTTCAAGATCATGAAGAACTTGCCGGACGCGCTGCTGCCGCTGCTCTGGTTCGATCAGATAATCATTCTGCCGCGCTGGATCGTGCGCCTCATCAAGATCGCCTACTACTTCAACAAGTTTCAAACGTACGCGAACACCGCAACAACAATCGAGAAAATTAAAATTAATTACTTGCGAAATTGATCGTAAATATTTTTCTTCTCGCAGATTGATGAATTACTCGATGATGCTGGTCGGCCTCGGGCTGTGCGGCTACGCGGGCTACGACTATTACAGATCGCGCCAGGTGACCAAAGTCACGACGAGCGCCGGCCGCAGCTCGGCCGTCGAGGTGCTCGGCAAAAACAATAATCATCACGATAACAACGACGATCGCGATCAGAATCAAATGTACGAAGAGGAGCCGGTGACGCCGATCAGCAACTGGACCCCGGCGAAACAGGAGGTGACGAGGATCAACGTCGTCAGCAGGAACGGCAGATTTTTCGATTGATGGATTAAGAGAAAAAATTACTTTTTTTTGACAAAAATATATAAGCTTGATGATGAAAAAAAAAAGAAAGAAGTAGACGATTGAAGAGTTTGATTTTACACCCTCTATTCATCGGCGCGTTAATTTTTTACAATTCTATATCGGGCGCTACGCTCTTGTTAAGCTCTCACTTTTACGTTGCAGTTCCTTTTTTAAAATTGCCAGAGCTCGCGCAGTCGCTTTATGTATCGGTTACAATACGTTCGAGTCTCGCGAAAACAATCGTTATGAAAAAATCATCGACATTGATCTACGGTATCGTGGCGCCGAAGGCTGCGTGAGCGTCAGAGGGGTGTGCGTGAATAATTGCACTCCTTGCATTAATTACTTCATATAGCTCGTGGTTTGCGATTTTGCGGCGACGAATTTTTTTTTTTTTTTTTTACATTGCTCCTAAATCGCAATGCGCAATAAAAACTCTGAAGAATAAAAACAATAATACAATGCGTTTGGAAGCAAGCTCGTGCGAGTAAGTATGCTTCTCCACGGTGTAATCGAGTTCCTTCAGAAGATAAGAGCTGGACTAGGGTCCACTCGCGTCCAGAAGCTGAGGATCACAGCCGTCGTGCTGATCGTGTTCGCCCTCCTGGTAAAGTACCTCGTGGCACCGAGGACCACAAAATTCGCCGTTAGGAGAGTGAGTTACGAAAAACACCGGTGCACAATTTTGTCGTTGCTGGCACAGAATTATGTCGTTATGGTATTTGCAGAAGATCGCTTTGAAGCCCGGCTGGCAGATGCGCGGAATCTGGGCCAAATTTCCCTTCGCTATGATCGACCACTGCTATCTGTTCAACGTGACGAATCCCGAGGGGGTAGCCAACGGCGAGAAACCCGTCGTCAAGGAAGTCGGCCCCTTCATTTACGAGTAAGTTTTACAAGACGTTGGAATTCGGGTTTTTTTGGGAAATGTTAATTTTTTTTTATTGCAAAGAAAGTGGCACGAAAAGACGAATCTGCAGGATCACGAGGAGGACGAAACTGTCTCATACACCGCCAAGTACACGCATTACTACGACAAGGAAAGAAGTGGAAGTTTGACCGGCGACGAGGAGATAATATTTCCGAACTTGTTCGCCCTCATTCTGATTGAAATCGTCGCGAGGACCGATCCGACAACGATGCCTTTAATAATTAACTTATTTAACGATTCAACTAATTTAAAAAATTTCAAAAATTTAAAAAAGTTTATTTTAAATTGATTAAATTTTTTTTGAGAAAAATTGGGAAAGTCAATGTGCTATTGAGGATTTTTGAATCATTTTAATAATTGAATAACTGAAAGCAGAATATTGTGGACTTTTATGAATTTAGAGAGAGATTAATTCATGAACAAACAAACGCGAAGTCAGATATACATTGAGATAGATTTAAAACAGTCAGTGTGGTTTTTATCTGTACAAAATTTATTGATTTATAATTGTAAAAACTAGGAGATTATTTTTTATGTAGTTAATACATTTGAAGAAATACAATACGAGATATTGAATGACAATTTTTTCATCAATACTTTTAAAAAATATACCAGATTTCACATTGCACTTTTGATGCAAGGGAACATGAGTCAGCGATGAGCCACATTGATGTGCATTTTAAGATTTTTCTTTTGTGAAAATGATTTACCGCATTCGTTACATGTGTAGATATTACTTGGGTGCGACAATTTGACATGTTGTTGGAGACTAGACAAATTTTCATATTTTTTCCTGCAAATATCAAATTCATGCGAAATACCGTTGTGCACCGCCTTGATGTGGGTTTTTAGATAATTTTTTCTTGTGAATTTATTTCCGCATATATGACATGCGTGAGTGACTCTATTGTGTATTGAATCGATGTGCTTTTTGAGATGAGTCTTTTGAGTGAATTTTTTTCCACAAATATTACATTCATGTGTAACACCATTGTGCACTGAATCGACGTGGATTTTGAGATTATTCTTTAGCGTAAATTTCTTCTCACATATATCACATGCATGCGTGATTTTATTATGAACCAATTCGATGTGTATTTTAAGACTATTTTTACTTGAGAATTTCTTTTCACATGTATTGCATGCATGTGTGATGCAATTGTGCACCATATCTATATGTCTTTTGAGAGTACCTTTATGGGTAAATGACTTTCCGCATAAGTCACATGAATGCATCACATTAACGCCATTGTGCACTGAATCGACGTGGCTTTTGAACTGCTGCATTTGTGTATATTTCTTCTCGCATATATCACATGCATGTGTGACTTTATTGTGCACTGCATCAATATGGATTTTGAGATGATACTTCCGTCTGAATAATTTTCTGCATTTACCACATGCAGGCCTAATACGACTATTTCCTGCATCAATGGGTATTTCGAGTCTCTTTTTATAGTTTGCATTTTTTTTATCTTTTCTTGTATTGTTTTGCTCGTCGAGTTCACGATCGAAATTCGAATTCATTTCTTCTTTCACTTTGCATACAGTCTCTATTTTAATACTAGTTTCAGTTTTGTAATCAACGCTGTAATTCACATTCTGTAAGTTATTTTGAGAATAATCGTTAATTTTCTCAACTAATAAATTCTGGTTCGGCTTTAAGTCTTTACATTCAAAAACAATTTCCATGTCTTCCTGAGATTCAGGCATTTCGTCATATTCTTGTTTAATCCTTGGGATCTGGAATAAAATCAAAGTTGTATCAAAATTTGGGTTAAAAATGTTTATAATAAAGTCCCACATAATAATGAACTCTTACTGGATTTTCATGCATAAGTTGGGGAAATTCAGTTTGATAATCTTCATTATCATGGAGCGACACATCACTTGGCTGCTGTTTTACTCTGAAATCAGTTTGATAAGAATCGAGTGTTACGTCAAGATATTTCTATAATTTAACTTAAAAATAGAATTCACCTCAGGGAACACTTGAAAGTATTGTTATATGCTGCGCTGTTATAACAGCAGCGCACTCTTTTTGTTTATTTATATAATATGTAAACAAACCGCTAGGTGGCGGACTTGCAAAAAGCTCGCAACCCTAAAATGAACGGCGGCCAAAAATGCTTATTATCCGAATCTCTTACTGGATTGTTATGGTTAAGTTGGGGAAATTCGGTTTGATAATCTTCATTATCATCGAGCGACACATCACTTCTCTCCTGTTTTACTCTGAAATTAGTTTGATAAGAATCGAGTGTTATGCCAAGATATTTTTATAATTTAACTCTTAAAAATTGAATTCACCTAAGGGCACAGTTGAAAGTATCACCCGATTCCATCTTGATCGTTCCACACTTTGTTTGCGACTAAGCTCTAATACTCTGCTAATATTCAACATCAAACTAACGAACTCAAATTCAATAATATTTACGAATTTTAATGTGAAAACTAATCTTGAATAAACCAATCTAAGCAGAGAAATTTCCATTCGTATTGTATTATCATATTAATGAAGAAATTATAATTGTATCTGAAAAATGAGATTTTAAAGTTGCATCGCATAAAAAAGTATAAATCGAGTTCCATTATCATTTTAAATACTACGCCTCAGGGTAGCGAGTACCAAGCACTACACGGTAATAGGAATTCAATGGAAGATACATCAAATTGAGCTAAAAAGCATTATAAACTACTAGTAAAATATAATTTTTATTTTTACTCGTTTTATCCGAGCTGTGATTAGTAGTCAGTGACATCGCAGGAGTATATACACAGGCGCAAGCGGATAATAATAATTAAGAATCCATTCGGATTATAGATGGCAACATAATTAATTACGAAGCCAGTTCGAGTTTACTAAATTAATTTGTCACATACTCATGCGAATCTTGTTGAAATCAAGTGTAGTCTTGAAAATCGTTTTTCGACGGTTTTCTGAAGAACAATGCATGGAATTAAATTATTTGATATTATGTTCAAGACAAAAGTAAAAACATGTATTTACTCTAAGTTATAGCAGCCCTGTGTTTATACAACTTATCAAAAAGACATGAAAATAATATCACCAAAAAGATCAATAACAGTTCATTTTTCGATTGGTACTGCAAAACATTATAAAGAAAACTCATTGACTTTATATTCAGAGTCATCTATTGAAAAACTTTACAATAACCCAGACTTATCTGATGTTCAACTAAGGGTGGAAAAAGTGAAATTCTATGCTCATAAAGCTATACTGGCCAATTTTAGTCCGGTCTTTTAAGCGATGTTCAGAAATGACATGAAAGAAGTAAAGGAAAATGTAGTGGAAATCAGTGATGTTTCTGCAGAAGTGGTAGATAATTTATTGAAGTTTATTCGCTCTGGTAAAGCTAATTAATTAATGAAAGTACTATGTATGATTTGTCATATGCTTCAGAGAAATATCAAATTAATAATTTGAAAATTTTGTGTGCGAATTACCTGTACCGACTCTTACCGATCGTGTTACCGATTTTTTGACTATTGAGAATTGTGTTGATATTGCAAGTCTTGCTGAAAAACGTCTCATGAACCAACTCAAATATTAAGTTATTATCTTTATTGCTCATAATTATAATCTTGATTTCATGAATTCTAAAGCTTTTATTGAAATTGAGCAGTCTAATTTAAAATTGTTCTTAAAAATCATTAAAAACTGCATGTGTTCAAATTATCAAAACAAACTATGTTAAAATATTATGAGTCGTTTTATTCTATTATGTAAATTAAGTCTTTATAATAATAAAATCATTTTCAAAAATAAAATACCTGCTATCAATTATTCTTACATTTAATTTAAAAAAACAAATATTAAATTAGGATTCTAAACTTGTGGTATCATAGAAACTGTCCCTCACATTGGATCTATTTGCCTTAATAATTATAAGTAAAATAGCCAACCGTTATTATTATTATTATTATACTAAAGGCAGGCTTAGTTTCTTCTAAAAGCTCGGTGATTTGTTTTAAAAAATTGTATCATTGGACGTAGCAACTGGTATGCTAACATCTTGAAAAAAGGCATTAAAAATTACTAGTTTTCATAGTTACTTCAAATCATAAAAATCATAAAAGCCAAAGATACAATGCAATTATCAACGATCAATCATTCCCTTTTCTTATCACAGTTAGAGTAATCATTGAGAAAATTATATTCTGAACAACTTAATTGTACATTCAATTATTTTAGGATCTTAATTTAATTATAAATGTTTATATTGAGTAAGAAAGTTTTTATGATTTTCATATAATGATCCACACATAGGAAATTCATTTAATTGAACAAGCTATCTGGATAATGTGCAAAGTTTATGCAAAAGTAAGAAATGCTGTAATTGTTAATTAACGATTTAATGAATTTATCAATGAATAATTTGAATGAAAATCTTTTAATTCATGCTTTTTATGATTCAAATATTTTTTTGATGATATAATAAAACTTAACATACAAGAATGTTAATGATCAAGGAATTAAGTATCTTAAAAATAGTAATGATTTTTCATTTTAAGACTCAACGCAAACACGAATAATCATTATCATAAGATGAAATTCAATGAGCGATTAAAATTATTACAACGTTGGTAACTCTGACTTCATAGTTTTTGCAATTCGCAGGCCGCAGCGCCGAAATTTGAGAGTTGAGAGTTTAAGACGTTGACTTGTCCTTTGTTTTGATATCTTATCGCGAAAAGAATTACGCGTGCATATATCCTAGTTCGACTTCGAAGCTCGCTACTCTCAAGAATTCAAAACAGTTGTGTGCTGAACAGTCGAACAGTCGTAATTTCATCTCTCAGTGTAAAAGTGCTTGACGCATATTTATAACAGGCATTAGTTATTGCATCGTTAAAACAGTATTATACAATTATTGGTTCGCATTGTAGATTACTAGAAATATTTTCGCAATCATGACGACAGGATTCATTGTGGAATTTTACCCTCATTATTGCGAGTGGAATATTGGTGAATTAATTCTTACAAAAGCATGTGAGTTGTCAATGACATTAATTTCTCCTACTTTTTTATGTTTGAGAAAGAAGCCATGGAATTTCGTATTAAGTACACAATTACATGAGGATAAACTCAGAATTCAACTTATTAAATCTGAAAATGAAATAATGAAATTTGATTATACTGGTAGCTTTCTTTTCATGAGTAATAGTAAAACCCCAAGGTATACATCAGAAAAATGTGCGCGAATAACAGAAGATCTCTCAGAAACATTTGTATTAATGAAAGTTTCTACATTCAAACAAGAAATACGTAATTATTCTTTCAATGGACTAATTAAAATACAGTTCCTAATTGATGCCAAACCTGTTAAAAGTGATGGAAAAACTTTAGAATTATTTCATGGATTTCCAGAACTACACTCTACAACTCTCTACAACCAACCAGATTTCTCAGATGTTGAATTAATTGTTGGTGACAAAAAGTTCTATGCTCACAAAGCTATACTAGCAAATCATAGTCCCATCTTTGCAACTATGTTCAAAACTGATATGAAAGAAAGTAAAGAAAGTATAGTAAAGATAAATGACTTGAGTGCAGAAGTAGTTGATTGCCTACTAAAGTGGATTTACACTAATAACGTTGAATTTCATCATGACATGATATACAATTTGTCATATGCCTCAGAAAAATATCAATTAACTGGTTTGAAAAAGTTATGTGAACAAAGCTTGGAAAAGTCACTAACAACAAAAAACTGGGTTGAATTTATTTCTACTGCTGACAAATATAACATGGAAAATTTAAAGAAAATAATTATTGCTTTTATTGTTAATCATAAAGATATTTTAACTTCTGAAATTTTTAAAAAAATGGAAAATTTGAGTAAAAAGATGGTTTTAGAAATCTTTGAATCTTTTGTACACAACTCAATCCAATAATCAATGTGCCTAATATGTGAAATTATGTTGGATGTAACTAATAAAACATCGAACATAAATTGAATTTTATCGTAACTCATACAAAGATTTGTCAATGACATAAAAAAAAATCAGATAACTGGCTAAAAAAGTTATGAGGAAAACTCTAAAGAAAGTTTAATAACTAAAAATTGGGTTAAAACTGTTTCTATTGCTGAAAAATGTAACATGAAAGTATAAAAGCATTGACAATTATTTATATTAATCATCATAAAAATCTCTCAATCTTTGAAAATTTTCAAAATCCAAAAAACTAAGATAATTTGTTAATTTTAAACATTTTTGAATGTTTACTACTAAATTTTGTTCTGAAATCTTTGCTCATAATTAGTACAATTTTAATTGTCACAAAAATGATTGTGATTCATACACAAAATTATATACATTATTTGGTCTGATAACAATTAAATTAAGAATATAAATGTTAAAACACAGTTGTCACTTCTTAATAAGCCACAAATAAAACTGTATAACTTAAACACAAACTTGCTATTTATTTATATCCACAATCAAATTGATGATGTTGAGAATGAACATGTAAGAATGCAGTTTGAAATGTTTTTTTTTCATGATATAAATCAAGTCCTGTATAAAAATCTAATATATTTCAGATAAAACTTAAAAAGGTACTTCCAAACATTTATGAAACATCTATCAAACTATCATGTGCAATTCTATTATTTTATAGAGTGGTAAGATCTTGCAGATGCTGGCCAACTATGAACAGATGATCAATTAGGCTAACATGTGTACGGTGTAACTGAACTGTACTGCATATACTTCTGTTGATTTAGAATCATCTTTTTGAACTCTTTTCGGTAACCCAGATTTATCTGATATTCAATTCAGTGTAAGAAACGTTAAATTTCATGCTCATGAAGATATACTGGTGAATTGTAGTCTAGTATTTCTGGCAATGTTTAGAAATAATACTAAACAAGAAAAATATAATTGAAATAATTGAAAAATATGAAATTGATAGTTTGAAAAGTTTGTGCGTGAATCACCTATATGATTCTTTAACTATTGATCATTGTGTCTAATTTATAGCATCTGTAGTAACGCAATATCATATGAACCAACTCAATTATAAAATTCTTGTTTCTATTAGTTGCAATTATAATCCTGATATTATGAATTCTGAAGCTTTTCTTAATCTTGAGCAGTCTAATTTAAAATTGTTCTCAGAAATTAAAAAAATTTGTCGTATCGCATGTGCTTAAACTATCAAAATAATTTTATTTTTATTTCAAACCTTTAATAAAAAAAACTGAGAATTCAACAGGCGATTATAATAATTTTTTTAGAAAGATGATAAAAGTTCCAGCATCAATTTACATTGGATTTATTTGTATCATATAAATTCTAGATAAACCATTTGCTCCTACCAGCAATCAGTGTAAAGAATTCGTCCATTGGTAGCAATCAAAATTTTTGTTTGTACAAATTTTTCATTTAAACATTTTACTCTGTAATCAAATGATATAATAACAATAAATAAAAATGACGAGTTTATTCATAACTGCACCCATTGAAAAATATAATATTTTTGTTATGCGTATTCTGCAAATATAAACTCTCGCATCAGCGCCAGAAAATGATCAAATTAGGGTTTTCGTAAAGTTATCGTAAAAATTGAATCATTTAGTATATAATCACGAATCTTAAGTTTATTGGAATTTCTCAGCAGTCTGCAACTCGAGTGGCCCCTAGTTTAAATTATCACGAGATTAATGAAATGATGAATAGCGCTTACCGAAAATACGATCAAATGCACTGATCTCTTCTCTGTGAAGCGAATGCAATGTTCTCATTAATATTCGAGACGTCTGACATAATCAATCATCTTATTACCATTAGAAACCAATTACAAACCAATTAGAAAGTCACTATTTCGAAGCCTCTTATTACTAAACAGAATGTGTTCAATTTTTGTTCATTGAATTTTTATAGTAATTTGATACAGAGACTATAAGCTTGATAATTGTTGAAAATTAATTTTATTTAACAACAAAAATATTTTATAAAATACAACAGTCGTCTTTTTTCATGATTAATACGAAAGTTTAAAAATGATATACGAATCATAATACGAATATTTTATTGAAAAGGATTTGAATAGCCAAATCCTTTTCTCAAAAATCACAAAGATTCGTACTCGATAACTTTGGTCGATCGCCGTTAAAAAAAGGAGTCGAGGATGAATCGTACGATAACGGGCAAGCGCATAGTTAATAATACACGCGTGTGCGAGCGAGCGAGAGAGAGAGAAAGAGAGACAAAAATGTCACCACTTATCAGCTGTGCCGTTGCATCTTTTCATAATTAAACTGTAATTTGTTTTACAGATACATCAATAGGGAGAAAAATGGAAAAAAAAATAATAAAGTTTTTAAACACATTGAATTAATTAAAAGAATAGAAGTACTTTATTTCAAGTAAACTTATAAAGATATAAAAAAAATTACATTCAAGTATAAATTGGAAACCATGAATAAAAGTACCCTATTTTTAATTTTACGATTTTTTTTAAATGTTAAAATAACTTAAATCAATCATTCGATGGTTAAAGCAAACTGGCTTCAAGCTTGTCATGAAAATTACACCAATTCGATTATAACACATCAATTATAAAAGTATAAACTTTCGCACAAGTTTAACAATAAAAATATCAATTTTGTAAATATTTAAATACATCATTTGTCATTTTAAGATAATAACTTTCAAGCTCGCACAAAAAAACAGCCTATATAATTTCAAGTAATAAACATATTTTATATAAAAAAATTTTCAGGTAACTGTGACTTAAATGATTGCTTATTTTTAAAGCTTTCAAATTATTGTAAATAAAAAATATAATTTGATAGTAATACTCAACAACTCGTTTAAAAGCATACCCACGAACTAAAATTTCTTCATATAAATATGAATTGTAAATATTGTTAACGAAAAAGATGTTACAGTTAAAATACGAAATATACAATAAATAAAAGATAAAAAAATTTTCTCTAAAATTTCTAACCAACTTCATAACGTCGACCTGTATTAGCACCATCGTCATGAGCTGTGATGGAAACAATAGTTTCATTTTCTGTTGGTATTAGAGTAATCATTTTGCGTTAATATACCGAAACAAACTTTTGTTTTTTGCCAAACAGGCTTTCCTCCCAATTAAAATTCGAGGGGTCATAAAGGGTTTTAAAGTCGAAAACTTTCAATTTCGATGATTTATACTGATAGTTTGGCCAAATGTGTTCTTCTCCTTTCTCCCAGAATTCCAGCAATTTTGTGGCCGGCTCGCCTCGCGTTTTTTTGCAAAACGAACAGATTTCATTCGATTCGGCTTCTTTCCAAATTTCCTTGTGGCAGTCATCGAGGAGGCGAATCTCGTACTGAATAAAAGAGAAAAAAAAGTTAGCATGAATGGTGAAAAAAAATCGCGTTTTCATTAATAAGGAAAAAAACTTACCACGTTGAGACTCCCTGCAAACATGCGAATTATGTAGTAGTACTGTATTATTGTGAGTGCAGCCGTAGTAAATTTCGATGGCATGCAAACCTCGTAATCACCGAACAGCGGTTGGAGCATGAAGCTCTCCTCAATCTCCATCCAATCTGTCGATTTTTCATTTTCCTCGTCTTCTACCGACGTAGATGTACGATCATTTTCGTACTGCAAAGAAATACAATACAATGATCAAACAATTTTCATCAAGTTATACACATATATGCTTTCAAACAGTTACAGATGGTAATTTTTTCAAGCAGTTCATTTTCATTTTTAAGCGGCGGAGGGCTCGAGAGATTAAACTCGCAATAGCGCAAAATACAAATACAAATGAATTAAATCGGCGACGCGTGAAGTTTATTATTTTTATTTTCATCGCATCCTGTATGAAAAAAAACAATGAATGTGTGTGCGACAACGTTCACATGCATTTTTTTTCGAGCGAAAATATTTATCTTTTGAGTATATAATATTAAACGCCTGTTTCAAGATTCACTATAGCATATGTTGAGCAATAGAGAGAGAGAGAGAGAGAGAGAGAGAGAGAGATAAGTTTGCATTAGCGTATAACTACCTGATTAAAACAGCACAAGCCATGTAATTTGAACTCCAGTTTGTGAAGGTAATCTTTCGTTACAACCATTTTTTTTGTTGAGTCGGAAAATCGAAAAAAACAAAACGAAAAAAGACACTGCACTTGAAACGGCACAAAAAATAAACTTGAACTTTTAGCTAGTATTTTAGCTAGTATATTCGAAGTAGTCGATCGACAATGTTGTAACGCACAGAAGCTTCGAATGAGGTTTCTGAATGAGATGCATCGATTTATATACTCCCAGAAGTCGGATCGGTGCATTTCTCTTTTTAATGAATTTGGAAGGGGTATGATACTTAAAGTGCCATTAAAGAGTTAATGACGTCGCCTAAGATAGATAGCATCTGCGTTCTATTCATAAAGAATCGAAGAAAATGATCGCAGCGATGTTTTTGTCGAGTATTTGAAATGCATGCTTGGATATAAACGAAGAATTGAAATTAAAAGTGACACGATCTGAAGTTCGAAATAGTGAAAAATATAACAATACTTCCTGAGCTCTGCATGATTGACCAACGACAGAATGTAATGACCGTGTATAATGTGGTCCAATTGACACCCGAACATATTGTGGACAGTTTGTCTTTCAAGAACTATTTCGATTTTGATTGCTCGCAAAAATCGATGGGACTTCCCAAAAGATTTATTGATCATTTTCACAACGATCTAAATTGGAACTCTGGGAAAGTTTCGCTGTACACTGGGAACTATGTAACTATGATATTTGTAAAACGCTATTCGAGATTGTAAAGTATTCCAACATTCTATAAAATTGTGGTATATTTCTAAAACAAAGTAACTGAATTGAATAAAAATGAATTGCAGTTAATTCAATTAATTTATGTTTCAATTTTATTTCAATGTTATTTACAAAACATTATTATTCAAACCCCTTTTTTATATCGATTCTCATTCAACTATGTGTTAATTGCTTATCTTATCTTAAAAAGACTTGAACACTTTCACCTAATTACCCGTTAACGCCCAGATGGACAGAATTTTTTTTCTCTATTGCGTAGTCTGCAATTAAATCATCTCATCAGAGCGAGAAAAATTTTTGAATACTCATTTTCTACGTAAAATTTAATGTACTTTTTGAATATGGGTTTTTAATTAACATCTGACAAATATGGTCCGATCTGTATCCCATATCTGTATCCTATATCTGATGAATATGGGTTTATAAATAACCTCTGACAAATATTAAAAAAGTACATTAAATTTTACTTAGAAAATTAGTATTCAAAAATTTTTCTCGCTCTGATAAGATGATTTAATTGCAGACTACAATAGAGAAAAAAAATTCTGTCCGTCCGGTCGTTAACGAGTAGTTAATGATTTAAACTCTAAAGTAACTGAAACTAGCAGTGAAAAATAGATGAGATTTCAACTTTAAATCTTGTTTTTATACTAAACATGTACTCAAATTTTATTAAAAGTTTTGTCTGATTGAGTGCGCGCAAACTAGATTTTTCTATTTTTTTCAGAAAATCTTGTTTAGAAATAACTTGAATTTTATGAAGAAAAAAGTGGACGTACTTGATCAATAGTTAATACATGACTTCATATATGAGAATGAATAAATAAGCAGTCATCATTTTAATTTATCATTATTATATCATTTAAATATTGAGTAAATTGTACAAATAATAAATTTGTATCAACGAGCATTTTGATTGCTATTAATGGGCAAATTCTTTGCACTTATTATGCATAAGGGGAAATGGTTCATCTAGAATATTATTTATATATTATAAATAAATAAGTGGTTTTATTCAATAAATCCAATGTAAGTTGATGTTTAAACTTTTATCATGTTTCCAGAAATGCAGTTTATTTTGTGGATAATCATTTCAACTACAGCGTGTAGGAAAAAAAACTTGAAAGTAGCATATTACAGTTTTACATCAATGCAAAAATTATCATTCGTGCAAATTATGGTAAATCAATTTGATGCTTTTTTAAAGTCACATTTTAGAAATTTGTATTGGTTACTTGCACATTGAGTCTTTAGAAACCGATCTTGTAAAGAAAAAAAACTCAAAACTGTGTACAACTGTAATATTGGTAATATCCCTAGGACCGACAGCAACACTTCACATTGAATATGTAATTTATTTTGCGAATACCGTGTAGAAAATCTAGTATATATTATAAACCTTAATCTTATTCAATTTTTAAAATATTTTTTGCAATTGTTGATAAACTTGTTTCTTGATTTCTGAATATTAGTGGTAAAGTCACCAGCTCGTCCATGTCCATAAGTAACATAATGATAACGTGAAAAACTTATCATGATGATGCATATTTTTATCAAATTAACTAATTAAGTAAGCTTTTGTATATCATCTTCAAACTGCCAAAAGCAGGAAAACTTAAGCTCGACAAATTATTTCTGTCAAATTCTGATAACCTATTTCACTGTTTGTTGTTTTACGTACAGTACTACTGCTAAGTTCCAACTTTCGCAGCAGAAGGCTCCAGTCTGTCTGTCACAGTCATTGCGGGATATTGATACGCGAGTCGTGGCAACAAACACGTTATTCGTCGCAGTCGCAAACTTTTTCTCCGATTTGCAGAAAATTTGAAAATGGCTTCGATGAACGAGGAAGCCGCTGATTTCGAGGAAATGGAGCCGAATCTCAAAAACGTCGTCGAGCAAACGACATTGAGATGGATCTTCGTCGGAGGCAAAGGTGGTGTCGGAAAAACTACGTGCAGGTTAGATTTTTTAGCGACATGATTTCTGCGTCATCCACAAACGTCGAATTTAATGAACAATCTTATGCCTCCAGCTGTTCATTAGCTATACAATTAGCCAAAGTCAGAGAGAACGTCTTGATTATATCGACAGATCCAGCACATAATATCTCAGATGCCTTCGATCAGAAATTCAGCAAAGTCCCAACAAAAGTTTCTGGTTTTAATAATTTGTTTGCCATGGAGATAGATCCCAGTTCTGGAATCACTGATCTACCGGAGGATTATTTTGAAAGCGAAGGAGGTTTGTCATTAAACAATGATTTTGATTAGCTAGTGTCTATAACAACATTTATCTTGTAGGATCTAGTGAAGCTATGAAATTAAGCAAAAGTATGATGCAAGAAGTAGTCGGGGCATTTCCTGGCATTGATGAAGCCATGAGCTATGCAGAAGTTATGAAGTAAATGATGAGAAAATTTTAGTTTATAATAAGAAATAATAAAAGATTTTAGGTTGGACTAATACCTGAAATTTTTATTTACAGATTAGTTAAGAGTATGAATTTTTCTGTTGTGGTTTTTGATACTGCTCCAACTGGTCATACTTTACGCCTTTTGTCATTTCCACAAGTTGTTGAGAAGGGACTTGGTAAACTCATGAAATTGAAAATGAAAATAAGTCCATTTATTTCCCAGGTTCGTAAAAACAATATCCTTTTTTCTTAGGTAAAGCTGTAAATAATTAACTTTGATAATGCATTATTACAGATCAGTGGGTTGTTTGGTATGAGTGATTTTAATGTAGATTCATTCGCAAGCAAAATAGAAGAGATGCTTGCTGTCATACGTCAAGTTAATGAGCAATTTAAGAATCCAGATCAAACTACATTTGTTTGTGTGTGCATAGCAGAATTTTTGTCTTTGTATGAAACTGAAAGACTAGTTCAAGAACTGACTAAAAACAATATTGATACACATAATATTGTTGTCAATCAATTATTATTCTTGAAATCAGGAGAAGATCCTTGTAGACTGTGCTGTGCACGTCACAAAGTTCAAGCAAAATATTTAGAACAGGTACGTTAGTTCAATTATGAAAAACTATCATAAATCAGAATCACATAATTAATTTTACTTATTATTTCTAGATTATGGATCTTTATGAAGATTTTAACATAACAAAATTACCATTATTAGATAAAGAAGTGAGAGGAGTCGAAAATGTTAAATCTTTTTCTGAATATTTAATCTCTCCATATAAGCCATAAAATAAAAAAACGATTACTCTTGTAAATAATGCTGAAAAATTTTCTGTATCTCAAATGAAGACATGTTTTTAAAATTGAATTTGTAATGGTTGGTGAGTGTTTATAAAATAACTTAAGCAAAACAAATTTTTATTTAATAGAGTTTTGTACTTGCAAGTTTTTGAAAGTTGAAAAATTTCTAGTATAATAAAGTTAAATTTTAATATAAATGAAGCAGCAACAAGTAAATCATCTCATCATTTTTTCCTAACCTCATTTCTTTTCAAATTAAAATGTGTTAAAATGTTTTAATGTAATGGTTTAAATTAATTTAAATACTGGAAAAATTAATTTTTTTACCAATTGAAATAAATTCTTATTTCTATTATTGATCTATTTAGAAAAACCCCAGACATACATAGTACATTGCAAATGAATTTTCAAATTGTCATCAATATTAACTGCGCCAGTAAAGTGCTATAATTTTACAATTAACTTTAAATTTTTGCTAGGCAAATTTAATGTTTTACCAAAACATAGTTATACAATGTGCGGTTACAGTCATGTAAGTAAAAATTTGAAAAAGCAAATATAAAAAATATTTCATTGGAATAACAGTTTTAATCTTATAAATATTTCAATGGATTTGTACATGTAGTAAAGTGATTAGAATTCCTTTAAAGCAATGAAATTTATCTGATAACTGTGCTGTATGTACATTAAAGGAAGTTTTCTTAGTGAAGGCAAAGTTTTTTAAATCATTAACATTCAACAAACATCATTTGACCAATCACAATTGAGAGGAGATAGTAGTGCTGGGACATGGATCACTCCTCTAAATCCAAGTCCCCGAGTTCTTCTTCAAGACCCTCTAAATCTTCATCCATAAACAGATTCTCGTTGATGGTTAACGCCGTTGCTCCATCTCCAACTATAAAAATTATAAAAATGAAAAAATATGTCAAAGATACTTTTTTACAGCTAGAATATCTGCTTATTTTATTCACCTTGTATTGTAGCTTCATCAGATGTTTGTTCAGTTTGCTTGCGTGATGCTTTTAATCGTTCATCGCAATCAGGAGCAATAGTACAACCAGTGGTATCAACTTGACTAGCTTCCAAAACTAAATTATCAAGATCCAATTCACGATATTCAACACTTTCTTCTTCTTCTTCTTCAAAGTCATAATTTGCGATTGCCTCATCCCCATCATCAGCAACTAATTATGAAATTTGAAATAGTTAAAAATTAACATATATAGTTTTATTGAGCAAGCTATTAGTATTAAATTATTAATTTACCATCGCCAGCTGCAAGCTCAGGATTAAAGAAGAACATTTCTCTTCCAGAGATCCCAACTTGACGTCCAGCTTTATAATCGCTGCGTTTCTTTTCTTCATCTTTGACAGCCTTTTGTTGCTTTTCCTGTAGTTTCCTCTTCTTCCAAGCTATAAAGGTCTCGAGAGTTATTTTGGTCTGAAAGAAAATTATTATTGTTAGTAAATAACATTAAAAGTGATGGTGCATTACATAATGAACACATAATAATGGTATAATTTTGGAAAACTCACTTGATTGGGGCCCAAATTAGCTCTTTCTTTTTCAATGAGATCTTCCAACGATATCTCATCTTTTTTGTCTTCTTTCTTAAGATCTTTCTTTAGAACAAAACCTGGTGGTAGGGCATGTCTATAAATACATTTTTGTCCAGATGGACATTCCCAAAACCAACCATACTTCGATTTTTCAACAGCTTCCAAGAAGTGCTTACAAATCTAAAGAATAAAATTTGTTTGAGATTTAAATGTTATTAGTTTCAAAAATAAATCATAAAAATTCCTACAATATCAGTTGTTGGTCGATTTCCACCACTAGCGTGTTTCTTTTCTACGACTTGTTTTAGCTTATCTTCATCCCAACCATCCATAGTATCTGCTTCTTTGTCAACATCTTTATCAACATCACAGTACAATGATCTCTTTTCAGCTTTTCTTTCCACACTCAAGTCATGAGAAAATTTGCACTTATCACCTTTGGTACATTGACCTTGTTTAAAGAATGCACATACTACTGATTTAGGATCAGTTCCTGCAATAAACAATTAGTCAATTGTTGTATTGTATCACAGCTAGGTAAACACAGCAATGTAAGGTATACAAACCTTTTTCAACCTTTTGAGTTTGTACAGGTTTGAAGATGAGGGCCAACTCTTGTTGTTCCTTCAACTTCTTTTCTTTTTCAAGTTTTTTGGCATCTTCTGGTTTGCGTGGATGAAGACCACCAGATTTAACTTGTTTTTCTACTTGCTGTATAAATTTCTGCTGCTTCGCTCCTTTTTTATTTTTAATACCGAAAGTTTTGTCCTGTTTAAAAATGAAGATTTAAGTTACGTGGAAAGATTTCGAATTCAAACATTTTCGGAGTCATAACATATTGCCATCAGACTGAAAAATCCGCGTGGTATAATTATCGTTTGGTTATTTACCTCGATAACTTTCTCTTTTTTTTTCTGCTCAGTTTTTTTACTGGGCGCTGCGGAAGATTTTTTCGGTGGCATCTTGGCCACTTGATAAGTCGATCAAATTCAAGAAAATTTTGCGACAAATAAGTCTTATTGTCAAAAACTCTCTCCTAGCCTAATTGATTTGCGAAATAAACTTGCAGGGTCGGCTAACAATTATTGTCGGCTTTCGTGCGTCTCACCACGACTCCAATACGCCTGTCGCCATATGCGGCACTACCCGTTCTGCGGCGGCTGCGCCGTGGGTTTTGAATTGGGATTTAAATAGGTCATTTAATGGGTCAGGAAATTTTTTATGATTTTTAAAATACTTCCAAGTCGCTTTTGATTACTATTTAATGTTTATTTTTGAAAAGGTGATAAAGTCAATTTTGCAAGGGCGTATCAATAATTCAAGTACTTAATTTGATAAAAAAGTTATATATTAACAATTTTATAACAGAGAATTTTAAAATACAAAATAATTAAAAGTTTTTTATTTTACATATAAGTAAAATAGTTTGCTGTACAATATACAGTTTTGTCCGTACTTAAAGTCTTTACATTAAATATCACACATGATATTCTCCTCCATCTAATTTTTCATCAGTTAACCACCAAACCAAATCAGTACAAGTACTTTCTTCCAAGTAAATTAGACCAATGAAGAATGAAGTGATCAAACCTAACACTACACCAGCAGCGATATCTAAGAGGTGGTGTCTTCTCATCATGACTCTGGAGACGGTCACGCATACAGCCCAAGTTGCAAGGAACGGTACAAAGATAAAATGTATAGGCCAGTTGAACAAGAAGAAGAAAAAAATATAAAATGCCCTGGATGCATGACCAGATGGAAATGAAAATTTGTCGGGTCCTATTTCAATGGCATCTTCTGTTTTCACTGGTCTGCGCCGTCTTGAGATTGCTTTTATTATTGCAACAGCAAGTACGTCTAGTATTAATCCTGCAAAGATACATGAATTTAGGTTGAAGTAAACTATTGTACTAATGATTACTCTCAGACATTGTGCTTACCTATGAAAAAGTTGATTTGCATTTGATAGAGGCTTTTACTGTTTAAAATCCATATAAATCCAATCCACAGAGGAATCCATATCAGTCCATGACAAGAATACTGCATCATAAGTTATTTAGAATAACAGAATCATTGTTGGATCTTAGAAATTAATAATCATTACCTCGAGTGCTCTGTAATGTGTTTTATACTTCTTAATGTCTAATACTTTTTCCATCGACTTGACAAACTGATCAGTCAAATAAACATCCAATGACAAAGTTTTCACTAGTAGCGAAGGCATGTTTCTTTTGTCACCAGACTGAAAATAATCACACAAACATTCGGTTGAATTCGCCAAGATTTACTATTATTTATAATTAACTTTTGGTAAGAAATTTTACCCACCCTACTCATGATTCTCAATCGTGTGTATTTTTAGCCTCCTTTCGGTATATCTTACACGGTACGTAGTATACTTTAACAATAAAGCACAAAAAGCATCGAGCGCCGCCGTATGCTTGGCTGCAAGTTGATAATTCCTTTAATGAGCAACGCCGGATGGCTGAATCATCGCATATTACCTCAGACTCGTTGATTTTCGTAACAAGACAACTGATACAGTCCGATATCGGTGACATGTAACACCTGCTAATCGCTTATTTACAAATTTACAAATTACAATCAAAGAATTCTAGGGTTATTTCAGCTGTCTAAAAAACTATAAGTATTCGCGCGCGCAAAAAGTTACTATCATTATGAAATTTGAAAATGCACTTGAATGAAGTTAGCGCTCAATTGACAATTCAATCGCAAGAACCAACTCAACGATGGACTTTTTTAATACAATTTAAAATTAATAAATGAAATGTTTGTAATTTTTAAGAAGGAGAATTGAAGAGTTTTTATTCAATCAAGCCAAAAGTTTTTGTCATCCACAGAGATATGACGCAGTAAAACAATTTTATGTTTTATAGTTATTAAGGTAATTTAGACAAACAACAAATCATAAATTGATATTCAATATTTATGTAGAAATATTTGCTTTCTTGTCATTTTCTGGGAGATATTCCGAAACGGCATTATGCGCCTATTATGAACCGGATATTGAGCTGGATTTTTCAATGAGAACTGATCGACTTAAGTTCGTACTTAAGACGTAAGTCGTTTCAAAAAAACTTTTCTAACATCGAAGCATAAAATACGATAGCGATGACACGGATGAAAGAGAATTTTAATTTTATTTTTTAATTCAGTAGTATTAATTCAAGAAATATCGCATCAACGGTTAAACTCGACCCGCAAAAACTAAAGCCTATAAGCTTTACGACGCTGTGTGCAGACTGCAGTGCACGCAAATTCAAATAGTCCTGCGCCAAGGGTGCAGACGGCGCGACTGCGAATCGTCAGCGACAGGTCAGTTTTACAACCAACTGCATGTTTCAGGACGAGAGCGTTTCGAATGCATGCATCGTATATCCGTGTGTATACATTTTTTGGCATCTATGCTGCATGTTTTGTATACAACCACATTACACACACTATGTGTCAGATCAACTGCGCGACGCTCAGCGACGACGCTCTTCCATCGGCTCTAGGCATTATTCTCGATCGAAAGCATTTTCCGATAATGTAACGGCGGTCGCGGATTTTCCGGCACTTTTTTTCGTTTTGGTTCGACACGGGCGCGCTCGCTCGTTCTGCGTCTCGCGACCAAAAAATGTTCATAGTCACGAAGAAAATCAACGAGGATAACATCGGCAAGGTGTGCAGGACCTGTCTGAGGGAGGATCACGGAAAGATGCTCTATCTGTTCTTTGGTCCGGCTGAGTCATCGCTCGGCGCTAAATTGCAATCGCTCTCCTGTCTCGAGGTACGATTGTCGATTTCTTTTATCGTATTTTCATTTCAATCGGAGTACTCACCGCGATCGTCTTTCTCTCCACAGGTCTATCAAGGCGATGGTCTTCCGGAAAACATGTGCGACAAGTGCGTCAGCAGGACGGAGTCGGCGTTGCTGTTTCGCGAGCAGTGCCGCGCCGCCGACCAGGCCCTCAGAGAGGCCGCCTACCAGGTGACGCAGGCCAAGATGCACCAGCTGCAAAATCAGAATGCCCTGCCCGCGGTGTCGCAGTTCTCGCAGAGCAACAACCCCGAGATGATCGAGGAGTTTCCCAATTATCCCAGTCAGCAAGATCAGTACTTGTCCAATCAGTATTATCCCGAGACGTATCAACGAGAGCAGACTCAGAACAATGCTCAGACGTATCCCCACATAGTTGAGCCGTCCAATTCGGCTTTCAAGAGATACGAGAATGATTATACGAATGCAAACGATGTGGGCGCGGGCAAGGATGCTTACGCTTACAGACAGACTGAAGATATCAATGTGCAATCTACCATAAGGCACAGTTCCATGCTTTATCCAGAAACAACTTGGGAAATGCCATCGGCTAATTATAATTATAGTACTAATAGTAGAGCACAATTGGAGAATTACGATATGCACAATATTTCTGACAATGCCAATTGCGAACAAATAATAGCAAACAATGATAGCTATTTGCAAAATCAGGAAGAACAAACTGATGACAATAGTGAAGAAAATGACGAGGACTCCAATCATTTAACTATTGATGAAGAGAGATCTGTTGAACAAACAATGATCAATTCTATTGACAATATGGTTTATGATAAAATCTCTTCAGACTATAACAGTAGACTGAGAGAAAATCAAAGTCATTTTTCCAATGGTGTTATTGAATACAATTCTTCAGAAGTGCAGCAACAGTCGCAACCAATCAATGAATTGCCCCAATTTCAGGAAACTCCAGTTATTAGTCACACTGAATTTAGAGGAGAATCTTCAGAACAGCAACCACAGCACCAGCAGCAACAGCAGCCACAGAAAGCAACGAACAGATATAAGTGCGATACCTGTTCTCGTTTATTCTGTGATATAACAAGGCTACAAACTCATCAGCTCCTACACAGAAGAAAAAAGCCATTTGAATGTGTACACTGTGGAAATCGTTATTTAACAAAAAATAAGCTTGCTGCTCATATTCGGTTACATACTAAAGTAAATGTTCACCAATGTAATATTTGTGAGAAAATATTTTCCTACCCATCATCTTTAACTGAACATATGAAAACTCATGAAGAAAAATCTGTTGATAAAGGTGTATCTTATGAATGTGCTCAATGTAAAAAGCAATTCAGATTTATTCAAAGTTATCATAGACACATGAAATTTCATACTGGAAAAGATTTATATCATTGTGATGCATGTGATAAATTGTTTGCATCGAAATATACATTAAAAATTCATATGCACTCTCACGAAGCTGTTAAAGTGTACCCTTGTGAGTTATGTGATAAAGCTTTTAATCAAAAAAGTAATTTAGTTGAACATACAAGAACTCACACTAAGGATAAACCTTATAAGTGTAAATTATGCGACAAAAGTTTTGCCCAAACGAGTCATCTGAAGAGCCACATTATCTGTCATAATTCTGTAAGAAAATATAAATGTAAAATATGTGATAAAACATTCAAGTTGTCAAGTCACTTGAAAAGACATGTAAATTTACATACAGGTATTAAAATGCATAAGTGTGATAAATGTGATCAAGTATTTACGCAAGCATTCAGTTTAAAACGCCACATGAAAAGGCACGACCCAGAATAATGTTTGTATTAGTTTTGTATATATTTTTTTAAATAAAAAATTTGTAAAATTATTACGTTATTTTTATTAATTTTCTGTCAAACAATACCTAATATGAAAAATTAGAGTTCCAAGAGCGGATGAAAAGGTTCAACAATAAAACAGTCTTATTCTTTTGTTATACTTTGCAATAATACTATATTGTCATAAATGTTTCCTAATGCTATCATTACGAATGATAGTACAGTATTTTTGTAATTTGACACTTGAAAAATATAAGAATTTATAAAATATTGTACACAAAAAAAGTGCTACAAACATATACCATTTCCTAATTTACAGCAAACGCAATCCGTTAAAGTTTTACAAAAGTTTAATAAAATAATTAAATTATTCCACAAAATATTTCATGTTAACATTGTAGTCTTTTTTTAAATAACTTAATTATTGATTAAGTGAAAAACTATTTTTCATAAACAAAATTGAACTACTATAAATCAAGTTGATTACTCAATTATTAATTTTGTTATTTGATAGATGTTTTTAGAATTTGTGGTGTCAATTGCAATTGTATCATTTGTAATTCTATATCTTAATGATTATTTTTATAGAGTATAAATGAGTAAAAATATAACATCACATTTAGAGTTTTCAACAATGTAGAATTCAAAGTCATTAATTTAAAATGTACAAAATAGTAATACTAATAGAATTCACAATTCTAGATAAATTAAGTACTCTATTTGGGCCAATTTTACAATGTAATTCCATTAATTCAATAGGCTATAATACAAATTTATAAATCACTCATGCATTATATGCACTCTCTTAATTTGTACTTAAGTACAACCAAGAATTAGTATCTACTAGTTAGTACTCTAATTCATGGTAAATTTAAATGACTATACAACAATTTTTATTCCCCCGAAGGATTAGTAGAAATAAATCGGAAAATTCAATTTTACAAAACAACCTTATCTATAATCAGATAGGCATATGTGATAATATAGATAAATTTCTAAAAACTTGTATGATACTGATAAATGTACAACATTCATAAATAACTACTAACATTCCTATTTTATAGGATAATTAACATGCTCACTAACTGAACAAGAAGTATATAAATATACAATTTACATAGCTACTTTTGATAATAATAAAATCATTAAATTATCAATGTCTTATTAAAATAAAATATTCTTTTTTTATTTTTATTTGAATTAAATGTTTTTTCTAAATAAATAAATTTGTAATAGTTAATTAGCAACGTTGAAAGAATCACCCGTTAATAGATGAATCAAATTTTTGTCTGTCTATACCTATACACAGTATCAAGATTTTCCTCTAATTAATTGTAGATCATATCTTGTATAAAATAAAAATAACAGTGTGGCAGCCACATTTGATCACAGTACTCTTTTAAAGTTAATAAATTAGTGTCCACTCGATTGGGACCGTACTACATAGTTGTGCCAAGTTTATAATACTCGTTCAAAATATACTCGTAAACTATTGGCAGTGATAGACATCATCTTAATTCCTGCTGGATTTGTTTCGACAGCAAAGCCACCTGCGCCAGAAAGACGGTGACTTACTGTGCGAAGAGAAGAACTTTGCCGCTGCTCGCCTAGTGCTCAGCGCATTCATGATGGCTTGATCGAATACATCCTTCAGGGCTTGCTGCGTGAGGGCCGACGTTTCCACGTAGCAGCAGGCTCCGATTTTATTGGCCAATTGCTGGCCCTGGCATTCGGTGATGGGAGCTTGCCCGTACCTGGCTAGCTGCACGGCCGGTCTCACGTCGGAGCGCAGATCGCTCTTGGTTCCGACCTGAGCGAAATATCATAAATATAAAATAAAAACTCGCGTTTGGAGAAAGAAAAAATCCATCTGTGTAAACAACGGGCATTACCAGCATAACGGGTGTGTTGGGACAGTGTTTGCGTATCTCTTGGATCCATTTGTTGGAGACGCGATGATACGAGCTCGGATTGATGATGCTGAAGCAGATGAGGAAGACGTCGGTGTCCGGATAGCACAGCGACCTCAGCGGATCGAAGTCGTCCTGGCCGGCGGTGTCGCACAGCTGCACGTTGATCGGCATACCGTCGACGTTCACGATCACTGCCGTATGAAAGAAGAAGTTGGCGATTAGTCGAGTAAATAGTTAGCTAGGTGAATAGGTATCCATAAGAGAAAAAGAAAGAGGAGAAGGACACACGTGCAATTCGAGCGCAGCTGCTTATGCGAAAAAAACTGATGTGCGCACGGCAGGTGTTCGCGATGACAGATCGAATTACGTCGCGTCGCGTACCCCGTGTGTCCATCTATATCTTTTTTATAATCGTATATATAAAAGGTAGCCTTTTATTATTTAATTAACGCTTACCGTTGTACTTGTCGTAGGCGGTGGGCTCGTAATCGGGCGGAAAGCCATTGGTCGAGTACGAGACGACGAGGCTCGTCTTGCCGACCGCACCGTCACCCACCAAAACCACTTTGATCCTCGTCGGCGGCTGCTGCTGCTGTTGCTGTAATTGTTGTCGTTGTTCTTGCTCGTCGCAATTAGACGAAGAGGAGGAGGAGGAGGACGACGACGACGACGAAGTCCGACTGGTCATGCTCAAGCAGGGCGAAGTCGTCGTCTGCAGCACGAGGTCGCGCGGGGCCTTGTTGTTGACACGATGATGAGGATGATGCTGCTGGCCGAGCAGCGGCTTGTAGCTGCCCAGCGACGGCGAGTACAGCTGCTGCGCCGACGACATGCTGCTGCTGCCGTTGTTGTTGTTGCCGTTCATGGAAGAATCGCTTCTTCTTCTTCTGCTGTTGCTGCAGCTGCTGTCAGTTCGCAGGTGCAGGTGGTGGTGGTGGTGGTAGGCCCCGGCGGCGAGCTGCAGCGACGAAGTAAACGAATTCGAGAAAGGTTATAAACTCGCGGTGTCATGGAACACTCGCGCGGTCGATGCTTTACGACGAGGTAACGATAAGTCGAGAAAACACTTCTATAATATGTCATTCACTCGAGTATAAAAGTACGCGTATGACAGCTCGCGTTGCGCTACATCGTTCTTGTATACACTTAACGTCGACACATACACCGACAGTCCCCGCGAACTCCGGATTATTACACTCCACTATCTAGGCGTACCGCATACCTGCGATATTCATTTATATTATTACACGGCTATCGACTCCGCAGTCCGCACAGGTTGCTCCGCTGCTGTTGACCTGCCTTTGTCCACACGCGCGTCCGCGAGCAGCAGCGACTGGATGCGCAGCGCAGTCATCTGCCGTATAGCTAGCACCACGTCCATGTATAGGTAGGTTTCGAGATACACCTACCTACCTACCTGTGCTGCTGGCGTGCTATTATGGTGTATGACAGGGAGATGAGAGCATACCTTGTACCTATATAACACACAGTCTGCTGCTGCAGAGTGTGCAGAGAGGAGGACTCGGATTTGCGCCTGCGCGCCGCCGCGACGAAACGGGGGTCGGCGGACTTTTACGTATAACATGTAGAGGTATACGTACCTGTAGGTGTGTTGCATCTGTGTATATTATAAGCGAAAATCTCGGGCGTTCGGAGTCCACGCTCGCACACACACTTACTCGCGGGGCCTCTCCTATATACGACCACGCACTCTCGGCAGCAAGGCGCGCGTCGCGACTTCGGCATCTCTCTATATACCACTGCAACACACTGCGAGTAATACCGACTCGCCACCGCGCAGTTGTAATATTGGCGCTGAAGCAAAATTCGTGCGCTCGCGCAGGCACTATAGGCAGGCAGCAGTGCTGCAACTCGCTCTGGGGCCATATATACAAGCAAGCTCTTTATAACAACACAACAGCCACCTGTTGCACACGCAGCTACGGCGAACGCGCATTTCTTTGCTCTCCCTCGCGCCGCGCACCACATCGGACTACACGACTCCGTAAACTCGTGCGCGTGCAACGATAATAATAATTGTGCGTGCGTATGTCGGTGCTGTTTATTACGCGTGTGTGTGGCCGTACGAGATCGACGATCGCTCGCGAAGTCGTGGTGCGAGTCGCGCGCGGTGTGTGTCCTCAGTCAGTAGTATAGCGCGCCTCGTATAGTGCGTGTGTGTTGTCTGTGTCGTGTGTTGTGTTTACGTCGCGTTTCTGCCTGCGCGCGACAAAAATTCGTAAAAAAGTATAATACAATCGAAAGAAAATCCACAGTGTCCGTGTTCCGTTAAAAATATATATCAAATAACAAAAGGCCACAACGATGGAGAACGCCATGAACGGCAGCAGCAGCAACAACGGCGGCAACAACGACAACAACGACGATCAGACGACGGACGAGGACGCCTGCGTCAACAACGATCATCGCAACAACGGCACCTCCGCCTCTGGCGAGGTACGCACCCTGCTGTCGCGCCACAAGACCTCGCTGCTGCGCGAGCTCTCGCAGACGAGCCTGCTCGGTGTGCTGGTGAAGCGCTCGGTGCTCAGCGAGTTCGATCGTCAGGCACTGTACGGGCCCGGGGCGAGCGAGCCCGACGTCGAGCTGTTCATCGAGCTGCTCCAGGCCAAGGGCTTCGAGGCTTTCAGGGAGTTCTGCTTCGCCCTGGAGGCCGAGTGCCCCCACGTTCTCACGGATCTGCTGGTCGATCAGCACGCCCTCACAGGTATATACATTATTACGCGTTACATAGTAGGTAATGATGATGATAATAAAGGCTCGCTCGCGGCACACACACTTGCCATTTCTCGCCCTCTGCGCGAATATGTATAAGTACAAACGCGCGCGTGCGAGGCTCTCTCGACGGATCTTTGTAATGTTACACATACCTATATAATATACGCGTGCATGTACGTGTGTGTGTGCGCTCGCGAGGACTCCGAACTCTCTTTCTCTCCGTGTTTCAGGCCGTGTTTGTGTATAGTATAGCGTGCCATATATATACTCTATATACCCGAGTCTTAAGAATCGGCGCGCTCTTACCTATATACAGCACATATGTACCTATATAGAGTATACAGCATGTGTAGCAGTGATTATTATTATACACCTTGGTAGAGTTTTTCTCACGCTCTCCCACTTCATCCCCCATTGTCTGATTTTTAACAGCGCGGCCGGCCCTTTTTTTTTTTCCTTACACGACACGTACTCCTATCTACCTGCGTGTCTTCGCATATTATATATACGCATCTCGTAATAAATTAACGAGTGCGCGCGCGCGCCCCCGTAAATACATAAATAACGCGTCTTTATGCATATTCATTGCAGAGCAACAGCAGCAGCTACAACTGCAGCAGCAGCAACAAGAATCCGCGGCTAATCAGCAGCAGCAGCACAACGTAAACAGTAATCATCACGGTCATCGTCATCGGCATCATAATGCCACCGCGGATTCCTCGATGGACCAACAGCAGCAGCAGCAGTCACAGGATAGATCCAGGTGAGTCAGCGCTCGAGAATTTCTCTGTTCTATATAATACAGAGAACGAGCGTGTATATAGTGGCGAGGCAGCGGATAGAGACACTTTATTCGAGTACTGCGTGCGACTCGTCGACTCGTGCGTCTGAGTGCCTGTGTATGTGTGTATCTATGTATTAAGTTAACGAGGCCCGAGAGCGCCGCCGGTAGCCAGCTCGCAGCACATAACATTTCCCGTATTGTATACGGAGCGCATTGCGTACAAAATATATATACACGTACGTGTGTATTGTTTATACATCTGTGTGCGTGTGTTGCGCAGAAAGACAGAGAGTGTCGGTTAATGAGAAAAGGAGAGATATTATCGTTATATACTTGTCTCCGATTCTGCCGACTACGCCGCGCTGCAACATTTCTTAACGCGCGCGACACAGGATGTTTCGTATATATATCTCTACTATGCCTCGAATGCGTTTAGTAGATATTATAATGCTGCGTATTATCGAGAGGTGATTGTATGCAAGGAATTATTGTACACATGCATCCGCTGCAGCGGCGGCTAAACAGATAGATCCAATGCTAAATGCACTATACGCCTCGTTTCTCCTATCTCTCGGGTATCTATGTGTGTGTATAATGCAATACTTTCCAATTCCAATGCGAGCCAATGCGGCCACCATAAGCTTATATAGGTGCGTGTGTCTGTCTCTGCTGTATTGGGTACACGCACCGATTATATATATATAGGTACACGAGTTATGCGGATGGACGTATTGAAAGATAGAAGAAAAAATTGGGTCCTACTTTTACTACCACTGCTACTATACATACTATGTATCCTTCTACGGCACCGAGCCGATTGATAATGTATAATAATGGTCGCGCATTATATAGGTGAGCGGGGATCGAGCGAAAGATTATACGTTTCTGCGATATTGATGTATATTATTGCGGGTGCTCGTGCACGCCCCGAGTCATATGCGCACGTGTGTGATAAAAATTTGTAAAAAAATCAAAACTCGAAAGTGAAAGAATTCTGTATTATTGTATTCAACGTAAAACGCGTCATTTTATTATGCGAACGTGCGGTGCTGAATGATCGATCGTTTTTTTGGGGGGGGAGATTTTTTCCGTAACGACGAGGATGATGCCGGTGTCGCGCGTTTCTCCGTCTTCCTTTGCTTTTCTATTGTCGCGCGTGTTTTTGTGCCTCGACCCTCGTATTTTTTCGAGAAAGCCCGTATCATCTTCCGCATTTCGTTTGTTTTCCTGAAAAAAAGAAAGATAGATGGAAAAACAATCGAAAATCTGAGCGTGCTCCGTTCTCCAAGGCAGATATACATTGGATCGACGCACGACCTGTCGATCGGCATTTAACGGAAACACGATGAATTACAATTTTTATCTCGAAAACTTAATTGATATACGTGTTACAAGACACGTTTGTCGTCTGGCGCATGAATTGCAAATCTTGAGAAAAGCACCTATCGATAAATATTCAAAGCTCTGAGACGGCTCAAAAAAGGTGACAACTGACTCCTTAAGATATATTTTTTTTAAGAATGTCATATTTTATTTATCATCTGTAAAATTTGTGTATATTATGTGCGCGTTCGAAACGAATCGACGTCGCTCGAATCGCTTAGACACTTTTTGTACGCTCGTATACATTACAATAAACGCGCAAATATTTTCATTTTTTTTTCTCTCTCTCTTCTTCGAAGCACCACATACATGCGCGGCATCGCGTCACCCTGTGTTTTCGTTTATACAATATAATAATATCTGTACACACTATGTATAATATCGAAGCGTCGGACGCGTGACTTCGCACTATTATATCATAGTCGAGCACGTGACCAAACAAAAAAAAAAGCGGAAAATATCTTTCAATTAAAATACTATTTCACAAAGACTCGTGTTCTTACGTATAAATCTCGAGTTATTGTTATAATTATATCTAATTCGTGCACCACGCGAGATGCGAGATCGGTGGCAGTTGTCTCTCTCGGTGCACTCGTCGCTCGACTAAAATCTGCATAAATAAATAAACGTATGATATACCAACGTATGTAAACGGTATATAATAATACAAACAGCCACAGAGAAAAACTTTGGCTTTTTTTTAGTAGTAGTAGTAAATATACTTTCTCCTCGTATATTAATAAAGCGCTTCCTCCGTCGGAAACAAAAACAAAAAAACGAACCAAACAAAAACTCAACACACGCACGTTCTCACTGATACACATTATACACGTATACACACAAACGGAGACGCGCTGTTTCTCGGCGTCGGTTAATATTTATATCCTAGAAAGAAGTATTATTATAGAGATAGAGAGTGAAATAGCACGTGCTTCGCTGCGCTATTACACACTATAGCATTATACGGAGAGTCCGTGTACTGCACTTGCGCCGCTCTTTTGCGCGCGCGAGCACGAGTCGTGTCTTATAAACAGCTATTTATAAAAGTAGAGAGAGAGACGCTTGCAGCAGCACGCGCGCGTGGAAGCTTGCAAGTCGCCGACGCAGCAGCCGCATGCGAGTTTATTCGTCGTCGTCGCGCGCGAGACTTTTATACGATTCGCGCGTTTCGATGTTTTATAACGAATTTATAATATAAAACGCGCGCTCGCGTGTGATTGACCTCCCTCTCGCTCGTTTTCTTTCTTCCTTCCTCTTTCGCGCACGAAATAATAATAATTAATCGATGAATGGCCAACGTCAACAACAACGAGAACGAGAACGACGGTGTCCTTCGCCGGCGCCGCTGAAGGCGCAGTTCGGCTACTTCGTCGCCTTGGACGGGCTGCTCCATCATCGGCAGCGCTCGTGTGGNGTCGAAAAAAAAAAAAAAAAAAAGAAACGGAAAATCATTCTCGATTATTACCGCGGCTATGTCATTTAAATTACACACGTGGTTATACGGACGAGACAGGGGGAGGGCTCTTAGTTACAAAACTATATGATCATTCGCTATTTACACGGCACTCACTCGCGATTATTAATTATACTATTTTATAACTATCGTTGTTTGTTCTGTTTTTTTTTTTTTTTACAACGACGATGTACAACGTGTTGTAATAATTTTATACAAAAAACAAACAAACGAACAAACAAAGTCAACGATGAAATTAAATTATAGAAATAAATTCGTAATAGGAAACTCGACGCACGAGTAGAAACGTAATCTAGACATAATGCTATACATCTCAGGGCTTTCCGGCAATTTGGCACTAGTCCATATATCGCGCGTATATATATTTACGGCTGGACAAAACCACACTTGTGTGCGCTGTACAGCAGCAGCAGCAGCATCAGCCGGGAAAGAGATACATAAGTACAATTGATACTAACGCACGCAGTGTCGATTTTCTTCTTTCTCGGGACGAGAAATTCGACTCGCGAAAAATACAGAGTTTCGATGGTCAACAACAACATTATCATAAATTCAATTAATTAATATAATAGTTCCTAAAATAAATACGCGCGCGTAATAAGCAGCTGCTCTCAAGGCTGCGCCACGGCGGGAGGCAGCACCTTGGACGCCTCGTAATTCAGTCCCCGATGATGATGATGATGATGATGATGGCTCTTCTTGTGCCTGGCCAGCTTGGCCTGTATCTGCACGAGGGTCTTGCCCTTGGTCTCGGGCACGTAGACGAAGGCGAACACCGCCGACATGGCGCATATCGAGGCGAACATCCAGAAGGTGACCGACTCGCTGAGCGCCCGGGTGAGCAGGTGAAAGGTGCGCGTGACCAGGAAGACGAGGGCCCAATTGGTCACGATGCTGATGCTGCCGGCGAGGCCCTTGGTCTCGGGCGGGAACAACTCGGCGATGATGCTGTAGGGCACCGAGCCGTAGCCAAGGGAGAAGACGACGTTGAACCAGCCGATGCAGGCCAGGGGCAGCCAGTTGAGGCTGCTCGTGTCGTTGCCGTCCTCCTGGAGGCGATAGTAGTAGCCGAGCACGCCGAGGCAGATGGTCATGGCGCTGCCCGAGAACACGAGCAGAGGTTTGCGGCCGAATCTGTGCGATAAAGAGAGATCATAATAAGAAGTATACCTGGCAAAGGATACGTTGTCTCATACCTGTCGATGGTGCCGGCCACGACGACGCCCATGACGACCTCGATGCAGCCGATGATGATGGTGGCGACGTACGGATCGATGCCCGACTTGGCGTTCTTGAAGATGCTCACCGTGTAGAAGAGTACGGCGTCGATGCCGCACATCTGCTGGAACCACATGAGGCCGCAGCAGGTGAACAGGGCCCTGCGACCGGCCCGCGTGCCCACGAGATCGCGCCAGCCGCCCTTCTCGCGCGAGGCTCGCTCCTGCTCCGCCAACAACTCGGCGATCTCGGGCTCGAGGTCGTGCTCGGGTCCGCGCAGCACTTTGAGCGAGGCGCAGGCCTCGCGCACCCTGCCCTTGCCCAGCAGCCAGGCCGGCGACTCGGGTATGAAGAAGAAGACGCCGAGCAGGAAGGGCAGCAGCAGGGCGCAACACGAGCCGTTGAACGCCTCGTAGGACAGATAGCTGCCCGCCGCGTACGAGTAGACGATGCCGAGACTGAAGAAGATCGGGAAGAAGGTGCCGAGGAGGCCGCGCACCGACGGCTCCGAGACCTCGCCCACGTAGACGGGCACCAGGACGCAGGCCGTGCCCGCCCCTATGCCGCCGACGAAGCGTGCCACCCAGAACGACCACAGAGCCGCTCGACGCTCGAGCAGCGGGGCCACCAGCATGAGGATCCAGCAGGACAGGAAGGGCAGCGCCGTCGAGGCGATGACGGGCTTGCGGCCGAAGCGATCCGCGGCGGCGCCCGCGGGCGTGGCGCCCACGATGGCGCCCAGCGGCATGAGGGCCGTGAGCCAGCTGGCCTCCTCGCCCTCGGGATCGAAGTCGGCGATGGTCTGATTGAGCCTGGGCAGCATCGGCGCCGTCCAGCCGAGATTCATGCCGCTCTGGGCCATGCTGGAACCGGCTGCGCGACACAAAAATATACACGTGAATCACAAAGCACGTTTTCGATATATCGTGTACTGGTTATTACACACGTGTGTGTGTGCGTCATGTGCGGGGCAGTGCCTATATAGTGCAGCGATGAAACCTCCCTCCCTCTCGATGCACATATACCCACACACGAGCGAACGGCAATATTCTTTCTCCTCGTGCGGATGGATCCGGTTAACTCTGGTTCGAGCCGGCATTTCTATTATATATCCGCTCTAACCCGCGAGAGAGACGCAGCAGCGCGAACACAAAGTTTCATGCATTTTATAATAATATCATCAAGAGCCAAAGTCCGTGGTTTCGAACGTGCGAAAAATTTTTCGACGAAAGCCGGTGACGGCCGCGCGCGCGCACCGATTTTTAGCCAACGAGTGATTCTTAATAAGTGTGAGTTGGTGCGTGCTTTACGTAAATGAACGCGGTGGTTTGCACCGAGACGACGTCCCGAGAAATTTTCGCGTTACGCGCGAACTGCGATACGTATACGTGTTTCTGTGTTTTTCTGTGTCCGTGTCTCGACGATGATTATATTATGAGAGAGAGAGAGAGACGCGACACGCGACTGCCACGAGATTGGAATTAATCGAGGCGCCCTTGGCCACACGACGACGACGCGGTGATTGCCATACGCGCGCGCACACGAATAAAACTCACTCGTGCCACTCGTAATATCTCCATTATCGTTATACAATTCTTTTTTTCTCTCCTCAGTTTCTCGGTAATTTTCACATCGGTAAACCCGCTCTCGTTGCTCGAGCTTTTGCCTCGAGCTTTTTATATCATTATATACGTATATATCGCACATAGAGATAGGTGAGCGGCCGCAACTATGTGTGCTATAACGACGTCGACGACAGGACGTGCATTGAACTCGGACAAATGATAAATTGCCCTGGTGTTGTTGGTGTGCGGCACATTGTGCGCGCATCCCGGGGCACGAGAGTGTGTTTTATATTATAAACGAAAGTGTGTTTATCCAGCGAGATTTCAAGCGACGACGACGCTATTATACACGCTAATATGTAGGTTGCACGAGCGAAGCGACGTGCGTATGTGTGTATGCGCGCTGTGTGTACGTGTGTGGGTAAATAGATAGCAAAAAAGACGCCGTCGTTGTACGCGTATGTTCATGTTAATCAGCGGTGGCACATAGACGAAAAAAAAAAATAACAGTGATAAAATAATGAGCAAACGTTTTAGCGAGCAGAAAAAAAGAGGAGCGATTATCGTAATTTTTCGCGTTATATTGTCCGTTGTGTGTGTGTGTGGCTCGTGTTAGCTGGCTCGCACCCACGATTGTAAACAACGAGAAAGAGAGAGAGACAAGACAAGACAGACATCGTACACAAGGTGCTTTAAAAAAGAACACGTGACAGGTGTGTTACAAGCGAGTCGAGTCGAGCCGAGCCGAGCGCGGAAAGGAAAAAACCACCGAACAACGCGCTCGACTCGGCTTTTTAAAAAACCCGACGAGAGCAGCGATCTCTCTCCAGAGAGGAGAGCTTCCACTGCGTGAAAATTGCCGCCTCGCGTTCGCGTTACGTAAAACGACGACGACAACGACGACGAGGAGAGAAAAAAAAACAGAAGAAACACAGAAGTAATAAGTAACGAAGCACGGCAGCATTGGCAATGAGTCTATGATATAGTGTGTGTGTGCTTTAAGGCGGTAGCGGTGCATCCTCGCGAATTATTAAGCGAAAAACAAAACTTGAATTCTTATATTTTTGGCACGCGCGTCGAAGAGAGCCGAGAGAGAGAGAGAGAGAGAGAGATGATGATGAAGAAGAAGAGTTTGAAAAAGCGCGAAGGCGAAACCAAGCGTAAGCGTAAGCATAAGAGAGTGAGAGAGAGATATAGACGATTAGAGAGAAATCCAAAAATAAAAGGAAGGTGAATGTCGTCGTTTCGTGATACACTTGTGATGATTAACGCAGACGTCTGCGTCGTCTGCGTCGTCTACGTCGAATAACAAAAAGCTCGTACCGATCAGCGTGGCCATGTACATGAGGAGCTTGCGACCCTCCGGCAAGGGCTTGGTGCTGCTGCTGCTGTTGGTGGTGGCTGCCGCCGCAGCCGCCAACTCGTTGTTCGGATCCAGCGGCTCGAGATTACCCTCCGGATCGTTTTTCGCCTTCAGCTCCTTCATCTCGCTGGCGTCGATGAAGCCGTTGCTCTTCTGATTCTGCATTTTTCCGGCACTATAGGCTCGCGTGCGCGCGCGCGAGCTCACTGTCGCGACGCACCGACACACTGAACCAACACAGGCAGCCCGTGCACTTGCCGCCTTATTAAAATTGATTGATGAACAAAAAAAAAAAAGAACAACGAACAATTAGCCGTGTCGCCGTTCGTTTTTATTTTTTTCAGCACCCACCGCGATTATCTCTATATGTACACATCTGTGGCTGGTTACGCGTTTTTTTTGGATCGCGCGAGAGCAGCAGCCCGAGCAGCACACTGTGCTGCCTGCCTATACAACACTATGCCGACGACGCTCGTTCGCGCACTGCCTGCAGCACACCGCGCGCCCGAGAGAGAGCCTCGCGCGTATATATAATATAACGTGTGTGTACAGTGCGGAGCACGGCCAGCCACGCGCTCCGCGTGGTGCTCTGCGCGCTTTATTAGATGTGTATGCGTGCGTATATGTGTGCTCCTCGGGTACAAATTCATATGCATATATATTATAGGCGCGCGCGCGCAACTCCTCCGCGGCTCTTTACCACCACTGCTGCTGCTTATACCGGGCGCCTTTGCCGATGACGACGGTGAGTCCGTTTGTAAGTGTGGGATGACTGCGTGTATACACCGTTGCAACGACACACACACACAAAAAAAGCGCGCAAAAGTATGTAGCGTCCGGCGCCGATTCCGAAAAATTCACGCGACGTTATCGCGCATCTCGCAGGATGCGACCACTATCACCATCACTACCGGTCTATGACGGAGACTCGCGATCGTTCGCGACCGATCTCTGTACCGATCTGTCTATATACCGATTCGTAACTAATATAATGTAGGTCGTGTTTCGACGCCGGCCCGACTGACTGCGCAGACGGTGCGACGCGATCTAGACCATCCCCGACGTAGCTGGATTTATCGCTCGACGAGCTGTTACCGCTGCTGCTGCTGCTGCTGCTATCGCGATAGCGCGCGAGCTGGTATACAGTATATGTTTGTCAAAGACAGCACGCGATAACGCAAACAACGTCGTCGCAAAAGCGCGCAGTGTCGCACACGCCGCGATTGCGCGCGAGGTGTATACTTATACGTGCCACCCAAAAAAAAAAAAAAAAATCTTACGACCACGCATGATATAATATTTATCGATCGTTCGTCGATTGTTTAATTTTCTGAATTTCGTTGCAGCTTGGAGCAAAATGAGACGACCACGGGCTCGAGCAGCAGCGGCAACAACATTGGAGCGGCGAGTCGGCGACAGGCGAGCTTTCAGGACGAGAGTCACTCGCCACTACCGCCACCGCCGCCCGCGACGACGATCGTCAACGACGACGACGACGACCTCGACGTCGTCTGCAAGGATCTCTCGCTCGCGAGCATCGGCTCCGTCACCGCCGCCAACAACAACAATCAGATGATCAATCACAGCCACAGCCACAGCAACATTCAGCAGCAGTTGAACGTTCTGCCCTGCGGCAACAACAATCATCTCAACAACATCAATGACATCAACGGCGCCGGAAACAATAACAACAACAACAATAATAACGTCGCGCCGATGCTCGAGGTTCTCGACGAACCCGTCGACGAACCGGTAAGAACTGCATTTATACTCGAACGTACATGCATGCATATAGGTGTTGAGGTGTGTGCGACGCTGTTGACACTTTTTTGCGCGCAGTTTACGCGCGCGAATCGCCTTTCGCTACATTACGACCAAAAATACGACACTCCAAAATCAAGCGGTATTTTTAGATCGTATACGCTCCGATACTTTATATACCCAAGCGTAAATACCGTATTACGAGCGAATCGCCTACGAAAGAGAGATGAAGATATATATACAGATATATAGGTATACATCGTAAGTAGTGCGAGCGGAGCTTTTCTGCCACTGCGCAACACACGTGGTCGACGCACGAGCCAATTGTGCACGCGCGCTTTTCTCGATTATTTCTTTCACTTCGTCGTCGACGACGACTGCGCCTCGTTGACGATCGACGCACTCGATTATTATTATTATTATTATTATTATTATATTAATATTAATTCAATTATCGTCGAGGATGCGAGCGCGTTCGTTCGGTTTATCTTCTCGCGATTCTCTTTTGCGAAAACCATTCGCGGCGCAACTTGTCGTCGTCGTCGGAGGCGTAATGTACGTACGTATGAACGCGAAATTCTTTCGCGCGATGCAAGTATGCGCAGAATTAATCGGTTTGGCACGTACTCGATGTCGTTTCTTTTTTTTTTTTTTTTTTNTTTTTTTTTTTTTTTTTTTTTTCGTGATTTTTATCGAATTAGCGGCAATTACGCTCTCCGTTCTTTTTTTTCATTGCTAACTTACTCCTTTTTTCTCTTTGTCGCTTTCGCGCGCGCCGCGCGAGGTATACATGCACGCGGAGAGAAGCAGACAGACAGACACTCGAATACAAAGAAGGCTATATAATTACATAAGCGCGCGGAGAGCCGCGAAACGGAGTACAATGACGTGACTTTTCGAGCGTATCTGATAAAAAGGAACGAGTAGCCTACTTTTTCTTTCTTCTTCTTCTTTTCGCGCCACTGTGTAAGCTCGAATAGTCAAATTTCGCAAATGCGAAAGAGACGTAATAAAAAAAAATAGTAAAGTAAGACGATCGATCGCTAAATAGATTTCGCTCCTCGATTGATCTTGCTCTTTCGATCGCGGGTAAAAAGGAACGGCGTGCGCAAATGTCAATATGATAAAGGCAATCCTAGACGATTGTCTCTCTCTTCCTCTGCAAAAAAAAGAAGAAGAAGAAATTAAAACGAATCGGTAATCGTAGAGCACAGGCTGTGTGTTGCTCAACGCGTATATAACGCAAGTCTCGAGGTTCGAGTATCGGATGTTTATTTATTGTATTTTTTTTTTTTTTACTCTGATCTAATCCATCGAGAGTCGATTTAGCGTATATAAAAATGAAGAAGAAAGTACATAATACGCGATAAGGTGTTTATAATTGACGCATGTATGGTTTGAGCGCAACCAGAGAGAGAGAAAAAAAAACTGTGCGTATGAACAAACACACGTTAATCGAGATAAGAGTTTTTGAGAATCGGCACGTTTATTTACGTCGACTATTAACGACGACGCGTTGCATGAAAAATCGTTTGTACGTCATCGACCATACATACAAACACACGCATGTATTATTTCAGTATTGTATCGAAGCTCCAAAAATTACGAAAGTGGATAATAGAAATTTTCCCGCTTATCCCGTACAAATAATATAAGTTTAATAAACGTGCGTCAACGATCGATCGGCGATCCTATACAACACATTATTATATAGACACGCGGTATAGCTCGCCTTTACCAATCGAGAGCTGCCTCGTGCCGATCGTCGTCGTCTTCGCGCATTTCCGTAAACGAGTTCGCGTATCGAACAATTATTCATCGATTTAGCATTCAATTAAAGGAAATCAATTCGTTGCGCTTCTGAATGAACGAAGCGCTTGATTTTTTTTTTATAAATGCCAGAGACGTTTACATATTTTCTCGATAGAGCTCGAGACGAGTATATATATATATAGGCGACGGATGCAACGTAGAGAGAAAAAAAAAGCGAAGGAAAAAAATTGCAGCCGCGAGTCGATGACGACTTACGCACTTATGTATGTCATATATTGAAATTAGCACGGTTCGCGTGTAAACAAATCAAGTATATGTATATATCGGTGTGTGCGTTGTGTACGTTTCCGCAATGACATAACGACAGTAGTAGTAAAGCAAAGAAGAAAAAAAAGAAAAGAAAACCAAGAGGGAAGAGAGAGAGGGAAATATGTCAGCGCAGGTAAAACGTTCGCTCGCTCGCTCGCGAGAGCTTTTTTTCTCGAAAGGGCTTCCTAATCCCAACTCTCTTCTCTGGGTATGCTTCCACGTACATATACGTGTATATACACACACGGACACGCTTTTCCACGCTCATCGTCGCCTTTTTTTTTTTGTTATACACGGCCTTGATCGATCGTGTGTGTACCGTCCAGTCCCCGGTGCATTATAGGCCTGCTGCTGCTGCAGCTGCTGCTAGTACTGAACGCGACGTACGTGACGTGTGGTGGTGTGCGCGGCCCGATAAACAGTAAATAAAATAACAATAATAATAATAATCGGTAACAATAACCAATGCGCGCGATATGTGTAGCTCTGTGTGTGTGTCGGCGACGACGGGCGGTGCATCGATGATAAAGTATAACATCGATGTGTCTGTGTCCGATATACTACTGCTCGATATCCTAATGAACGACGCCCACTGAGCTGCATCGCTGCGCGGGCGGATCATTGACTCCTCTTCTCCTCGATGCAGCGCGCGGCATAATATACAGTGCGACTCGATCGGCCCCTGCGAGCAGTTGTTGCAATAAAAAAAAAATATATAGATATAGATATAGTAGCTCTGTGCTTTCGTCGTTGTGTTGTCACCTGCGCTGCGCGTAAATTGTTATAAGAAATGAAGTTTTTCGGCGGTCTGGAATTGAGGAGACGACGCGACGGCGGCGGCGGGAGGGATGATAATAGACGAGCGAAGAAGAAGCCGCCCGACGACTTGGAAGAGGTGGAGGATCATCTGGTGGGTAGTAGCAAAAATATAGTGGTTACGGGTACCAGGCCCAAGGCCAAGAGACGCGGCAAGGGCAAAAGCAGCGGCTCGCCGTCGTCCAAGAGCGCCGATAGATCGTCGAGACATCAGCAGCAGCAGTACACGAAGCAAAAACGAAAGGCCAAGGTAAAAAAGACCACGAAAAAAAAAGTTTGTTTTCCCTGGAAAGTACGTCGTCGAGAGAAAACGCACATTTCGAGTGCGTTGGCTAATACCCAAAACGGATTATGGAATTCGTCGATCGCTACCGATTACATTGTCCGTGTGCGCCGTGCTGTGCTACCTCGACGAGTTCTTTTCTCTTTTTTTTTCTCTACACACATATACGTTAAGTAGACACATCGCGAGAATTAGATTTTTCAATCGGATACTCGAGACTAATTAATAATTCGTACGAATATTTGTGCCTTAAAAAAAAGAAAAAAAATCAAAATCAGGTCGTTGACAATCGCGCCCACTAATACTTTGTACATATCGAATTAGGATGTACTGTTACCGCGGGACGTTCCACTTATTATCCAAACACACGACGTAAGTATTAATCCGCTCGATTTCACAGTTATAATATGTACGCTGCCTATACGCGCGTACGCATACATAAACACACTCGAGTTATAGAATTAAATCACCGTATATACAATAATAATAGTCGACCGATTTCACGTAGATGGCATCATCGTAAAGTACAGAAAATTATCTCGCTCGATAACCCGCGAGAGAGAGAAAAGTGATTATGGTAACAGCGAGAGTCTGCGGGCTTTAAAAAAATGAAAAAAAAAATTTGAAAGCCACCACTCGATCTCGCGTCGAGTACACGCACTTTACACGTACACTCTATGGTTTTATATTCTTTGTACGATCTGCGAAAAGATCTAATAATAAAAACTTGCCGATCTCTCTCTCTCTCGCGGCTCGACGACGCCCCGACGACGACGACGACGACGAGATGATTATTATTATCATTATTATTATATCCGACACGACGATCGCGACGATGATAAAAGTTACTATACCATCGCCTCGATTTCGCGCTATCTGCCTTTATACATACATGTGTGTGTGTGTGTCCGTGTATAAAACTAATAATAATTTGTATTTGCGCCCGTCGCGCGCGAAGGGGCCAGTTAGATCCGGTTTTTCTCGCGAACGAACGAAGGTTGGCCTCCTATACGTATGCACGCGATATACATTATAACGTTTGTGCGTGCGTACACGTCCGTTCGCCACTGCTTCTATATATATAACGTATAACGCGTATACCGATTCGCGCGAAACGATCGTCGTTTTTAGAGTATATAGAGAGATTTTCGCACGAGGCGCGCGCGCAACAAAAAACAGAGCCGAAGCGATTACGCTCCGTGCGTGCGATGCAGAGATGCAAATACAATCTGTACGATATTTAACGAGAGAGAGGCGAGAGTCATGCTCGAACGAGAGAGAGATATATAGAAAGGCTCGTTTGTCAAGCTGTTTAGAGAGAATAAGTCAGAAAGAGAGAGAGAGAGAAAAACAGGTTTAGCCGCTGCTGCTGCTGCTACTTCAAGGATGATGATCGAAAAGAAGAGCCCATCGCAACGCAACGTATATATATACGCATGGAGGAACAGGTAAGACGAGAAGCACAAGTGTGTGTGTATATATATCGCTGCTGTATCGAAAAAGGGCCCGAACGCTTCACTGCTGCTGCTGCTTGACTCTCGTCAAGGCGTGGGCCGGTTTTCTCTCTCTCTCTCTCTTTTTAACTCAGGCGTGGAGGAAACAGGAGGAGGAGAAGGTGGTAGTGGTAGTGGTCGTGATTGCGAATGCGTTTATACGTTGGTTCGCGCAGCAGCGATAGCAGGTGCTGACCTCTGCTGTCTCCCTCGGCGGGGCCCGGTTTCCTCGCCTCGCGCGATCACCACCATCACCACCGTGTGTGTGCGTGTTGCTGCTCCGTGTGCTACGGGCAGTCGGGCCCCGGCTGCTGGCCCCGAGTCGTCGTCGATTCGCTTCCTAATATTTATACATTACTGTGGCGAGAAAAAAAAATCGGCGATCGACGAGTGTGCGCGCCGCTATAACCGTTGTTAATTGTTTCGTGTGCGAATGTGTGTACATAAATCGGTATAAGAGAGGATCGTCCCCGGTCCTCATGCGGTGGCTGCTCGATCATGGACGAGGCTGGCAATAATAATAACAACAACGTCAATCCGGTCAATTGCAAGGATCAATTATCGGTGCTGCAGCAGCAACAGCCGCCAGCACCATCGGTAGTACCGATAGTACTAACTCCTGCTCAACAGCAGCAGCAGCAACAATACGATCAGGTGAATACGCGCGATATTTATGCGCGTGCCACGTGTGGGTGTGTGTGTGTGTGTGTGTGTGTGTAAGTATGCTACAGATAGCACAGAACGACGACGACGACGCGCCCTTTAAACGCATATAAAAAAAAAAGAAAGAGGAGTAGGAAAAAAAGGCAGGAACGTTCCGTGGCGTATATATATATTTGCCCAAGAAGAACCATAAATGGTATAGTGATGTTGTTGTTGTGTGTGCGTGCGTGTGCGCGTATATATATATCGGTATAATATACGTTGCGCGTCTGGAATTTCTTATATACATATACCTGTGCGTATATGTCCGTGTGTCTGTGTGCGTATATAATATAAACTTGCGAGGTTCTCTCCTCGCGCGCGCGCGAGCAACCGGACGATTACACCTTTCTGCCTCTCTCTCTCTCTCGCACTCTCTTACTCGTTCTCGGTATCATTATCAGTGCGCGAAAAGTATGCGTCCTCTCTCTCTCTTTCTTTCTCGTCTCTCGTTTCTCTCTCTCTTTCCGAATTACTGCAATGGCCTTGCCTGTATATATACACATATAAAACTGTACGTTTGGGCGTGTGTATCTGTATCTGTGTGTGCGAGAGTATAAAGGTACTACCTATATATATACAACGGTGTGCGCGCGGATGAACGATGTGATGCTCGTCGTCTCTCTCTCTCTCTCTCTCTCTTACTCGGGTGTATATACATGGAAAAGAAGGAGAGAAAGAAGAAGCGCGAGAAGGCAACGAGAAGGATAGCCCCGCGCTCGTTCGTTCCTTCGTTCGTCCAGGTATATATACTCTGTATATAATACACAGGTCTCGTGCACACACGCATACACAGATTTGTGCGTTTGTATTATTTGTGTATGTATGTGCAGGGGAGGGCGCGCGACGACGACGACGACGACGACGAGCGATGATTAAGCCTGTCTAATCACTATCCTCCTCCTCCTCCTCCCTATGCCATATACATACATAAACATATAATACAAGTTTTGTGCTCCGTGTTGCGTGTGTGTGTATATACACGAGCTCGTATCTTCTTCTTTCGCGATTCGCTGGTATTTAATGCACATGCATACGCGATATAAAACTCTTCTTCCATGTGTGTGTACGAGCATATAAAATGGGAAAAATTATGACCACATACAGAGTTTCGCGCTGCGCACATATGTATTTATGTATCGCGATATGTGCACGCGTGTATGTGTATCTTATCTCGCGTTGCGGCGCGTAAACGCAGAAGCTAGCTTTCGCGAGCTTATGTGTCGTCGTCGTATAGTTACGGGCCAGTATATATACCATAGCTGCGGAAAGCCGCTATATATATATATAGAATATCTTACACCGCCGTCGCGGACTGCAGCAGACTTTTGCGCGCTTTTACTTTTCCTGCGGTCGTGTATATATAGCTCTGTGGACCTTTACTACTATTGCTAGATATACTACTACCCACTATATCTATATAGGCAGTGCGCAATGTACACACATAACGCATGCATGTGGCATTTCTTTCTCTCCGCGAGCTCTCTGCGGAGCTGTGTTGCACTATGCGTTGTAGCTTTCCTCTCACACACACACACATAGACTCGTATGGCTGATTGGAAAATGCGGCAGGAATTCGCGTTTCGTAATTATTAAAAAGCCACCTGCGATCGGCGCGCGAAAGGATTGGACGGCCGCGGGAGGAGTAGGGGGGAGATACGCATTGCTACTATTGCTACTACTGCTACTACGCGCATTCGTAAAAGCATTCATTATCGCTCTCTTACATATCATATAAGCACACAGCCTCCGTATCTCCGTGTGAATATATTATTATACATACGTTGGACGTTTGGGAGCAGTTCGAACCTCGACTTTCACGCGCGGGGCTCGTTTATCGATTCGAGAATAGATATTTTTCCTTCCGAGCCGAAAAATAATAATATATTTCGATTATTGCACGCGCGAGTTATCTATCGATACTCGTGCCTGTGTCCCCCCGGCTCGTTTGACAAGTCCAATCACATCGCTCGTCATCGTCTAAAAACGAGTTATATACGTGCGTTCGGAGCTACGCTTCTCTTCTTCCTTCTTCTTTCCTTTTTTTCTTTTTTTTATTTTTACCTCGAATCTTCTCTGTCTCCGCTGTCTATATACCTGCACATAATATGCATATATACGGCACGATGATATATACTGAAAAATTCGAAGGTATCTGTCTCTCTCTCTCATTCTCGTTATATCGTAATGTATCACACGTAATGAATAACGCCGAAAGAATGTCCGTTTTACAACGCTCGCGCGCGCCTTCGTCTCGGTCTCTATTCTCCGTATGTGTCAGGGAGCTCCGGACGATGCTTTATAATACGTAAAATAATAATATAAAACGTTATATACACACACGCGCGCCCGAGTGATGCTCCTTTCAAATTGTTTATTTATATTACGTGTATATATTTTATACCTTTTCTCCTCTCGCTCGCTCCATCGTATGGCATTTTTCATTATTATTTTATACTTTTTACTTCTTCGCCGATCGTTCTGGCAAAAAATAATAATTATGTATCGTTCGCGCACGCGCGAAATCGTGTTTTTTTTTTTTTATTTTATTTTATTTTATTTTATTTTATTTCGTGTCTTTCTCTCTTGTGTTGCTGCTGCTGCTGCCGTTGCTGTTGCGATACGATGATTCATCGTGCAACTTTGGATGATAAATATATGCGAGTAACAGCAGCAGCAGCATAATGTTGAATATATATGCGCGAGGACGATGGCCAATGATACGCGCCCGCTCGTTTGACGTTTCGTTCGTTCCTTTTTTCCATATATTATAATGTATTTTTATACTTTATATATATTTCTTGGCTCCGAGGAGAGAAAGAGACGGCCGGAAACCTTGAATTTGCGATTTTAAGAATTTTCGCGCGCGCGTGTGCGTACGCGAACTAGATCTGTGCAATAACATCGCGGCAAAAGTAGTCGATAATCGAGGAATAAAAAAAAATCGGCAACGCATCGACGTTGTAGAAAGTAGAGAAAAGTGCAGTATAACGCACGGTGTGTATTTACTACGGTGATCATATACGCAGAAATGTGGCAAACGACCACGTGCGGAATATAACCGCGCGCGCACATGCGCGCCCGCGCCCATAGAGAGAGAACCGCGACACACGGTGTGCAAGAGAGTCAGGCGACCTCCGCACCTATACACACACACACAGACATTTAATATGTATCCAGCAGCAGCGGCGGCACACGCGCGTGCCTTTCTCGTGGCTATATATATACACACACATGCCTGCCACATACCTCACCTGCCACTGCTTCTACTGCTGCTGGACAAAGAAGCTGCAGCAGCAACTGCTGTTATTTCGACTATATACACCTTTAAAACGCGCATATTACTCGTCTCTCTCCTTGTGTATACACGATGATTTTTTTCCATGCGATTTGTTTCGCTGCGTCTTTCATATTACATACATAAGCACCTCTCGATTCCCTCCTCTCTGCGCGACGTATATCGTTTACGGGGCGCGCGAGGATCGGCAAAAATTGCGCACACCGCGAGGCGCATGTGTGTGACAGCTGCTACCTGTAATAACGTGGACGCACGAAAACAATGGAAAGTCGCCGCGGTGCACACACACACACACACACACGAGTGCATTACCTGCATTATTACATATTATATTATATATCGTAATACGGCGTGTGGCTATTACGTTATATATATAATCCGCGCTCGTGTGTACATACCGATATCGTACAAGACACACACACACATTAGCCCCGCGCGCGCGAGTTAAAGGGACCGTGTTATACGATGCACGACTTTTACTCGAGGCGATCTCTCTCCGCGCATAGCATAGCAGCTCTTTTATAACGCTGCGCGCACAAGTCGAATGACCTGCCTACTATACACTGCTACACTTGTATCCGTTAAATCGGTATCGTATACGTATGTGTGTGTGTGTGTGCACGAGGCGTGCAATGCTCTGGCTCGTGTGCGCTGTATAGAGTGAAAATATACGCCGAGTAATTATCGTGTGTCTCTCGCAGCCGATCCGCGCCAGCGAATGATAAATTTATGTAAACGATCACGTGTCGTGTTCTTTCTCTCTCCTTTTTCGCGCGCTCTGTTTGTCAAAAACTGCAAATATACATCGATACTTATCGCATATTTATATATTTATTATTATCATCGTACAGATTGAGTAAAGTCTGTAAAAAAGGCTTGGAAAGATTCGCTCAAATTTTTTTCTCTTGTTTGTTTCATCAGCTGGGCGAGGCGGCATGGGAGATACACCAGGTCGTGGTGACGCGCGTGCCCGGCTACGGCTTCGGCATCGCCGTCAGCGGTGGCCGGGACAATCCGCACTTCACCAACGGTGATCCCGCTATAGCCGTATCGGACGTGCTCAAGTCCGGGCCGGCGGAGGGCAAGCTGCGCGTCAACGACCGCATCATCTCGGCCAACGGGCTGTCCCTCGAGGGCGCCGACTACGGGGTGGCGGTGCGCGTGCTGCGCGACTCGGGCTCCACCGTGCAGCTCGTGGTGAAGAGGCGGGCCGGCGGCGCCACCGAGCCGCCAATCAACTGCCAGCAGCAGAGCTCGAATAATCCGAATCTGGCCACGAGCAATCCCAACAACGTCATGATGATGTCGTCGCCCTACGGTCAGCTGCAGTATCAGCATCAACATCAGGGCTCGTCGCCGGCGCATCATCATCATTACTCGTCGTCGCACCAGCAGCAGCAGCTGCAGTCGACCTCGCAGAACTGCAGTCCGAGCAAAGGAGGAGGCTCGTCGATGATGCATCTAACAGCCGCGCATCAACAACAGAGCACGAGCCACAGGCTGAGCCTCAGTCGACCGAGCAAGAAGGACGACTTCGGCATCGTGCTGGGCTGTCGGCTGTTCGTGCGCGAGGTGACGCGCGAGGGCACTGGCGCCCGACCGGGCGACCTGGTCACGCGAATCGCCGGCGTGCCCGCCGAGAACATGAGCCTCAAGGAGGCGCGCAAGCTCATGGACCAGTCCAAGGACAGGCTGGCGGTGGTGGTGCAGCGCCAGGAGACGGCGACCACCAGCTCGGCAACATCCAACAACAGCCTCATGATGGATCCGATGATGATGTTGGACTCGAACGGCGGTGGCGCGGGAGCATCGACCAGCTTATCCATGGAGATCGACAGCAAGCCGTCCGAGCGAGGTGGACAGAACAGCGTTTCGCAGTCGGCGGCAGCAGCGGCAGCAGCAGCGGCGGCTGCTTACAGCAGTCAGAATCTGTACGTGCCACCGCCGACTCGGCAAACGGCGACGTCGACGACAACGAGCATCGAGGACAAGAGTAATTTGGCGCCACGCGGACGCAGCCGAGGACCCTTGCCGATCGTCACGGGCGGTGCCAGCGATCCGCTCACGGGTCTCGAGCCGTCGAGCACGAGCCTCAACAGCAGCGGCGTCATCGGCAACGGCCTGGGCCAGGACGGACAGCAGCCACCGAGACCGCCTCCGCCGCGCCCCGAGGACTACTACTCCACGGGAGGAGGAGGAAAGTCGAGCGGCGGCACTCTGCCCGATCCGCGCTACATCAGCTTCCAGAAGGAGGGCTCGGTGGGCGTTAGACTGACCGGCGGCAACGAGACCGGCGTCTTCGTCTCGGCCGTGCAGCCGGGCAGTCCAGCGGCCGTGCAGGGCCTCCAGGCCGCCGACAAGATACTCAAGGTCAACGACATGGACATGAAGGGGGTGACGCGCGAGGAGGCCGTGCTCTTTCTGCTCAGTCTGCAGGAGCAGATCGATCTCATCGTCCAGCACCGGCGCGCCGAGTACGAGCAGGTGCTGACCTCCGGCAAGGGCGACTCGTTCCACGTCAAGACGCACTTCCATTACGAGCAGCCGGACAAGGGCGAGATGAGCTTTCGCAGCGGCGACGTCTTTCACGTCGTCGACACGCTCCACAACGGCGTCGTCGGCTCCTGGCAGGTGTTCCGGATCGGACGCAACAATCAGGAGGTGCAAAAGGGCAACATACCGAACAAGGCGCGCGCCGAGGAGCTCGCCACGGCCCAGTTCAACGCCACGAAGAAGGAGATGAGCGCCAGCGAGAGCCGCGGCAGCTTCTTCAGGCGCCGAAAGGGCAGCCATCGACGCTCCAAGTCTCTCGGCAGGGTGAGGCTCGCTTTATTTTATTACCCGTTATACTCGGCTCGAACATTTTAGAACGTCAAGGACTTAACTTTGAAACTCTTTTACAGGATCACTGGGACGACGTCGTATTCTCCGACAGCGTCAGCAAATTTCCAGCCTACGAGCGAGTTCTCCTCAGGCACCCTGGATTCATTCGTCCGGTTGTGCTGTTCGGTGCGGTGGCGGACTTGGCCAGAGAAAAGCTTCTCAAAGACTTCCCTGACAAATTCTGCTGTCCGCGTGAGTTAGCTGAACAATACCTTCATTACTAATTACACCTGAAATGCCACAATGCAATCGGTTTTTTTTATATTAACATTACAGAATCCGAGAGCCAAATCGACGAAACGACCAAGAGTCCGAAAACGTCGGGTATAATTCGTTTGAGTGCCATCAGAGAAGTCATGGACCGAGGCAAACACGCGCTCCTGGACATAACGCCGAGCGCAGTGGACCGCCTCAATTACGCGCAATTCTATCCGATCGTCATATTCTTCAAAGCCGACAACAAGCAGATAATCAAGGAGATGCGAGCTGGTATTCCAAAGTAAGAGTCCTGCATATTTTTTTTTAATACTTTTTTTTTGTCCTTAAATTCACGCTCTTCCCTCTGCTCCTCCTCTTTAGATCGGCGCACAGAAGCAGCAAAAAGCTGCTGGAGCAAAGCCAAAAACTAGACAAAATCTGGGGCCACGTGTTCAGCTCCGTGATCACTCTAGCCTCGCCCGAGTCCTGGTACAGAAAGCTGCGAGAGCTCATCGAGTGGCAGCAGCAGGGTCCACTGTGGATGAGTCAGACCAAGGTAAGAGCGGTCGCGTCGACAGTCGATGCGCTTTATTTTTACAATTAGCACGTCGTTGCCGTACTTTATTATTATTATTATAATTATTATATTGCACACGCACGAACTCGTATCCATGTAGAGCACTCGTATCTTCCTCGTACGTATCTACCGCGTGACACAGTAGTTTAGAAAAAAGAAGAACATTATTCGAAATACAAATGAATTATTAAAAGTAGAAGACGTAAGAAAAAAAATTGTTTTGGTGTTGGTTTTTGTAGCCCATAGACATGGTCTCGGATCTCTACTTTCCTATTAAGCATCCTCTGCGCGCGATAGCTCCGTACGATGCGAATTATCACCACCACCAACAACATCACCACCACCGACATTCGCAAGAATGCAACAACAACATCAACGTCCTGGGAATCCCTTATGATCCCTCGTACGTCCCGGAGACCAGATCGCCCGTACACGATCACTACTCCTATCCGATTTACGATTACTATTGCGAAAAGTATCCTGGTGTCATTCGGGAGCAATTTTTCGGCTACTGTTGACTAATATTAACGCATGCGCGCCTCTATTGTGTGCTTCTCTCTTTCCGTATCTTCTATGATTCTATAACTAACGCTAGAATATAATACTGTATATGTTCGCGATAGCTGTATCACAGCTTTCGGGTGATGGGTGTAATGACTAATACGAATAAAAAAATCATCAACATCATTATTATCATCATCATTACCATCAACATCGTTGTTATATTAACAAATAAATGTCATTGGTGCGGGCTTGGCTTTATTCATTATCATGCGCTTTGGGCCACTGCCTACACACATATTACATAGTACATAGATCGTCACATCATCGTGCGCCGCCCTTCAAAACCTTCGAGTATGAATGATAAATAACACCTGCGGTATGGGTCTGTGTCTCTCTGTCCTCGTAGCCCGAAGAGGCGCTATCGGATGACTTCCTGTTCCCGATGACTTCTCGCCTGTCCTACGCCTCGTCCCCGGAGAGCGACCTGGATCTGAGCGGGCCTGCGGCGCCGATGCCCGGCACCCTGGGACTGCCGTCGCGTCTGAAAAGCAGCTCGGATCCGAGCATCGCCACCCAGGACGACCTCGCGGTGGCGCCGCCGCCCTACACGGGCTATCACAATCAGCTGCTGCAGTCCCTCAACGGCACCAACGGCAACGGCAACAATAGCAACAGCGACACTCTGCAGTATCAGCTCGAGAGCGCGGCGGCCATACAGCAGCAGGTCTTCGAGCATCATCAGCGACGCCGATCCCAGCACCATAATCAGCACTACCAGCAGCAGCAACAGAACTCGCCGCAGCAGCAGCAGCAGCAGCAACAACAGAGCCTGTACGTCCAAGGTGGCGGCGGCCAGGGACCGCCGGATCTACCGCCGCGGCTGGATCGCAGCACCAAGCCACCCACCAGTCCGTCCAGTCGCAGCGCGACTCTCGGCCGCTCGGCTCAGGAGAGGCTCATCAATAAGACCGACTCGCTGCTCGACGTCGGCAATTACATCAACTCGTCGCCCCATCGCGGCGCCAACACCAGCGCCACGTTGGACCGCAGCCAGTCGACCAAAGTGGTAAATATATATTTATCATTCGAATGGTCGTTATACTCGACGTATATACTTTATTTCGTTTTCTCGCTCGTTCGTATAGCAAGGAGGAAGCTACGACATGGCGTCGCCCTACGACGCCTACAACAACACGTCGTCGTCGTCGAACGGCGGCGCCTACGCCGGCAACAACGGACTGAACACCTCGACCGGCAGGCTCGGGCCCAACGTGCCCGACGATCTCAAGAGCAGCAGCCTGTGCATCTCGTCGCGACCGCACGATCCCTACAGATTCACCCGATCCACCGCTATACCCGTGCAGGACAGCGCGCCGACAACGACGCGTACCGATTACGCCAAATACAGGTGAGCGAGAAAATCATCGTCGTCGGTCTGTTTAATTTTTTTTTTTGCAAGCGAGATCGAGCTGCATTTTATACACGAGCTATATAGCTAAGTATCATCCGTGAATCGTGTGACAACCGTACGTGCACAATTGAAGCGTTAAAAAGCTGTCTTTGAGAGAGCAGCGCGTTGCGCAACGATAGGATCGAACCAATCAATGACAACGCCGCCGTCGTGCGTCGAGTGCGGTTTTCTGCTTCCTCGACTATAATTGGCGGCGGCAGAGACTTGGCGGGCAAAAAATATTGGCGCGTGCGGCTATATTTATACAATATACATCGACGCACTTGACTTTTATGAATTGCCATTGTCGGCGAATCGAGTTGATTCTCTCGATGCTCTTGTGATATATTACGAGTCGAGAGATGGACGTTCGCACGATATTTTTTTTCATCGTTTCTTTTTATCTACATTTAATGTCATTGTCAAGTCTCGAGTGGTCGGTTAATAAATATCTCACGCGCGTCGAGTGCGTGTATTATTATTGAACCAATTGATAATGGCGATCGATCATCTCACACTTCTCTTCTTTTCTTTTTTTTTTGTCTCTTCTCTCGCAGTCGAACCGGCGATTACAAGACGCTGCCCGCGAATCAGCCCAAGTCCGGCACGGGAACCTACAAGCCCGTACCGCCGCCCAAGCCGAAGAACTATCGACCGCCCCAGCAGGCCATCGCGCAGGACGAGAACAACGGCAACGGCATGTACCAGCACGCCAAGAGCTACTCCATGGGCGCGTCGCATAACATGCACAACGGAGTGAGTACACCTGCTGCGTTCTAATTTTTGGGCTTGCAATTTTCCATGATATATACGAACTCTTTCGATCGATCGATTTTTTATTCCTCGCTCGCAGAACGATCAAAACGGAATGAACGCGCAGCGCAACAGCGGACAGTACTACTACAACATAACGCCGCAGGGCAGAAGTCACCAACAGCAGCAACAGCAGCAGAGCGAGGGCAATTACTCGAGCGGCTCGAGTCACGCGGCTGCCGCTGTCGCGTACGGCAACAGCCAGGGCTCGCAGCACAGCCACAGCTTGTCGCACTCGCAGCTGATGTCGAGCCCGGCCTCGAACATGCCCATCATGCCGTCGCACTCGTACAGCGCCAGCAGCGCCGGCCTCACGTCGCCGCCCCACGTCTCCTCCCATGGCTCTCGCTCGGCGGCTGCCAACAACAACAATTCCACCGGTGGCGGCAACGTCACCATGAACGGCCACAGTCACAGCAGCAGCCACAGCGGCCTGGGATTAGGTCAGAACTCCATGACGGCCATCAACAACATACACAATCGCGAGCCCAGCACCCTCGACTTGGCGGGCAGCCGAGAGCAACGCGGCAGCGCCTTCGAGCTCTACCGGAAACCCCTGCATCACCATAACATGAGGTAAGATCGGACCGCGTTCGTTTCCTTGATTCCGTTTATTTTTATATTACGATCTACATAGTTTACTAATCGATTAACGCTTTTACATTTCGATCGGAAAACTTTTGCTTTAATGAAAAATACGAAAAAAAAACACATACAATCAGCGAGCCCAATTATGATAATTGCGTAACGAATGCAACGGCCACGAGCGTACTAACCGATTCTTTGGTGCCGGTTAATTGTAGCAGGCCGATGGGGATGGCACGAGGTACGTTCGATAGCGAGGGTGGCGTGCTGGAAGGGCCGGGAGGCGTTACCCTGATAATACCTCCCGGCGCCTTGCCGCCCGACAGCCAGCAAGAGATCTACTTCACCGTAACCGATGCCAATGGCGTCGACTTTCATAACGATGGCACTCGCGGCCATCGCTCCTCGATATCTCCTCCTATGCACAATGGTGAGCTAATGAAATTTCCTTCGCCCGCTGGTGTTTTGGGTTGGTGCCTGGGTTGTTTGTTTGTGTGCGCGTGTTTCGCGCGGTGACGGGCCTCTTGTGATCGCAGTGGTGCTGGTGGTAGTTAATAGCCTAATTCGAAGCGCCTAATTACAATTGTTTTTCGAGTTTACGTATGAAACGTATTTTTTTCGATTTCTAATGCTCTGTTCCTTTTTTTTTTACGACGACAGGTGAATCCATGCTCAGTCCACTGGTCGAGTGCGGCCCCAAAGGATTCGTCTTCTCGAGTCCCGTCGAGCTGAGGATTCCACACAGAGCGACGCCGGCGCACAGACTGGCGCTCAAGGCGACCGACAACGAGAACCAGCAGGAGGCCGACTGGCTCAACGTGAAGCTGCCGGACCCCACGTCCGATCACGTCATCGTGAAACTCGACCATTTTTAGATTAATATATTATTTATTATATATATTTGACCTGTGGTGCACACACTTATTTAAAAAAAAAAGCAGCATTTACTAGCAAGTATACGCTATCTCTGCTAAAAGTATAAATTAGAAAATATTATGCCGATACGCGGGAATCGGTTCATTGAATATTTTTCGTAATGTACTACTTTAGCGTGATAATACAAAAAAAAGAGATTATATTAATTTTGAAAAATTGTAAAAAAAAAAATACGTATCCGACAATGGAATCGAATGAACGTGGTTTTACTTACGAGATTAAAATTGAAGAATTGCTCAGCTTCGCCTGCACCATTAGGCAAAGGCAATTCTGAAATTAATTAGCTCTCTATAGATCGTATCGGAGTACAGTATAAACGACTTTCATGATTCTTATTGATATACACATGGAATGGATGAAAAATTTAGTTTTTTGTAAAATCACTAAGTTTTGCAACATTCCATCGAGGTTTTTCTGTTTTTCTTTTGCATTTATCTGCATTTCTCTGCGGCCTATATTTTTAGTTTTATAATTCATCGATAATCGGTGATGTACCATCCGTGTAAATAATGGCTAGCGAGATCATAATGAAATACCAAAAGAACAAAGATCGACTGTGGATCAACAATAATATAATTAGCGCCTACTTGACAGTCATGACATCGAACGTAATATTACTCGTAAGAATTTCTAATTGTGATTTTCGTTTTTTATACTTTTTTTATTTTTATATGTACGTCAAAGTTATGTTGTATAATTTGCGATGAAAAGAATCAATCGATTAATGGAAAATGTCGGGAAAATCTAGAAACAATTTATAGTTTATAGCTTTATCAAATTGGCTTCCAGGAATTTTCCTAGTCTTTTCACGTACTTTTTTTCCGAATACTCGTTGCATAGCATATTGAATGTACAATTTTGAAGAAACTCTGTTAATGTTTCGTAAAAAGCAATAATAATATATAATTGATTTATATATATGTAAAAATTATGCCCTTGAATTGTTTGATTGCTCTACTGCGATTAATTTAATTAATTAATAATTATACAATAAGAGAATTTTATTGTAAGGTGTTGAATCTCCTAGGATTAGGAAAAATTTAATTATTCATGTGTTTCCGTCGAACATGCAGGTGATTTTATCAAAATAATCTATGAAAAATACAAAATAAATCATTTATTTTATTTGTAATAACAGAAATAAATATATGTTGCTTGATTGTTCAAAAACATTCACACAAAACTTAACAATTTTTATTCATAACGAACCACTCCTACATATTATATGTACAATCTATACAATACATTTTTCAACACTAAAAACATGTTAATCCAATCAACGGACTATTGAACAATATCGTAAATGGTGCTGTTCACTTTTGAACCAGCAAATAAATAATTCCGGCCAGAATGACGAAACGGCGATAAAATTTGAATATCCTCGGACCGGTATGAAATGAGCAGTTGGAATTTCTACGAGCAAAAAAAAACATGTTTACATAAAAAAAATAAGACCTGAATGATTTAGTCATTTTACGAAGTATTTTTACCGCATATAAATTATATACGTGAATGAAAAAACTTCCATCCTTGGTTGTTGTGAGAACATATGCTGCGCTTTTGGCAAATTCTGCACGAAAATGTTCAATCATTAGCTTATATTTAGAGATAAAGCTTCTTATGGTGAAAAATATGCTGCAACGTACCTCGTGCGTAAAATACGTCAAGGCTCATAACTTTCGAATCGAAAAACAAATTTTGATAATTATCAAAACTATCCGAATCGAAATCGTAATTGAATATTTGAACAGCCTCGATGTCGGGATTACTCAACAGGACAAAATTAGAGTCACGATAGCTCAACGATGCTACGTGCTCGCTTCCACCAGTCGCAAAGGTGCGAACGAGCTGAAACTGAATTAATCATGATATTGTAGTGATCGTCGAAAAAGTGCATTGAAAAAAGGAGGGGATCAAATACCTGTTTGAAATTGGGAACGAATCTCCAGAGCGAAGACTCCGCGCTGCCTTTTATGCATCCGACGAGTAGGTGCACGCCTACGTTGACGATTTCAAAGATTTTGACGGATGCGGCACCTTCGGTCGGTATAGCCTGAATCAGAAACGATGTGTTCCTCGCGAAATCGAACTCGTACAGCCACGACGCGGTCGAATGGCTGTTCCAGGTTTTATCGTAGAATACAGCGACAAACAGATAGATCTTATCTGCAATGAATAAAATTTTCTTATTATAAATGCGTGATCGTTATTTACGATCGAACTTTTACCATCAAGAACAAATATATCAGCATCCTTGACAAAGCCCTGTATCTCGGCGACCAATTTTCGATCTCGCGGATCTTCGTAGAACATCGTCAAGAACACCCTCGTCAGCTCCGTTAGATCCAAGCCCCTCAAGCAGTCCTGACCGGTCGAGACTGCGCTACTCGCGACGCTGAGCTCGAATCGATCTTTCGCATCGTAAAAGTTGAAAACGACGTCGCTGTCGTGGCTGCTTCGGAGACTGTACTCGCCAGAGGGTAGAATGTCGACGACGTGCTGGCGTCTGCAGTGACAATTCGAGTCTGTCAAACCACAGTAATTGCCTGGCTCGATAGTGTAAATGTCCAAACGCGTAATTGATTCGCTGATTTTGGAGCTTTTGAATTTGAAGGCGTTGGCCACGTGGATCTTGTTTATTGTCTCGCTTTCCTCGAGATAGAATTCAGGATCTTCAGTAAACAGGCGATCGATATCAATATCATAGTTCAATATCGAACCGTATGTATGTCCGGCAACATTAATATTTTTGACGAATTCGACGTCGTTCTCGAAAATCTACAATGAAGTGTAGGGTGAAAAATCAACTAAAAATGTGAAAATAATAAATTTCTTACCAAATCACCGCAGATTTCGATATTTTGAGCGCTTTTCACACTATCCAGGGCGTAAATTTCGTCGATATTGACATCGTTTATCTTTGGAACTTCCAAACCACCGTTGATAGTCAAATTCGACATGAAATGTTTATTACCGTATATTATCTTCATATCCTTGCTATCGTCATTTTGAACCAAAGATTCGGGCTCGATTCCGTTGATAAGTTTCGCGTAGGTCCTGCCTGAGTTTTCACTTTTATTAGAAAATCCAGGTTTAAAATTTAAAAGAAGCGTTGACTTTAAACTTACCGATGACGTCGACGGTTTCAGTAAACTCAACGTCTCCTGATATCTGATAATCGCCATCGATAGTTATTCGATCTCGTACAAACTCATCGAAATTGACCCCATCCCAATATTTTAGCGACACATTGTTTTCGACCACTAAATGTTCGAATCGTATACGATTTGGCAATTCTTTGTCAATCGTGGCTATATTCTCCAATGAGACATTATGAATTCGACTGTCGCTGATCAATTGGCCGATTTTAATGTCCTCTGAAAACTCTACGACGGGCATGACATCGCCGGTATTTTTTTGAAAAATTTGCGGAAACACCCGATCCACGTATACGTCGTTGATTCTATCGACGTTGAGATCTCCATCGACCGTCAGATCGTTCACGAGCAGCTCCTTTTTGAATTTTTTCCTTCCGCGAATGATGATCGGGGCCGCCGTGTCGTCATCGCTGTCGATAACTGCATCTTCGATAACTCCTTGAACCATTTCCAGTGCAGGACTTTCAACAGGAATCCGCAAAGAATCGACGCTCACCGGAGCCAAAAATTCCACAGGACAGTCGAAGGTTTGATTGCCACTCTTGGTCATCGCGTTTTTGAATAGATAGCTCAAGGATTGTGGCTTCGAAGAATCTTCTTCCCACATCAAGTCACCAAAAACATGAAGATTAATCGGGTGTTTAATCGAAAGGACTTGATTTATTTTAATTGCCTAGGTAAAAAAAAAAAAAATTACAAGGTACATGGTCAATAGTTTTAAGTAATTTTTAGGCATACCTCTGACAATGGTTTTTTGGTTTTCAAATTTCCTTTCAATACCAAATCATTGAAAGTCACGTTTCCATTAAACACAGCCGGTTCGTTGACGTACATCAAATTTGACAAATTCATACCATTCATTTTATTGCACTTTAGATTAACAACTTTCACATTCTGCACTTTTAAATCTCCTGTGTAATTTTCATCTTCGATTTTATCCAACATAGTATGAAAAACTTGATTTACATCATATCCATTTAAAGTACTGACATTCAAATTTTCCACTGAACGTAAATGTCGCAAACTTTTGGGCCCAATCAAATCGGACGGATCCATACTTTTCAGCTGAGTTAAGTAGTCACTTGCGTTCATTCCGTTGATGAGTCGAGCTTGCAAGCTGTTATCGATTTCGACGTCCCCTTTGACCGTAAATGCCACTTCATAAGGATTATTTATGATTTCCAACAATTCGTTCAAGTTCGAGCCGCACAAATTTTCCACCGTTAAATTTTCAGCACTAAACTCATGAACCTCTAATTTGTCTTCGTAAATGTTATCATTAATTGTCAGAGCTTTTTTGATTATCGAGGCATCTTGAGAATTCAGAGTTTCCATCCACAGGCCCTCGACGTTCAAGCTGCCATCCACATGAAGCTCTTCGAATTCCGTAAAGTCCGGAAACTTCAAACTTGAAATATTTTTCATGGACATTAATTGATCAATGTCTACACCATTGTAAAAATCGGTAATCATACTATCGACTTGTAAATGTTTCAAACGTATGGGCTTCTTGAAGGTCAGTAACATGGGAGATTCGTCGATAAAATCCGAAATCTCGCGATTATTTTCATCGAAAACTCGATTGAAACGGAAACGAGAAAAGGTAACGTTCTCCAGACCGTCGAATTCAGTGTCGGTAGTATAAACGAAATCTTCCTCGGCGAAACCATTGAGGAAGCGACAGTATAACTCGTCGATCGATGCTCCTTCTTCAAATACCACAGAATTGACGATGGTTTGATCCGTCGACTTGGTCCATGAATTTTCCAGGATTTCCTGCACGTTTAGATCGCTTCCATCGACTATCAAGGACGACTGTTCTTTCATGAAAAAATTGTTCACGTAAACGTCGCCGTTTATGTGAACCTCGTCGTACACTTGAAGCGGACGAGCGAACGGCATGGAGAAGTTGCCCCGCACTTCCAGTTCCTCGATTATTTCCAAATTGGCCAAGCTGACTCTGCCCTTGATGACGTTCTCTTGAGATATTCTCGCTGCTTGATCGACTCGCACGCCGTTGATCGTTTCCACGTACAGATGACGAACGTCGAGATTCTCGATGTAAACGTCGTCGAGAAATTGATCGTCGGATTTAGTGAGCAAGGCATCGAACGGTACGCCGTTGATCTCATCTGCGAACACCTGTGTCGCACGCGAGCAAGTTTTGTACGTGACGTTGCCTAAAAAAAAGTATTGGTACGAAAAATGTATTTTTCATCGTTAAAAATTTAGTACAGTTTAATCTTTTTAACCATCGATTATTTGATTTTTTCCGATAATGAAAAAATCGTCCATGAGCTTATTAATATTTTTTCCGTTAATCGTTTCGGTGCTTAGATTCTCAACGAAAACATCACCATCAACGACAAGTGTATCTTCTCCAACGATCGACGCTTTGTTCCAATCGATACCGCTCAGATCCGTTTTCTCCTCGTCGTCGACCAATAGCCAATCTAATGCACAAAGGAAAACTGCGAATTAAAAAAAGTTCTATTTATGCAGCCATCGGCAAAGCTTACTGGACGATTCGAGTCCGCAAATCGACGGCACTTCCAGATCGTGTATCACGATGTTTTTAGCTTCCAGCGGCCGGTCGAAAGTCTGATCGAGCTCGTCCAGGAGGATGCTCGGGGCGTCGAACGCCACGCCGTTGATGCTCTCGACCTCGAGGCGATCGATTTCCAGCTCGTCGATGTAGGCGTCACCCTCGACCACGAGGCCACGACCCGACAGATCCTCGATCTCGTTGGCCATCGACGCTTTTCTCAACAAATCGTCCACCTTCGCGCGCAGTTCGAGCAGTTCGTCGAGAATGATCTCGGGATTGAGGCTATCGCTGTCTTCGACGTCGAATTCCACGGACGATAGTTCGACCCGATCGCTGTCTATGAATATTTGATCGAATTTCAGCGGCATACCGGACATCATTTGATTCATGAATCTTTCCGATTCTTCCAGAGCTGCGCCTCGTTTATCCAGAGCCACTTGCAATTCATCCAAGCACTGCTGGACGTCTTCGTGCGTTACATCTGCAAAAAAAAAAGACAATAATAAACATTTGAAATTCCAAGATCTTAGAATCGACGTTGTCAATACACGACTCACCCGGAATTCTTTGCCGAAAGTGCAAGGACCACAGCTCGGTGTTGTAAACGCCGGTGATCGGATCCTGCTTGATGAGCATTATCATGGGTATGCCGCGATGCTCCCAAACCGTTACGTCGACCACTCGCTGATCTGGGGAAAACGTGTGAATCGAGAGCAGAGTGCAAGATCGATGCTCGATCTTGTATACCAGCAGAGTGTTCTGCAAATTCGAAATAAGAAATTTAAAAGCCTTTTTCTTTCAAAGAATGGAGTGAAGAGCATGTGTTACCTCGTTACAAACGAAAAGCAAAGTATTGCCGTTGATGCGTTGTATGTTCAAGATGCTCGTGGATCTCAGATCCGGCACGTCGAGCCATTTTTTCAATTCATTGCCTGCGCGAACCATCGTCAATTATAGTTATTCATTTATTACTTTTTGTAGAGACACAAACTCACCGTCCCAAAAGTACACGGCACTGGTCGACTCGTCGCCGACGATCAGCAGGTAATTCGTGCCCGCGAAACGGTACGGATAAATCGAGGCGATCTCGCCCATGTTCTTGAGCCAGGTCAGGGGCTTGACGATCGTGTTCTTGTTGTCCCGACTGTTGCGCATCTCGTACACTATGCAGGTCACTCCGTCGCCGTCCGCACCGCCGCCGCCGCCGTCGTCGACGACGACTCTTCCCTCGAGCGCGAAAACCAGGAGGACGACGCTGCTGTCCTCGTTGCTCGGCAGGAACGTCACGGCGGCGACGGGCGGTGTGCGCAGCTCGCCGATCGTCAGCATCGCGCCCTCTCCGTTCCATTCGTACAATCTGCCGGTAATGAATGAGCGATTGAGCCATAGAAAAGACATTGAAAATTATATTTATACATTTCTAATTAATACTCAATTGATCGCCTTAAAAAGTCTCGGCATTGTTTCAATGATGATTGTTGTGTTTTTTCCTTTATTATAATAATATATCAGATAAAGAATAAAATGACAACTATGCAAGGGGAACTCTTTGAACACCAAAAACAACACGTTGAACCAGTGGCGCAGTAAAAAAAGTGCCGCCTCCCTCACGCAAATTATTATTTGACGCCCGGTAGTTGAGTTTTAAAAACTTTTAAAATTAAAATCGGAGTATCAAAGTAAGATTGTGGATTGATAAAAGTACAAAGAAAGAGATAACATCAATTGGGAGAGCTTTTAATAATTTAAAAAAATTTTTAAAACACTTATTGGTGGTAAATTCTTTACAGGTCCGGAAAGCCAATATATTAGCATATCAACACTTTTCCTATGATCGATCAACGATTTAAGATACCTTCAATGCTAGTTAGCAAAAAAAAATCTTGCCTATCGTTGTATGCATCAAAAATTGGGGAGTGACTATTAGCAGTCGTCTAGTAAAAACAAAAAGCAGCAACTACCGCGACAGTGAAAAAAAGTGTAATGATTGTTAATAACACGAGGTTCAGGTAAGACACAATATTATTAACACAATATTTATTGAAAGACATTTATGTAAGTATCTATACATATTCACAATTGTCAAGAAGAAAACTAATGTTTTTCGTTATTTGATTTGAGAGATACACAATCTTTTTTGAGAAACTATTGAAAGTATAAGACTGGATTATCAACTGACGTGAAATTCGATGCATATTATTTTCTATCGTGAGCATAAAAGCACGCTTCATCCATTTTTACAGAGTTAATAGCAAAGCAAACCATTTTAAAAGAGATCTCACATTTTTCAATAAGTTTGAGACTTAAAGTTTGATGTCTTTTCACAAGTTTTCAGGGCGAAATCTTGATAATCTTTGTGGACTTTTATTTGCAGTGTAAACAAATACATTCTCGCTTGCGTTAGAGTCAATATCATCGCGACCATTGTGTACTGTCCTTCGGTGTGAAAGCAAATTCGATTTCTGCCCAAATTTCTTCGCGCATTTATCGCATTCGTAATCTTTACGACCCTCGTGGACTACCCTTTGGTGCTTGAACAAAGCAGATGTAGTTCCAAATGTCCTCTGGCATTTGTCGCACGTGTGATCTTTGCGACCTTCGTGAATTGTCTTTTGATGATCGAGCAAATGAACTTTTTGTCCAAATTTTTTCTCGCAATTGTTGCATACGAAATCTTTGCGGCCTTCGTGTACTGTTACTTGGTGCTTTAACAAATGTGATTTTTTCCCAAATTTCCTCTCACAACTGTCACATGCGTAATCTTTACGACCTTCATGGACTATTTTTTGGTGGTCGAGCAAATGTGATTTTTGTCCGAATTTTTTCTCGCACTTGTTGCATGCGTAATCTTTGCGACCCTCATGTGTTGTTTTTTGATGCAACAGCAAATGGTGTTTATAACCAAATTTTCTCTCACAACTGTCGCATGCGTAATCTTTACGACCTTCGTGGATTATTTTTTGGTGGTCGAGCAAATGTGACTTTTGTCCGAATTTTTTCTCGCACTTGTTGCATGTGTAATCCATGTGACCTTCGTGTACTACCTTTTGGTGTTTTCTTAAATAGCTTCGAGCTCCAAACTTCTTATCGCAATTGTCGCATGCGTAATCTTTGCGACCTTCGTGTACGATCCTTCGGTGCTGAATCATAATCCATTTTTGCCCAAATTTCTTCCCGCACTTTTCGCAAGCATAATCCTTGCGACCTTTGTGGGCTAACCTTTGATGACTAATCAAAATGCTTCGATTTACAAATTTTTTTCCGCAATTGCCACATGCGTAATCTTTGCGACCTTCATGTACTGTCATTTGGTGTCTATTCAAATTGCTTGGATTCCCAAATTTCTTCTCGCATTTTTTGCACGGGTAATTTTTGCAACCTTCGTGCACCATTTTTTGGTGGTAGAGCATATTTGATTTTGTTCTAAATGTCTTAGCACATTTGTCACATGTGTAATCTCTCCGACCCTCATGAACTGTTTTTTGGTGTAAAAGCAAATTTGATTTACGTCCAAATTTCTTTTCACAATTATTGCATGCGATATCCTTGTGGCCTAAAGTCCATTTCTTTCTAAATTTTTCCCCGCATTTGTCATATTGGTAATTTTTATGACCGTCGTGTACTGTCCGTATGTGCAAGAGCATACTTCGTTTATTTTCAAATCTCTTGGCACATATTTCACATAAGTAATTTTTGAAAACTTCGTGGAATATCTTATTGTGCTTGAGTAAAGTTGATTTATTTTCAAATTTCCTCTCGCACTTGTTGCATGTCAAATCTTCGCGATCTTTATGCACTAATTGTTGGTGCGCAAGCAAACTTGATTTTTTCACAAATTTCTTCTCACACTGGTTACATGCAAAATTGTTTCGTTCATTGTGAATTTCGTCTCGGTGTGTTATCATATTCGATTCTAGTGTAAATGCTACCTGACAAATATCACAAACGTATTTTTTGTCGTCCGAAACGACAATGTCCAGTTTACTTGAATTATTTTCCGAGACAACTTGTCCGGATTTTTTCTCGCTTTTATCCATTTTGTATAGCCTAAATTAAACGATGAATTTTTCTATTTAGTACCACGGTAATTGAACGAGTAAAATTTATCTTGTACTATTATGACTTGCTTCATCGGAAAAGACAACATTCAAATTAATTTGTTTTTAATATCAAAATGATCAGTTTACGAAGTTAAATCGTTCATGATCGTATTGTTTACAAGTAAGTCCCCGACTGATTTATTTTCACATTCGCTAGGGCGTAATGTCTGGAGAAAATATAAGAATGTTCCAAGTGGTAGATTAGAAAAATTGTGCCACTCACGCGATTCGGAAGGGAATTGACAAAGATTTTGAATTGTTAAAAGTACCAAGAAAAAAAAACAGTTATGCGAGCTTTTATTAATTTTGAAGAAATTTAGAAAACATTTTTTGTTTTCAATAAAAGGTTTCCTACTTGATTTTTGCAGTAATAATGTATGATAACTTGTCTCTTAGCAGAAATAAAAAGTCAGAAAATTTAACAAAATCTTTCATCATAGTGAAAGTTCGATCGATTCGGGATCCCAATATTATTGCGTGAGGTTAATCAAAAATCCAGTTCGAAACAATGTGTGAAGAAACTCTCGGCTGATCGTTGTTTGAATAACTGCAGGTAACCAAGGAGCCGAAAATAAAACACAGTTGATATCAAGTAAGACACAATCATAATTATTGAACATTTTTATTGAAATTTCAGAAAAAATATATGTATTTATACAAATTTACTATTGTCAATCATCATTTCTTTTCGAAATCATTGCATGCTTAATCCTTACCATCTTCGTGAAATCTTATTTGGTGTTTGAGTAAATTCACTTTTCGTCCAAATTTCTGCTCGCACTTGTCACATCCATAATCTTTACGATTGTCATGGACCGTTTTTTGGTGTACAAGTAAATTCGATTTATGTCCAAATTTGTGCTCGCATTTCTCGCATGCGTAATCTTTGCGACCTTCGTGAATTAATTTTTGGTGTTTTCTTAAATAGCTTCGAGCTCCAAACTTCTTATCGCAATTGTCGCATGCGTAATCTTTGCGACCTTCGTGTACGATCCTTCGGTGCTGAATCATAATCCATTTTTGCCCAAATTTCTTCCCGCACTTTTCGCAAGCATAATCCTTGCGACCTTCGTGGACTAACCTTTGATGACTATTCAAAATGCTTTGATTTACAAATTTTTTTCCGCAATTGTCGCATGCATAATCTTTGCGACCTTCATGGTTTATTTTATGATGTCTGAGCAATTGCTGTTTTTGTCCGAATTTTTTCTCGCACTTGTCGCAAGCGTAATCTTTCCGGCCTTCGTGTACTACCTTTTGGTGGACGAGGATATTCCATTTTTGGGTAAATTTCATTTGGCACTTGTCACACGTGTAATCTTTGCGACCCTCATGGACTGATCTTTGGTGCTTCAACAAATCTGATTTACTTCCGAATTTCTTCTCACATTTGTCACACGCGTAATCTTTCCGACCTTCGTGGATTGTTTTTTGGTGCTTCAACATATCTGCTTTTAGTCCAAACTTCTGCTTACAATTGTCGCATATGAAATCTTTTTGACCTTCATGGACTCTTTTTTGGTGCGAAAGTAAATTCGATTTGTGTCCAAATACCTTTTCGCACTTGTCGCATTGGTAATCTTTGCAACCTTCGTGTATTGTTTTTTGGTGTATGATCAAATGCAATTTGCGCCCAAATTTCTTCTTGCACTCGTCGCATACAAAATCTTTGCGACCTTCATGAACTGTCCTTTGATGGGAAAGCAAATGTGACATTTGTCCAAACTTCTTCTCACATTTGTCGCATGCGTAATTTCTGCGACCCTCATGGACTGTGTTTAGGTGTACGAGCAAATTTTTTTTTTCTGTAAACGTCTTCTCGCATTTGTCACATGCGAAATCTTTGCGACCTTCATGGACTGATCTTTGGTGCTTCAACAAATCTGATTTACTTCCGAATTTCTTCTCACATTTGTCACACGCGTAATCTTTCCGACCTTCGTGGATTGTTTTTTGGTGTCTGAGCAAATGCTGTTTTTGTCCAAATTTTTTTTGGCACTTGTTGCATGGGTAATCTTTAGGACTTTTTTTCACGGGCTCACAAATGAAATCTTTACGACTGCCGTGTACCATCTTTATGTGCAAGAGCAAACTCTGTTTATTTCCAAATCTCTTCGCACATTTTTCACATAAGTTATCTTTGAAAACTTCGTGGAATATTTTTTTGTGCTTGAGTAAAGTTAATTTATTTTCAAACTTCCTCTCGCACTTGTTGCATACATAATCTTCGTGTTCTTTGTGTACCAATTTTTGGTGCGTAAGCAAACTTGATTTTTTCACAAATTTCTTCTCACATTGGTCACATGAAAAATCTTTACGGCCTTTGTGTTCTGATATCTGATGTCTACTAAAATGATTTCGAAACTCGAATTTCTTCTCGCATTTGTCGCATTCATAATCTTTTTGTTCATTGTGAGTTGTATCTCGGTGTGTCATCATACTTGATTCTAGTGTAAATGCCTCTTGGCAAATATTACAAACGTATTTTTTTTCGTTTGGTACAACAGTGTCGTGTTCACTTGAATTATTTTCCGAGACAACTTCCTCGAATTTCTTATCATTTTCATTCATTTTGGTGACACAAATAAACGATGGATTCTTTTATTTAGTGCTACGAAATTTGAACGAGTAAAATTTTTCTTTTAGTATTATGGCTTATATCGTCGGGGACAAGACTCAAACTAATTTGTTTTTACTATAAATATGATCAATGTTACGAGGGATCATTTAAAAATCGTCTATGATGTTTATATTGTTTACAATTGAGTTACCGATTTTCTCTATTTACTTATTATCGCTACAATATTTAAACCAGCTTGTAATTCTAAGCGTCAATTTCTTCGGAAAATATTTAGGCTTCCTAAAACTAATTAGCGCAATTATCTGTAACGTCAAATAATATAGTAAAGAAGTGAATATTTATTCAAAAATAGGGGAGTGCGCGCGGAGTCGCTTCTTTCGGAAAATGTGTAAAATGTGAATATTTTAACTTTAAAATTCTAACTTAGCAACGATTTCTTCGAGGAATGTTTTTGAACTTCTAAAAAACTAAGCCCTTTCAAACTAAGTTCATTTCAAAATTTGCCGCCCCCACGTCATGGCGTGGTCGACGTGCTCCATGATTCGCCATTGCACTAAATACTGTTATTCAGGGTCACTTTATTAAACTAATTTCAAAATTCTTAAGTATGTACCTTACATTACGTCTATTCATAAGTATGTACCTTATTATGTCTTCATTATGTAGGTTTAATATAATTCTATTAAAGTTGTTTAATATGTGATTTATGGCGTTCAAAGGATTTTCTTTACATACTTAATCGTCATTTTATTTATTAAATAATTCTTGAAAATTATGTAAATGAAACTTGTGACCTAATTAAAACATCATATCAGGGGCCACTTTTGTTCACACATTTCGTCATTGAAATATTCAAGCTTAGTTAGTACCAAAATATGTTCGATAATTCTGATATCCTTATTGCTAAAGTGTATTTTTCAGCTCATATAGGATTACGAAACCATTTGTTGATTTTGATTTTTAAATATTTTTTTTTTTGAATTAGAACTTAATGAGCGTTGCGATAGAGGGTGTTGACCCTTGAAAAACAAGCGAGCGCGGTCTCTTCTGCTGTGGCGACTGCTTGCTGCGGTGCTGCACCGCGCGTGTTCATTCACGTTACCCGTCGTCAAACGACAGTCGACTGGCTTAAGTCGAGACTTAATACGACATATTACACGTGAACAAAAGTAAAAAATTGCAGCGAGTGATTCTTGTGAATTGAGTGGGTCGGAAAAATGTCCGACGACGATTCCGACGACACTTTCGACAACGAAACGGATTTGGAAAAATTGAAGAGATTACGAGAAACAGTCGATTGGGCGAACGAGGACGAGCGATTCGAATTTCTCCGTCAACTCTTCGACTTGATCGACAATTGGGAGGACGAGCTTCCCGATCTCCGTGACGTTTTGAGCAAGGAAGAAATCGACTGGCTTCTCGCGGAGTCCGCGAGCCCGAGGACAGCGGGCTGGTGCAAGGGAAAACAATTGATCGATTTCGTGGCTCGCACGGGCTACAAGGACGAGCCGAGGCTCGACGAGAACGGCCGGCCGCTGCTGCGCTACACCACCGGAGTGCACCGGGCTTCGATTCGGATGAAGTACGAGCCCGTGCCGGATCTCTTCGAAATTTACCACAGGCGCGACGTGAACTACACCGACGACTCGGGTCTGACGCATTTTCACGTAGCCTGCAAGACCGGCTGCCTCGAGGTCGTGCAGAAGTTCCTCGAGCTCGGCCAGGATCCGAACTGCCTCGTGCGCGAGACGGGCGAGTCGCCGCTGCACTGTGCCGTGGCCTCGCGCTGCGAGGACGTCGTCCGATTGCTGCTGGACAACGGCGCCGACCCCAATCTGGCCAACGCCGAGGGCGAGACGCCTCTGCACGTCTGCCTCGGCAACAGCGACGACGAGGGCTTGGCGAAGCTGTTCTTCGAGATCGACGACGACTCGAGACGTCGAATTATCCAGGTCGACGCTCCGGATAAGTTGGGTCGGACACCGCTGCAATGGGCCGTGGCGAATCTCATGCCGGACGTGATCGACGCACTACTGGATCGTGGCGCTGATTTATCGAGCTTCGTTTTTCCCACCGATGATTACTTCGGCCAGAATTCGTCTCAGCATCTCTCGGAAACGTGGGAAAATTTTCACCTGAGACTGGCGTCCGGTGCCCTGGCGGCGGTCGAGCGTCTCGAGAGACGAGGATACGAGCTGGACCTGAGCGGCGCCACGACGATCATGCACATGTACGCCCGGCACGCGCTGTTCGACCAGTCGCCGAAGAAGAACGACGAGTGCCGCTGGTACGACGACGAAAAGTTCGCCAACCAGTCCAAGGATCTGACGATAATTCCGAGTCTGTCGCTCTACGATCTGATACGGATGCGACAAGAAGAGGCGGAAATACTGGTCACGCCCGGAGACTACTTCAGGTTCGCGGGCGAAGATCACGAGTGGCTGCTGCGCGGACGACACAGGCTCGCTTGCGCCACGCACCTGTGCGAGAAACTCGCGCGACGATTTTTCCGGCGCTGGGCGCTGAATTGTTTCTTGGAGCTGACGGGCCAGCGGCTGCCGATTCTCTGCTGCGACATCGTCATCGAGCAGCTGATGAACGAGGACTTGTATCGTGTTTGCTGCGCGGCTATGGGCCAAAAGGCAACGCCATCGATAACGGTATTTTACGACGATGATGACCATTGTTATAAATGAAAAGATTTATTCATTAATAAAATTAATTGATTTAAAAAACGAATCAGACTTTCTTATTTTTATCATACTGCACTTTTTCAGCCATAACTCACCTCGTAAAATCTTACTGTCGATTACAAATACAACAATGAAGATTCAATTTTCGACCAACATACATTTCACATTGAATATGATACAATATAGCTTACTTGGTCGGCTGTGCGTTTGCTCTGTTGGCGTCGGAGTAGGGCACGAGCAGAAAGAATCTGTCGGCGCGCGGCACGAAGCAGGCGTCGACCACCAGCAGACCGTCCGCGTGCAGCAGCTGGACCGCCCGGAAGGGCAGCTGGGCGACGTCGCCCCGGCCGTGATACAGGCTGCAGCCTCGGCTCTGGCAGACGAGCAGGAACAGAGTGCCCCGCCAGTTGTGGCTCTGCGAAATCGTTGGCGATCGAGATTCGCGATCATACCTTTTTTTTTTGTGTAAAAATGTAAAAATAAAATAAAGATAAACTCACTCGGACGAATCGAACGGGCTCGTACAAGGGTGGAAAGCCGTTGAGCCGAACCGGATTGTAAGCCAGATAAGGTGGCGACGAGCGAGTCGACACGCTGTACAGACGCCCTGCACCGTCGACGAGGTAGGCTCGTTGTTCTACCGCGTCGTCGTCGTATCCGAAGAAACTCGCGGCCCTGGGTCGTCTCGTTGTCGGCGAGCTGCTCCATAATTTCGACCAATCGGCCTCGTAATCGTCGAATCCTGCCGAGGACGAAATTCCATATCAAATTCATTTTTCCTTTTTTTTTTAAGGAAAGAACGATCGAGTTTTCACTGAACAACTGCACTTTACCCGCTCCCGTGTATAATTCGTTCAGCAAGTGCTCCCTAGTTTCTCGGAATTTCGCCTCGATGTAAGCCTCGACGGCGGATTTCTCGCGAGCGCGAGTTGGCGTGCAAGTAATTAGCACCAGAATCGCCGTGAACGATATTGATAACGACGCGCGGATAAAGCTCGGAGGCATGCTTGCGACTGAGCGATTATCAACCGTCGCTGTTTACACTCGCTCGCAGGCAATTAGCAAAGCCCTTCGACGGCGTTCCAATCCGTGCAAAATTTTGAATTCTCCGCGTTCGGCGAGATGGCGCGCCGCAACCGTCGTTGGCGCGATCTCGCCGCTATTTTATCATGCTTCGAGTGGTAGTACTTGCGCGACGAGATACCCCTCCTCGCGAAATTTTACCGCTTTTAAAAGCAGCCGGTCCACACGTGCGAATTGCATTACCTTCTGGAGACTCCGCTGGGTAACGACTCCTCGTGTAACTGACTCGTAGAAAAAAAAGTAAAACTCAAACTTACACAAAATGACGAAACTCACCGACAAACCCGCATACAAAGTTGGTAAGTCAATTTTGCCTTTTATTCCTTGGCCGTTACACGATCGATCGTAGTTTTCAACGGAAAATTTCTCGAGTATATTGCGACACGTGTGATAAACATCTAATCTAACGTTTTTTTCTTCTTTTTTCTCTCTTTTCTGAAATTGCGCAGCTGACATCTCGTTGGCCGAATGGGGCAGGAAGGAAATCACCATGGCCGAGAACGAGATGCCCGGACTCATGGCCATCCGCAAGAAGTACGGACCCCAGAAGATCCTGAAGGGTGCCAAAATCGCCGGCTGCCTGCACATGACCGTGCAAACCGCCGTGCTCATCGAGACTCTCACCGAGCTCGGTGCCGAGGTAAGAGGGCACATATTGCCTTTTTTTCCACCGTTATTACATCATTCTATTATGTGCTCGGTTTCGGAGCAGCAGTTGCGTGTTTCGTTTTTAATTTTTTCGTCGGTGCTGGGCGTACGAGCACGACGAAATCATCGAAACTTCAGATAAGATTCAGCCTCACGCGAGCAAACAAAAAGCTTGTTTTTCATGATTTTTTACAAACATTTTACCTTATCAAAGAGCTCGAGGAAAACAGATTATGAAATTAACTTACAAGTAGTGTAGTTCTTTTTAGTTATATTTTTATAACATTGATTCTCTTTATTTTAGGTGCAATGGTCTTCGTGCAACATTTTCAGTACTCAAGATCATGCTGCTGCCGCCATTGCCAAGACTGGAGTGCCAGTCTACGCATGGAAGGGTGAAACCGACGAAGAATACATGTGGTGTATCGAACAAACCTTGATATTCCCCGATGGCAAACCATTCAACTTGATCCTCGACGATGGTGGTGATTTGACCAACTTGGTTCACAGTAAATACCCAGAGTACCTGAAAGAATGTAAAGGAATCTCAGAGGAGACTACCACTGGTGTGCACAATGCCTACCGTATGCTCAAGGACGGAAAACTCAAAGTGCCAGTCATTAATGTCAATGATTCCGTTACCAAGAGCAAATTTGACAATTTGTATGGATGCAGAGAATCTCTCATCGATGGTATCAAGAGAGCAACTGACGTCATGATCGCTGGCAAAGTTTGCGTTGTTGCTGGTTATGGTGATGTTGGTAAAGGATCTGCTCAAAGTTTGAGAGCCTTGGGTGGTAGAGTCATTATTACCGAAATTGACCCTATCAATGCTCTTCAAGCAGCTATGGAAGGTTATGAGGTAAGAAATATTCACATGAGCTTGACTTGTTTAAAAATAAACTTTGAACAAATTTTAAATTCTCCTCTTTTTTAGGTCACAACAATGGAGGAGGCTTCTCACAAAGGTCAAATTTATGTCACAACAACTGGTTGCAAGGACATCATCACTGGTGAACACTTTGTAAATATGCCAAATGATGCTATTGTCTGCAACATTGGACACTTTGACTGTGAAATTCAAGTATCGTGGCTTGAGAAGAATGCAGTTGAAAAGATTAACATCAAACCTCAAGTAGACAGATACAGGCTGAGCAATGGAAGACATATTATCATCCTTGCTGAAGGACGATTGGTCAATCTTGGATGTGCTACTGGTCATCCCAGCTTTGTCATGAGCAACTCTTTCACCAATCAGACTCTTGCCCAGATCGAACTCTGGACTAAGGCTGATTCTTATACTCTGGGTGTTCATATGTTGCCCAAGAAATTGGATGAAGAGGTGGCTGCTTTGCATCTCGAACATTTGGGTGTTAAATTGACCAAGCTTTCAAATGATCAAGCTGAGTACTTGGGTATTCCACAAGAAGGACCATTCAAGCCAGATCATTACAGATATTAAGTTCGCATGATGTGAATTTAACTAGCAATATCTTAATTGTTTTTGAGTTATTTTTTGAGTCAGTTGAGAATTTTGTACAAAATCCGGGACGGTGTTTTTCCAAAACTAATTTTCGTTTTTTTTATAAATAAAAAAATTTAATCTAAAAGAAGAATTTTCGAAATAATTATTTCACACAAAACTTTCTGATTATTAAAAATATAAAAGTCTTTACTCGTCTCAACAGGCAACTTTCTACAAACATCGTAAAATATACATATAACACTTTGAAACTGTTCACATTCGTTACATAATTACACGGACTTACGGAAAGAATCCGTAAGAGAACGCTCGATAAACTTCATAATAATCTCTAATCTTCGAAATCCTCCGGATTGTACATCATGTTGTTTTGAACGCAGAAGCAGCCACAGCCAACCGGGCAGACCGTCTCTTTGCTGAACCAAGCTGCTACGTGATTGGTGTGACCGCCGTGGCCGCATTGGCTGCACACATTGCTGGAGCCTGTTTGAACATAGAACGATAAACGTTAAAAATCGATGCTCCAAATGTCGTACCGATATATTTGTATTGATATTTCACCTCTGACAGAAATGTGGCATATCGAGCACTTGAGTATGAATCGTTTGCACGACAGGCATTGGGGCCCGTTGGAGGCCTTCTGACAGTTCATGCATCCGCTCAAAAAGCCAACGGTCCTTTCCCTCTCGACGTCGTAGGGAATTCGGCTGAGCTGCTTCAGCACTTGAGCGCGCGAGTCCAGCAGTCTCCATCTCCAGAGTATTCCTGCGTAGGCTTTTTTGTAGGCATTATACAAAGGCGTATTCTTTTCATCCATTTTTCTGCATAGCGAAAAAGACGATACATATTTCTTTATTCAAAAAATACATTTGGCTTAGATAATGAATGTCAAAGATGTGGACGTTACTTGACAATGCGCGAGTGCTCGCTGTGCGCGTCAGACGCTTGAGAACACGTGTCCGGCACTTGAAGGCCGTTCGACAAATCGGACATCGAGTTCGATCGGTTCTGCTTCAGCGTGGCGTAATTAAAGTCCTTCATATCGGCTGGATGAACCGTGTGGTAGGGTGACCCACCGGGCTAAAATTCATATCGTTTCAATGCAAAAATTCTAATACCCTCAAACGCATCTGCCTTGAGCGCTCTAAATATATCATCAAATTATTTTCCAAAACATTTTTGGAATTGATTAAAAAATAAAAACAAATGTTAATTCAAGCTTTTGAGCAGCGCAAAAAACGAGGAATCTCATTAGTTACTCATATTATTTATCATTGAATAAATGGCTTAGCAAAGCTGTAGTTAAAAAAAAAAATTATTGTCAACCCCAAGAACCAAACAGTCTTTTCGTTACATTGATAACATTTCAGTGCAGTTAAGTAAGATGATTATCGTTATCGTTAAATTTTGCGATTATAATCGAAGCAGCGATTTAATTAAGACCTTACCTTTGTCCACCACCTTCCAGCAATTTGCTTCTATAACAAACATAACATGAGCAGTATAAGTAAGAAAGTGCCCAATTTTTCAACTACCATTCATTATTTTGTTTGTGATCAACATTGGCGTGTCTGTGAGATTTGTGGAAAAATTAAGCGATTTTTTTTTCATGTAACACGACCTCGAACGATAGAATTTCCTCTTATTGTAATAATCACATTCACTGCGAAAGCAAGAATATAGATGCAACGCATGATTCAATGAAAGTATGATTGTGAATGATTGAAATGATTGCAATGATGTTGGTTCTCAAGGTATACAATTGTGGGTACTTACTCAAACTGTATACCAAAAATACCAGAGGCCAAAAAAAAGGAACATTAATAAATAAATCATTCGTGATGATGAAAGCAAAAAATGTGCGATTGTCATGCAAAACATAAAGTAGTTGACCGCGAGTAGGTATATTATACAAAGATAAAATATCTTTTTTGTTAAATGACAATCAGCACCACACTTACAGTGACGTTAACGGATCTACTGACGTGACCGTTCGATAGCTGATTGTTGGACTCGTTCTTTGTTGTCAACGTGCAGCACAACATTGCTGCCATTTGAATATCATACTGGTAAGCGTAATGCTGTATTCTAAAAGAAAAAAGCACGGCATTGACTTTATTTTCATTCAAATATAAAATAATGACTTTACGCACAATGAATGAATCAAATTTTTTCCGAACGGATGCAAAAGCCAAGGAATATTGTCATCCAACGATTGCTGTGAATTCGTAACTTGACTCTTTTGCGTTTGAGAAACGACGAGCGACGCCAAACACCAAGCTTGCACCAGATCTGGTCTCTCTTGACTAGCCGCTACATTGGCATTGTGTTGGCACATTGCTGGAATGTCGTTGGTGTTAATTCTGCAAAAAAATATTACCATTAACATATGTAGCTGAGATTTATCCGCTTTTTAAATATTGTTTTCACGAACATATATTTTTCAGCCAATTCCCTATTAACTAAAGACAATGACGACATGTCGTATATAGTAACAAGAGATCTGTGATTTTTATAGCATGACTTTCCGTGCAATTTGCTTTGTCCATGAGTACCTCTTTTTGGTACCTGAAATGATAATAAACTTCATTTTCAAATGGTTCTTACGAGAAAAAAAATATCATCTTCTCTTACCCGATCTTGGAAATAGAAAGAACTAATAGAAATATTTTCGTTACTTTGAGGGTAAGCATTAGAATACATGGATATGTATGGTCCTCTATTTTTAAGACTAGATCCGAGAGCGGAGAGGGCTCGAGGAGTCGTCGTTCCTTCGGGTTTCAGCGAAACTCTTCTTGCCGAAAAGGAACGACCAAAACAAACCAGAGAGCCTTTAAAAACGAAGGTTATTCGGATAAGTAAACGATTTCGTAAAAATCGATGATCTTAATTAAAGTACCGACCATCACCACAAAATCTTGCTCCAGACGTTCTTGGAAACGGTATACACGAGTCTTGATCTTGACAGGCAGAAAACATCATTTTATTCGAATTTAAAAAGTTTTCATTTTGTTGCATGTGATATCCAAGATGATCGGCTTCCGTTTCATTTTTCACGCACATCTGAGAAAATATTTCATTTTCATGAGTAAGATAATTGAAAAATTTTTACAAATAATAAAACGCACTTGATCCAGAGTTGTGATTAGCTGCCTCAAACACGGTTCCAAACAAGATCGATTTTTTTTCACTCTGTGCTGAGCAGTTTGTTTCAATACTTTGTGCAATTTGGTCGTAATGGCATTATCCACCGTCGTGCCTGGACGAAATTGAAAAGTTGGCTGGGCACTGTACGGATAGTTGCCCGGGAAATTTACTTTCAATACCACATTATAGTTTTTATTTGAAGCTGTCACTGTACAACTTCTGTCAGCTGCATCCATAGCATTCACCTGTAATTAGCGAATTTTAGTTCTCGATCGAATTGAAAATATTAAAAATATCGCATAAATTAAATTCACCTCGATATTGGGAATATTCATGTTGATGAGAGAAAATTCTTGCTGCAACGTTTTTGGTTGAGTTGGAGATTGAACATCTGGATCCACTGGTGTTTCATGATCATTATTTAACGTTAGATGATCTGGTTTTTTCACCGCGTAATTTATTTCTCGCTCGTTCGTTGAATCTTGTAATTCTAGCTCCTGAGCTGATTGATAATTCCCTGTAATTTATGACATTTTTTATGAAAAATTCCAAAAAATTCATTATTTTTGATATTGAAAATCTTACTGAGATCGTTGTCTCCCGTCAATTGTGAATATTCTGCATCATTGATATCACCATGACCACATAACTATAAAATTTTAATTAAAGATTATGGTGAAAATTACGTCAATTAAAATAAGGTAATTGGACAATACCTTCATAATTAGTGGTGGAATTTTAAAGATTCTTAAGCACTGATCTTTACACCATGTAATGAGTTCATAATCTTTATTTTCTGAAAATAATTGGTGTGAACATTAAAGTCAAGTTTCTTCTATAATTATGTCATATTTTATCTTATCTTGGCAATCTTTAATGGATTGACAATTGAATAGTTATATTACTATAAATTATAGATTAATGTAGTTCACTGCAAATTTGAAACTATTGAACTTACGAGATTTTGGATGCCTCCATTGAAATTCTAATACTACATCAGTGTGTCCTACAAATGTGTATATTGGTGTTGATAAATTGGATGTATTCCATAACAAAAGACTATTCTCTCCTCTTCTCAATTGAGGAACTACAATTGTGACTAAACCTTCACCAAACGGCTAAAATTTTAAAATAAAATATTGTTAGGGTAATTAAAAATACATCAAGCCATAAAATACTCATTCATACTGTGTAACGAGCTTTCCACACTGGTGAATTGGTTGTGAGTATACTTTCAGCTCTTCTTGGGTTGCTTGTGTCAAAAAATTTAACTGTACTATCTTGACTAGAGGTCGCAAGCTGGCTTTGTTGAAAAGGGCACCAATCTAATCCATATATCTTAAAAAATAAATTTGGTCAAATGAAATGTAAATTGAAAAATTATTCTGAAAATTTTTTAATGCCAACTCACTTTGGTCAAGTGTGCTGCAATATATTGCACTGGACTATTTCCTTTTCTTTGGTCCCATATCTTTACATCGCCATCGTGAGCAGTTGCAATCATGTTGGGGGCTAATGCATTCCACCTGACTTGAGATGCACCAGCTACAGCTGACAACGAAAGACTCGGTTTTCTCTGATCTCTGATATCCCAAATATGTATGTAAGTATCGATGCTGCATGTGGCAAGAATATCAGGATCTTTAGGATGCCAATTCAAGTCACTGACAACTCTGGTATGAGCTTTCAGATTGTGCGTAGGCTGAAGATCATTACCGCTGTTGCCCATGAAACTCAATATTTCAACTCGATTGTTACTCTGTTGAAATTGACAGTGTTAGATTTTTATCATATACATATTTTTCAATTGATACAGTACTAACAGAAATTGCACACAAATGACTATTCGCCATGGTTGGATTCCATTCAGCAGAGCCAACTTCATACTTGCTCTGTCGCTGGAACTTTTTCAGAGAATCTGATTCTTGATCCAAACGTTTCACAGCCAAGTATCTGCGCCTAAACGAATCAAAATCAATCGATGAGTAAAAAGGACTCCAAGCTGAATTTTGAAATATCGTGACAGGAAAAGAAAAGCTCACCCAGCCAAAAGCACATGAGTACCGGTAACGTCGAGCGCCATGGTATTGGCCTGATACAGAAACCAATGAATTTTCATAATTGTAAAATTGAAAGTCGCGAATGAAAAATCGCGTTGATAAATATTACCTGGACATCCCGATGCTCAGTGATGGCATAATTGGTTCCCCAGCGTTTTGACATTTTTGATTTTCTACTTTAATTTTTGCGAGTATCGCCGAAGGAACGCCGCGCTGACCTGTCAATCTCAATGATAAAAACAATGTATAGGCAGGCGAGGATAGGGCACTTTTCATCGAGTCTCATGACACCTGCTCGTAAAAGCCGCGTGCGGGTAATTATTGGCCCATGTCGAAACGATCCAGCACCGCGCGAAAAAGATATCACGTCGATAATATAATGGCCGTGCGCGTTCGATAAGCCGAAAATTTTTGATAAACACACGCAGCGAGTGCCGAGCCGAGCAGAAGCCAGTAAGCACACGCATACACACACACACACACGCGTACGAGTGCGCGTCTGTGTTGTATGTATTCAAAACATCGCAGATGGACGTCAGCTGCCAGCTGCGGGGCAAAGGGGGAGAAGGGCAAAATATACATATAATAAGTGTACTATATATATGAAAAAGGGGAACGCGAATGGCGGCGGCGGCGGCGGCCCCCACGAACTCCGTGTGGCAGCAGCAGCAGCACTGCAGAAATAAAGAAGAAGGGGAGGAGCTGTGCTGCTGGCTGCTCGCAATATAACAACAATGGTTTAATGCGAAAAACGGAGCAGCTGTGGAAGCGAGACGGACCGATGCAAAATATCACATACACTACCACCACCACCGCTCCTTCTGTATATAGAGTGCCTACGTGCCCCCGACGCGCATCAGTCTATTTCTGTCACGTACGTTACGTGCTATATACGTATACATATACTACTACTACATGTAATATTCGGCGGCGAGCGGTTCTCTTTTCTTCTCTTTTTTTGCGAAAGAAGAGTTCAGCAGAGTCTGCACTATAGCTATATATTTGTGTACAGTACGCGCACATATACACCGACGGTACGTCGCACCAATACACACGTAGGCCAGAGTATAGTGTTGTACAGCTACGACGACGACGACGACACGACGGTATTATAGAGGACGAATCAGTGCAAGTTAGCTCGAGACACAAACAAAGATCTACGCAGTTTTCAAGATCGGCATAGAGTGTGCGAGAGACATCGTTATCCGTGCGAAAAAGAAGGATTATTTGTTTACGACGTTTTACGAGTTTTGCGCGTCTATACACACAAACATCCGAGAGAGAAGTGATTCCAGAATTTCGAGGCTCGCGTTTTAGTCTAGTTCGTGATAATAATAATATATATATATCACACGGCTCAGTTTTTCTGTGTGCGTGCGCCGTTGTTAATTAAATTGATTTAAAAAAAAAAAAACAGTACATTTATGCACGCTTTGTGTGCGAGATCGTTCGGTGCTCGACTCTGTTATTGTACACTGGTTAAAATGTCCGCGTCTATGATGGATTGTCATCGGCAGTAGCGTTACGCCAATCGCGTGTTTTTGTGTGCATCAAACGAATATATATACACGAAAAAAGTAGTAGTGGTGTCGTCAGCCAGTGTGTGTACAAGTATAGGCGCTTCCGACTCCAAAAAAAGAAGAAAAATAAATAAGTGCGTGCGTGCGTGACCGTTCTCTCGGTACTTTTATTTTTTTGCGTGCGCGCCATCGAGTGCAAAGAAAGCAAAAAAAAAACAAAGCAAAAAAAAACGTCACCGACGTTTATAAATCGAAGACAAAAGAGAAAAATAAAACGCTCGCTCCCAACGAGAGAACTCCGTACTTGTTGGTGATAAAAAAAAAGAAAAAGGAATCGTGCAGGAGTGAGACGCTCGCTCTTGTCATTTCGGCGAAGTTGATACAACGCGATAATAATAACAATAACAACCCGCGAGTGTCGAGTTGTGCGCTCGCGAGTACTATAACAAGTAGTGGGCCGCGGTCTTTGTGCGTTTTTCAAAACAATCGTCTCTTATCGGCCTGTTTTTGTACTTTTATTATTGTTATTTGGGCTGTCGAGCGACGCTCGTATAAATCGCTTTCTAATTTCCGAGACTCCGCTCCGCTCTGTGTGCGTGTATACATCGACGCTTCAGTCGTATACCCACACAAACACACACATACATACTTATACACGTTCCTGCATAGGTGTTTTTCTTTGTCAGTGTAGTGCAGATATATAACTACTGCTGCGATCTGCGCATTTTGTGTATATTACACACACACACACGCACACACCCATAAAAGTACTTGATATACTTGGTGTGTGCGCTCGTTCCCACTGACGTATCCCACCAACTCTTCTTTCTCTCTTCGTTTCTGCACACTCGCAGCACTGCTACGTGTGTTTGTGTCTGTGTTTACTCCTGTGTGGTGTCAAAGAACTGTTGTTTCTCTCTCTCTCTCTCGGCTCGCTTGCAGAGCAGCAGCACGACGATATATAGTACAGCGAAAAAGCCAGCTTTTCAAGAGCAAATTCGAGACGCATCGGCCCAGTTTGGCAACAATAATATAAACACTACATAGTGTCAAACGTCGGCGTTATACATATATATATATATAATCCGACGCACGTAATTCCCCCCGAGAAGGTGGCCTGAAATATTTTCGGAGCATCAGCCTTGTTCTCTCTTCTATCTCGCTTCCTCTCTCTTTGTGCGAACACGAGAGATTTTTGATTTCGGCCTTCGCGCGCGCGACGCAATCAGCAGCAGCAGCCACACACCTACCTACCTTGTCAAAGCCAGTTGTCATCGTCGTTTATATATAATATTTTGCTTTTGCTCGATCTTCGCGTGCGTCTCCGTCCACTCGTAGCCCACTTTTAAAATCACCGAGTGTGTAATGTACCCCAAGCCGTCGGCAAGAATAAGCACGTCGTCGATCAATTTCGTTCACTCGATAAGAAAAGGCATTTTCATACAGAAAAGAAAAATGTTCAGAGATCTAAAGGGCTTACGAAGTCCAAGTACGAATTACCTTCTTCGTCGCTACTGAATCGCCCGCGCGGGGATCAGCATCGGGGCCAATTCAGCCTCCGATCGTCACGAGGACAAAAAGAATTTCATACGGAAAAAAAAGTAAATAAACAAACAAATCCGATATCGCCTCTGCGAATTGAATTTCGAGGCATAGAAGATTTCATTCGCTCGTTGGGATAACGCGAGAGTTAGCGCGGGCTACATTGACAGTTTTTTCGAATCGTATCGCCGTTCTCTTTTTCGCCAATCCGCGGCTGTATACAAAATAGAACAGGGAGAGATTGTTATGTGATCGTAAATCGAACGCACCCACACGACCGAGCGCAGTTTGAAAATATATAATACAACCGAAAAAAGAGATCGCAAGAAGATAAGAACTCAAAAGTACACTCGAGAAACGTTTATTTATTAATATTACTTTTACATCGAGATCGAGTTGAATTAATAAAGAAAAAAAAAAGAAGTAATCATGAAGCTGCTAGAAAGTACGCGCTTCGAGGCGATCAATAACGCATTGTCCGTCACCACCGGCGAATGCAAAATCATCGGAAGGTTTGTATTCGATTCATCATCGATCGATTGACGATTTTTCCATTCTCTTGGCTGATGTTGGATTTTTTTTTTCGTTATCGTTTTCAGCATCGAGAGCTACTCGTGCAAAATGGCAGGAGACGATAAGCAACTTTACAAACGATTCAACGCGGAGCAAGGTACATCTCCGAAGGGACTCCAGGCGTTATCCCCACCTCAAGCTGCTTTTGGTACATCTCCTGGCTGTTTATATGGGTATGCGACAATTTCAAACAAATACACAATTATTATTTTATTATTTTTTTTTTTTTACCGACGATTATTTCATTTTAATGTGAACGTATAACTTTTTCTTTTGCAGCCAAAGTACATCGGGAGATGAAGATGGACCTCTATGTGATACTATCAGCAGAAAAACTTTGTTTTACCTGATAGCAACTCTTAATTCTGCTTTTGGTCCAGATTACGACTTTGCCAATGCTAAGAGTCACGAATTTAGTAAAGAGCCAAGCTTACAATGGGTCACCAATGCCATTGACAGTAATTTGAGCGCAACTGCTGGTGATCACTATCGAACCATTAGAAACGCTCTTTGGCAAGCTATTGATGATGAAATATCAATGGCAGAATGTGATATTTATAGGTAAGTTAAAAAAAGAAAACATTTTTAAAAGTACAGGTATTAATTGTTTCTCAATTTTTTTAGTTATAATCCTGATTTACAATCAGATCCTTACGGAGAAGATGGATGCATATGGTCATTCAATTATTTTTTTTATAATAAAAAAATGAAGAGAATTGTATTTTTCACGTGCCGATCAATCAAGTATGATGATGACAATGATTAAAATTTAAAATTTTAATTCATATGTGATACTTAATATTTTTTTTTTAGTCCACTCTATGCTCATATGGATTCTGGATATGGAAGTTATTTCTTCCAGGAAGAAGAGTATGATGAATAAACTTTACTCACTTGCAGATGATCTAATTCTCTCAAATGTTCATGATTTATCAATACGATGGAAAAACATCAACGAAAAAATTTCTTTTTTTTGAATCATTGTATGTATTTGAAAAGTATACTTCATGAATAAGTATCAATAGAAAAATTATAATGTCAAAACAATCAACCAATTTCAAATTTTGATGTTGATCATAAAAAACGTCCATTGAGATTGAATACTTAATGCATCTCTGTTACGCAGATCAAAAATTATCTCTACAAGTATTCATTAACCTATTTAAGTAATAGTTATAGAACAGTTTTTCCAAGTTTGGTACCTGATCTCAAAATTATTATGAATAGATTTTTGATAAAAATATTTAATTAAAGTTCTGCGATATACTTTCGATTTTGAATTATTAATAAGACTACATTATATTACAAATATAAGTAGATACACGTTTTTCAAGAGGTGAGGCCTTACATGCATTACTATGCTATAAAACGAAACAAATTTGATCAACATGAAACACAATTTTATGTTTTTTTTTTTAACAGATTACACTAACTATCGGTTAAATTTTAAAATACAGTGAATTTTCATTAATTTAATTATAGTAGAAGATTCATTACTTAAAAAAAGATTATATTTATGTAGAATACATTAGGTATGCAATAGAACCAGTGATATAAATGAACAATTGCATAATTATAGCATGATCACTACGCAGAACGTCTATATGTATCAAACCTATAATGTTTGTAGGCAAAATAAAATGATCTTGAAAAATGAAACAAAAATAACGTTTTATCCTTTTGTAATTTAATTCCTAACATATAATACATTTACAATACGTAAAAATAGGGATTGAACAGTTCTATAACAAAAAAGGGGGAGTCTATAGATAATTAAGTTCACAGTTACTTACAAATTTTCAACAACTTTGATCATTTATTGAAATTCTTTTAAAATAGTACAATAAAAAACAATATCATTTAATAATGTATGAAAGTAAAATTAAGGAATAAAAAAAAAATATTATTAATAATGTCATGTGCGCAAATAATTAATTGGTAAAATAAATATACTTCCGATATCAATTTGAAGCGTAAATAAAAACATTTAAAATAATGGCTTATTAGTAAATAATTTAGTAAATCAAAAATACATTAATCTTACATAGTTATATGACCTTTTAAAATTTTAAACATAACTATAGATTTTCATATTTAAGATCTTCAAAAAATGATAAATATATATATATATTTTTTATGTATATTACGATTATTAAAGATCGATTATTCATTATTAACAGAACACGATTGATTACATCGTTTATTTGCTCAAAATAAAATTTTAAATCATTCGTAACACGAGAGACGCGGCCCTGGACTTTCGTCTGTATGTAAATAAAAATTTTCTAAAAATAATTCATTAATTACGCTTAAGCAATATAATATTCATTGATAATACCATTTTTAGCATTCGAAGTCTTGTTGGATTCTGAGATTATTATTATAATTATTACACCTATACATAACATATCATTTGTGCACCATTAGGTCGGGGGTTTGATACATGCACATGTAAGCATCACATAAGAGTCTTTTCGCGTGCTCGGGCAGCACCCGATCGTCGGACACCGTGCGCAGGTACTTGGCGCCCTCCTCGCTCAGCCAGTACGGGAAGTCGGGACACGGCACCATTTCCGGTATGTTGTAACCATTTTGCTCGCCTGTAACGTAAAAGCTTATAGAAATTGTTTCGGGGTGCATTCAGCGAGTAAACTCCAAAAAAAAAAAATAAGCAAACCTTTTCTATCGGCCATCGAGTCGAAGAAGCACCACGGGGCTTCGAAGCCGGATCCGCACTTCACGAAGGACACGTAGTGCGAGGTCTCTATGCAGACGACCGCGAGCAGCTCGAGATACCTTCGCGGTACCGAGCCGTAATTGTTGGTCGCGTCGTAGGCCGCCGCCGGGGCGACGGTCAAGGTTTTGGGCTCGTGATTGGTTCTCAGCTCGTGACTGTGAGCTTTTTTCAGGCAGGGCTTGCAAAAAGCTATGCTCTCCAGGCCCTCGCCGCATTGACCGTAGCAGTCTTTGCACTCGAAGTGGGCCAATTTTCCGCACACCGTACACCATCGTGGCGCTGAAAAACATCGGTAGTTTCGTAAATGAGTAAAAAAGCTCGGCTATAAGAATAGCTATTGTCAAGTCAATACTACCATCTTCGACGATATCCGTTATGTCTAACAATAGAGTGGGCTGTATTTTTGGATACATTTTGAATGTTTTGCCGAAGCGCGGCATTTGTATGATTAAGCAAGAAGGCGCCGTTTTCAATTTTATGTTGCTCTGTAAGAAGCTCTGCTCCAGTAGCTGCTGCACAGACGGAAATACGAGCTTTTCGTCCTTGTCGACGAACAACTGATAATGATAAGCGTCTTGGCCCGAGCTCAATTTCAAAAACGGCTCCGCCTTGAGAGTTTGCGCTACCAACGACGTTAAAAATTCTTCCGGATCTGAAATAGTTAATTGGTTTAATATTCGGCTTGAAATCGTAATAAATATTTCTTCGTGTGAAACAGTACCTTTTTCTTCGGTTGTAAGTCCGGAAATCGAAGAAGACTTTTCTAATAACGTTCTCAATTTCATAACGCGATCTGATCTGACGAATAGATCTTTTCTAAGAGGATTAACGATTTCCTCGCGTAATATTCGCTGCACTTCTTCGTACTCCGGGCAATCTTTATCATTTGGTGGTCTAAAAATTGATAGATATTTGTAATTATTTTTAGATCGAATAAAAAGTCAATGCGATAATGGCAATTATTTACCGAAACAATAGTTCATCAAAAGCGCAGGTAAATGCAAACATACTAAAAAGAGTCGAGTCCAAGTAACAAGAATTATGATGACCCTGTATACCTCGATATTTACCGCACATTTTTTCTAAATCGCCGTTCACACATATGGGCGGTACTGTTCCGGTTATTATAGAACTTGGTATTGATTCGAAATCATTCAAATCTTGTTGATTGTAATAACAATTACTCGCAGCCATGTCATATTCATGACAATCTTTCAAGTCAGTGAACCAAGCTTTTCGAGGACTGCATTGGAAATACCTAACATTCTGGTACGTTCCATCTGTGGCAAGTGGATGTATGTTGTCCTAAAATAATGTGAATAAAAAATGTATCAAACATTTTTCAACAGATAAAGCAATTGTCATGTTAATTACCAATTCAATTGCAGCTGTAAGTTTATTAGGATTTAGTCTGTCAATTGTACCAATCCAACGAATTACTCCATAGTGGCTATCATTATCAACTAAAACTTTCACGCATGAACCAATACTTAAGTCTCTCGTGTTTTGTAATTGTTGATGATTTATTTTGGGTATTTCATCAACTTCATCATCTGAAAATATATATTAAATGTTAATTCATTACCTTCTATTAATATAGGCAATTTATCAGTGGCAACCCAAATTGATCAATTCAATATCCATAAAATTAGTATTTTTGTTGTTTACTTTGTGAACTTGTTTCAATATCACTATTCCATTTGTGTTCTAATGCAAAAATTGGAATTTCATCCAATGATGCAGCCATTTTCTAAGCAAAGCTTTAAACTTATTGAATATCATCAATATTACTAGCAGCTCTAAAAGCACCTTACACACTGTCTAAATTTAAACTTCCCCCAAGTTATTATTATCCCTTTCATGCATGCTCATGTTAACCTAGTGTTATTTCTTATGTGCTACATTAAGTGCATAGTAATTTCTGTTCAATTACTCACCAGAAATTAAAGGATCAAAACTTTTTACATTTTTATATAATGTTTTGTTATCGTTTTGCTCTAGATGTATTTGACTTTTTGATGGATAATTGTTAATAGTATAAACTACAGATTCTCTAGGAGCAGTTATTCCATTATTGTTGTCTTTATCAGATAAAACGGAATATTGATTTGTTTGTAAAATATTATATGGATTTGAATTTACAATTCTCTGCACGCTTTGTGCATTCAGTGGCACAGGTGCATTAGAATTTTTCTGTGAATTATACTGAAAAGTTTGAGATTTCTGCAAATTGTGCAATGGAAATGAATTTGTACTTTTTTGTGATTCATATGGCAAACCATAGTAAGGATCTGTAATTTTTTGTGGCAGATTTAGAAAAGTTGTACTGGTATATGTGGTTGAAGGATTTCTTCTATTTTCTGAGTATTCTCTATTAGTTGGAATAAACAAATTACTTTTTTCATGCTGTAATATATCATGGGAGAGAAAATCTGAAAAATATTCTAATTAATACAAAAAAATAAAAGTAAGTTACTTAATTTGTGCATCAAGGTTGCAATTAATCAATTTATATATTACGCAATTACTTAAAAATTATTAAGTTAACTTTAATTTGTCTTTTTTGATCTAAAATCACACAAAATATAGTACTTAAAAAAAAGAAAACATTTAGATAATAGTTTTATACAAATTTTAAGAAAATTGAAAATTTCAAATTTATTTGAGATTCAGAGTTCAAGTTAATTTCACATTTGTAAGTGAAAAATGATGCAACCATGATTTAAAAAACTTGATAAAAATAAATACTTTTTTGAAATTCTTTTATTGCCTCTAAAGGACTAGCCTTTCTTGGATTAATACTGCTGAGAGTTGCAAACGTTTTGGACCTTTCCAGAGTATTGAAATATTTTTGTATCAACTTTTTATGCTCGATATCATTTGGATTATCCTATATAAAATTAATAACATACTTAATTTCCACTAATTTAATTTACATATAATAATACAAATTATAGAATAAATCTTACGGGCACATCTAGACCAAAAAATAATCCAGACCCAAGCTCTGGCACAAGTTCTATAAAATTAACTGTAGCTTCATATGTTTTTGGAGTAAGGTCATTGGATTCTGGACAATACCAAACCTTGCTCTCGGGTTTAATATTTTCAACATCTTTACAAAGTTCTTTATTATTTGCTAATCTAACTCTTTCTTGAAAGCTACTTATTGGACGTAGTAACTGCCAAACAAACCATGATACTTGAATAAGATCAACTGGATGACATTTCCATTCAGTATTATACCATGTATTATCACTTGTTATATCATCTGTGAATTCTTCAAGTACAATAACGCGTAGCCCATCGTCTTCAGTGGCTATAGCTATCACAAGCATTCCAGGAACAGCCCTACCAATATTGGCATTGCAGTTTCCCTTCAAATGTTTTAATAATGTAGTTTGTTTAACTACATAATACTTGGCTTTGTAGTTATCTTGGATATTTAATTTATGAAGTCTGCTGTTCATATCATCCATTTTTAAACGATTATAAATATCATGATTAAAAATAAAAGCTTTATTTGCTGGGCAACTAGGATGTTGCAGTCTACACACACAATTGAATTGCACAATTCATTCTGACTAATGAGATTTCAAAACCTGAACTATTGTTTAATCTCACAATAATTCATTTTCAGAATCTCATAGAGGAACAATCATAATAAATAACTATCTAAAACTTAATTCTTTCTGTACTGTCACAAAACTTTCATTCTCCTGCACTTGCTCATCCACTGGGACTTCAGTTGCTATAATCATTTCTGGAACTGCCACAAGTGCCCGAGCAAAATTGATCATTGCTCATTTCAAGGTCTTCTGGCGAAAAAAAAAGCCAACTAGCCCACACTACTTGTTAAACAATGCATTGATAAAGAGCAAAAAACTCTTGTTAGTTTTTTTACACGTCGAATTTAGCATATGGAAATCGGACTCGATATCCTTGAAAGTTGAAAAAATAAACACGCTCAAAAAAGGATGTGCATAGCTTATTGTCATCGACACAACACACACGACAATCAGCTGGTACACAATGATACAAAACAATGTTCCATGATTGCGATATGTTATTATTATGATTTATGATTGCTGCTGCTGGTGGCTGGCTAGTGCTGCTGTTCTACCAACTGTTGTTTGTAAAGGTGTGCGTTTTAAAGTACTGTATGCTTTCGTATTGAGTGCGATTTACACTAGATAGCGCTTCGGCAATTTTTGCAACACCGCGACTGTGCCAACCAGCGCGAGAGTTGATCGAGAGAAACGCGGGCTTATTATCACGCCGGCGTAACTCACATGTCACGCAGTCGAGGTTAAAATAAATTATTTAAAAACAACTTTGAATTTTTGAAAGAAAGATATCATTAAAATGGGTGACTCCGATCTGAACGAGCTGCTGCGGAAAGCCGAGCAGATGGCCGCCGACGTCGAGGGCAACGGAGAGCTACCACAGGTCGAGAGGAATCTACGACAGATTCTGGACGGATCCAACGAGATCTGGTCGCAAATGACGCAAACTGGATCCCAAGACAATCAAGTCCAGGCGTGAGTGCGACAATACACGTTTTCGCGTGACTTTTCATTCTACTTTCGACGGAATTTCTGATTGCGCGCAATTTTTTTAGGCATCTTCTTTTGGGCTCCAAAGGCATAGATCTGCAGCAGATATCGCAAAAGTTAAATTCGCTCAGCACTAGACGTACGTTTGAACCACTCGACCCAATAGCAGATACTGATATTCCTAGTTTTTTGAAAAATGAGAAAGAAAATGCTATTTTGTCCATCATTGAACAAGTTCACAGAGATGTAAGACTAAAACTTGATATTTACAATTACAAATTGTTTCTTTTAAAACCCATTCATTTGCAATGTTATTACAGACTTTTGAGCAAAACCGTGCTCAAACCTTGGAACACATTCTTGGGGAGTGGAAACAAATGAGAACTGAAATTATGAATTCTATGACAGCACCATCGGGAGAATTGGTTGACTTACGAGGAACACCTCAGCGTACCAAGATTGCTGGTTCAATCACCACTAACTTGACTAATGTTGAAGCTGCATATGCCAAAGAACTTCAAAATTACAATGAACACGTTCTTAAAGGAATTTCCAGACCTAATTTGTTTGTGTGTTTTGCTAAGGCTGCTGAAACATTTAATGACAAAAAAATTGTTGATATGTGGCAAATGGTCAAGAGCATGGTAGAACTCCCTCCAGTGCCAGGTGGTGATCAAATAAAATCAAGAACTTCCACCATTGTTGAACAAAAAATTGTATCATTAGCTAGGAAATACTTAGAAGGCAGATACAAGGAGTTTATGAATGCCATAGTAAATGAAAATTTAGCTCAAGCTAAAAGAGGAGGTATTCCAGGTACATTACCTCTGGTAAAAAGTTTTGTTGGTATCAAAGTACAGAATATGAGAGATTTGGAAGAAATTATTATTGAAGACAGACCGCTCTGGCCATTAGTTTATTATTGCATAAGAGCTGGTGATCTCAAAGCTGCCTTACAATGCATTAATCAGTGCGGAGAAGCTTTTCATGAATTCCGAACTGCTCTAGAAGAGGCAATTCAAGATCCTCACCGTAGACCAAGCCCTCGATCTGAAGCTACTTTAAAACTTCATTACAGAAAACACGTAAGATCAGTTAGCGATCCTTATAAGAAAGCAGTTTATTGTGCCCTTGTGCCTTGTGAACCCGATGATTTGCATACAGAAGTTATGTCTGCTGCTGATGATTATTTGTGGCTAAAATTATGTCAAGTCAGAGAACAATCAGAAACAGATCACAAACTGACCTTAGATCATCTACAAACTACTATTTTGGAAGTTTATGGTAAGAAATCTTTAAATTTGAAACAAAAATTAAAAATTGAATTTGAATCATATCAATTTTCTTTTCAGGTGAATCTTACTATCATGCTCATGAGCAACCGTTATTGTACTTTTCAATGTTATTTTTAACTGGTCAGTTTGAGTCAGCTATTGAATTTTTGGCTAGAGGAGCTGGAGCAAAACATCTGTGCCATGCCGTTCATTTAGCTGCAGCTATGCATGAGCATAGTTTACTGGCAACGAGTCAAAGTGTTGTGTCACCATTAATGAGTGTAGATCCAGCAGATAAACATCCTGCTAAAAGATTGAATTTTGCCAGATTAATTTTACTATATGTGAAGAGATTTGAAGCATCTGATCCAAAAGAAACATTGCAATATTTGTTTTTGTTGAGAAGTATGAAAGATCCATATGACAGAAATATGTTTGCTGCATCAGTTGCAGAGATGGTTGTTGAATCTCCAGTAAATAATCGTTCACTTCTTGTTGGAAAACTTGACAAAGATAGACGTTTGCCTGGTTTAGTCGATCAATTCCAGATTAACACTGAAGATATTATAAATATTAGTGCAGAAACACTATACAAAAGAGGCATTCTTGAAGATGCAATTATGATGTATGATCTTGCAGGAAATCATGAAAAAGTATTAAGTCTCATATGTGTGTTGTTGGCTCAAATAGTTAGTCAAAGAACTTCTCCAGGTTCACTTAGGTCTAGATTACAAGTTCTATCAGCAGACATTAGTTCTAGGTTTGTAATACTACTTTCATTGAATAATTGACCAACATGTTTTTCTTTATGCAATTTTAAAAATTAAATGCTTTTCCTATAGGTATCAAGGATTACCAATTCAAGCGCCTGCAGAGTTAGTTGCATCTTTCTACACTTTAAGGGATCTCATGGTATTTTTTGATCAATTCCATAATGAACAGTACCAAAATGCATTGAGGGTAAGTTTTGATTTTTATAATTGGGCATTTGAAATATTTTTCTAAAATTTTAAAAATTTGCAGACAATAGCAGAATCCAAATTATTGCCACTAAATGTTAGAGAAGTTGATGAACGTGTCACCGCTCTAAAACATGTTTCCCCTGAAGTTTCTGGCACTTTGGCTGATGTTTTACTCGCTACTATGACTATTCTCTACCGTCAGTACCAAAAATTAAAGTCTTCTGATCCAGGAGATGAAATAGCCAGAGAGCAGCAATTGAAAGATTTGCGTCAACAAGCAAGAGCTTTGACCAGCTTTGCTGGAACATTACCTTACAGAATGCCCAATGAAACCAACAGTAAATTAGTTCAAATGGAAATTTTAATGCATTGATGAAGATTTTATTTGTAATAATTACTGTAACTTGTTTTGTATATGTAAACTAAATATTTTTATAAGTAAATTTTAAAAATTCAGATATATATAAAATCATTGAAATAACGTTTTATTTTTAAACGTACAACAAGACATCTGTATAATTTTCAGTACTCTCATGAATGAATTCTTTGAATAGTATTTTATTATTTTTAAAGAATATAAACAGATTCAATTTTTCAAATTCAAAGGTTTTACTATAATTCCATCACTTAAATCAAAAACTTTTCCCTCTTGCACCTAGAAAGAGATGTAAAAATCTTATCATCTGTTTTGTTTGAGTTAACAATTTTGAATTAATTTTTAAATACTTACAGCCCTGTAATCTAAAATAAGTTCTTTGAAGGCTAAGAAATCTGTGAAAGTTAAAAGAACATCAAAAACTTCTCCATCCAACTCGGATCTTCTCTTACTGAAAAAAAAAATGATTTCTTAGTTTCCTAGCATCTAGGTTAATTAAGGAAACTGTTTCTTACTTTAATTCGCTGATGAAACCTTCCATGGAGAAATTTGGAATTGATTTTTCCAATCTAACGGTGATGTAACTTTCAATGATCTTATTCTACATTACAAAAGCTGAATTAGTACAATTATTTATTGATTATATTTTAAATTGTGCTTACATATTCATTGAACACATCAGTGTATATCAATTTATTTTCTTCAACTGGCTCGAACTCTCTCCAATATTTGTCTAGGAAATTCTGTTGAAGCGATTGAAATTGCTCATCTAATAAATTGATATTAATGAATCAAACAGTTTAAAATTACTAAGAAAACTAAGTCACAAAAATTACCCATCAATAAGTCCTCTATATAACCAATCGTTTTATCAAATAGATTCGGTTCACGTGTGTCCTTTTCTTGAAAATCATCGATTTCGATGCTCGTAGGTGAGTCTAATCAAGTATACAAACATCACACGTAGTTATAACAATCGTTGTCAGATGATTTTCGTCGACATTTAAAACTTACCCAATAATTCCTTACTCATATTTGCTTAATGAATTCTTAATCACAAAAAAAAATAAACCAAAAATGTATGTACAAATCGATCTCAAATATCCATCAATAAACACATCGCAACCCGGTATATAAACTCCGTACATGTATCCAAGACACTCTCAAATGGCAGTCTTGATTCACTAACACATGTTTATATCTTGATTGTTTATTCTCTGTAACTATAGGATAATATTCTCCAAGAAAACGAGCGTGTATAAAAATATAATGCGCGCAGGGCACACAGTGATCTCGAGTACTAGTGGTTAAAATGCATTTAATATTAGGCGAGGGATGATCGGTTGTGCTTTAGCTCATTTCCAAGGATACGCGCGGTAATAGCGTTCCATCTATGAAAATACTGTGTATTCAGTTACCGACACATGTGTTGTTGCGGCGGCCGGCGCAGATGTGCCTTAAAATTCCTTCAGTTTAACTTATTTATTATCAAATATTGATTTGATTAATTACAAATTCATGGTTTACTAGAAGAAGGTATAAAAAAAATCCTCACAAATCATCTTCGAGTTAAAAAAAAATTCATTTTATTATAGCGATTAATTAATGTTTTTCTTCTTACTGTAGTTATGAAGTCCCTTAAATTTAGAGGATGCTAACTGAATTCATTAATTAATTATCCTCTTTAGTCAACTTATTTTTATGATGAAATATTTTACTTTTTTAATGAGCTTACAGCTTCCTTGTTTGTTTATTTTACAATTTTTGAGGAGTACACTGCAGAAAATTATGCAAACCAGGACAATATTTAGATTGATTAAATAAGCAGTATAATGGTTTTTCCATCAAAAAAATAATAATTTTATTGTTCGATCGAACGTACATTTTTTGATTTTATTGAATGAATATATTGTTTATTTTTTCGTTGGTGCTAGTCGATTAGATCCAGACCCCACCGTTCCAAAAATCCTTGAGACATCGTCTTAAACAGATGTACAGCACAATTTTCCCTATACTGTTGAGGCAGATGATCCAATTTATCCAAGCTTGTAAAAATTTCCCAAAAGTCCATGTATGTGAGCAGTTCTTTGGCCTCGTCGCATGTTAATTGTATCAGACGGTATATTTTGTCTTATAAATTTCCACATTTTAGTGCCGCAGATACCTTTTATTTGACATCGTCTCTCATTTCTAAGCTTATACAGGCGCCAGCCATTTTAGTGCCATAATTGCCCGGCGTTTGGCTGCGATCGTAGCCCCGGTGCCAAAATTTGATGTTTCTCAACCCCTTGCCGTAATCGTTTATTTCGTGAGTGAACTGTAAAAAAAAAAATACCAGTTACGTTAGAAGCGAATAAACATGCCGTTAATATTCATACCTTGAACCACTGGTTTATTTGTTCGTACTCGATAACTTTGGCGTAATCTATCGTCTCCATGATATCGGTCAATTTCTGACCGTACAACTTGATTCTGAGCTCGTACTCGGCGGGTCGATCGGCTCCGCTGCGAAACCACTCGGTGACCTTTCGAGAATAATAGAAAAAATATAATTCATAATTCAACGATTCGATGTCTCGCGAAAAGAAAAATTGCGAATCGAAAATAATATACATGCCTTGATCGTCGGCCGAAGAACGTCCAGAACGTAATCGGACAAGCCGGCGTCGCGTAGATTGACGGTCTGCTCCATCACGCACTCGTTGAACGACGTAACGAAGCAGTGCTTTTCGCCGCTCCAAGACGAGTCCTTGGGCCCGTTGGCTTTGTTGATCGACTCCACGTCCCAGCCCGTGCCGCCGTTCTTCAAAATCGTCCAATTGCCGCGCTCGCGCAGACCCGACTCACCGGAATGGTTCTTCAACAGATTTTTGTACATCGGCAGACCCGCGCAGATGAGATAATAGGTGGTCCACTCGGCCGCGGGAAGTGCCTTGCCGATCGCGCGCTCGGCCTTCTTTCGCCAGACGAAGCCGCGTATCATGCTGTTCCAGTCTTTGCAGACGAAGCGGCATCGCGGCAGAGTTCGATTGTCGACGTGACTGAGAATCTCGATCCAGATCTCGTCGGGGATGTATCGATTGATGCTCGCAGGAGGCGACGGCGACGACGAATCGACTTTTGCCCTTTTCGCCTGTGAGTTTTCGAAAAATATCGAATCGATTTTTGCAATAACAATTTTTTCCATTTCGTCACTAATGAATATTTTATAAAATAAAAATCCATATTTCTCGAATGATTATAAACCAAAAGCTATTCTGATCATTTTCCGTGCGATATTTAACGAAGTAAAAATCGTTAAACAGTCGAAAAACACTATTGTTCAACAAACACAAAATTGTTCTTTACTTTTATTCGAATGAATCGATTTTAACTTTTAAAAATTCATTCGTTTCGCTTCTTCGTGTACAATGAAATGATGAAAAATTTAAGTTTTTTTCTTATAACAATTAGACAACTATTGCGATCTAATTTTCCTATCGAAATTCGTGAACAGCATCCAAAAAAACAGTTATTAAGCTTTAAAGTACTCAGCAGAGCTGAAAAATCACCGAAACCTTTATATTACGCATAATTTATATTATATACTCCAACCTCGTGAAATATCGCGGACTATACATCCGAAGCGGAGGAAATTTTCGTACATAGGACGACGTTAATTACAAGTACGATTCTCGGCGATTTTGGAAATATCAATACATTTTATTCCGAGTGTCGAGATAATTAATGCACTTACTTACCGGCGTTGTCATTTGGAGATTGATTAATTACACGATCATCGAACGAGTTCTCGAGTTTTTGATCCTGAACCCTTCGCAACGACTCGGCAAGAGGAAAGTTTCAATTTTTTGGGAATGAAATTGTTTTTCAGATCTACAAACGCACAGCAGCTAATCTAACACGAAAAATAGGCGTTTGTTATTGTAGCGTGCAAATATACACGTAACCGCGTGTGCATCTTATGCCACTGACGCCACTTCATCAGCTGTGCCGTATGTATAGCGACGTAAACGGCGGCACGGCACAAAAGACGACGATGTGTGCTTACTGTGCATACCTACGAGTATGAATTGTGGTATGTGCGTGGCGCTATGACACTATGCAGCTGCAAAGTCGGCGGCATTTTACGAACCAAACTTTTTTTTTATAACACTTCAATGATAGGAATATCAGTTACCAATTCCGAAAGTTTAGGAGCTGAGAAGTAAATTTTCCTACATTTTGAACGAACTCATACCTTATTTTTTTTATAAAATTACTATTTTCCGTGAATTTAAAATTGACAAGTTTTTCTAACGACTGCATCTTTTCATAATTAGACTGTAATTTGTTCTACAGATACATCAACAGGGAGAAACATAGAAAAAAATAAAGTTTTTAAACACATAGAATTAATTAAAAGAATAGAAGTACTTTATTTCAAGCAAACTTACGGATATAAAAAAAATTACATTCAAGTATAAATTCGAAACCATGAATAAAAGTACCCTATTTTTAATTTTACGTTTTTTTTTAAATATTAAAATAACTTAAATAAATCATTCGATAGTTAAAGCAAACACCAATTCGGTTATATCACATCAATTATAAAAGAATAAACTTTCGCACTAGTTTAACAATAAAAATATCAATTTTATAAATATTTAAATACATCATTCATCATTTTAAGATAATAACTTTTAATCTTGCATAAAAAAATGCCTATATAATTTTAATTTGTAAACATACTTTTCAAAAAAAATTTTTTAGGTAACTGTGATTAAAATGATTGCTTTTTTTTAAGCTTTCAAAATATTATAAATAAAAAAATTAATTTGATAATAATACCAAGCAATTCGTTCAGAAACATACCCGGGAACTAAAATTTCTTCATATAAATATGAATTGTAAATATTGTTACAGTTAAAATACCGAATATACAATAAATAAAAGATAAAAAAATTTTCTCTAAAATTGCTAACCAACTTCATAACGTCGACCTGTATTAGCACCATCGTCATGAGCTGTGATGGAAACAATATTTTCATTTTCTGTTGGTATTGGAGCAACATTTTCATTTTGCGTTAATATACCGAAACAAACTCTTGTGTTTTGCCAAACAGGCTTTCCTCCCAATCAAAATTCGAGGGGTCATAAAGTGTTTTAAAATCGAAAACTTTCAATTTCGATGATTTATCCTGATAGTTCGGCCAATCGTGTTCTTCTCCTTTCTCCCAGAATTCCAGCAACTTTGTGGCCGGTTCACTTCTCGTTTTTTTGCAGAACGAACAGATTTCATTCGATTCGGCTTCATTCCAAATTTCATTGTGGCAGTCATCGAGGAGGCGAATCTCGTACTGAGTAAAAGAGAAAAAAAAGTTAGCATGAATGGTGAAAAAAAATCGCGTTTTCATTAATAAGGAAAAAAACTTACCACGTTGAGACTCCCTGCAAACATGCGAATTATGTAGTAGTACTGTATTATTGTGAATGCAGCCAAAGTAAATTTCGATGGTATGCACACCTCGTAATCACAGAACAGCGGTTGGAGCATCAAACTATCTTCGATTTCCATCCAATCGGTCGACTTTTCATCTTCCTCGTCTTCTACCGACGTAGATGTACGATCATTTTCGTACTGCAAAGAAATACAATACAATGATCACACAATTTTCATCAAGTTATACACATATATGCTTTCAAACAGTTACAGATGGTAATTTTTTCAAGCAGCTCATTTTCATTTTTAAGCGGCGGAGGGCTCGAGAGATTAAACTCGCGTGAAGTTTATTATTTTTATTTTCATCGCATCCTGTATGAAAAAAAAACAATGAATGTGTGTGCGACAACGTTCACATGCATTTTTTTTCGAGCGAAAATATTTATCTTTTGAGTATATAATATTAAACGCGTGTTTCAAGATTCACTATAGCATAGTTGAGCAATAGAGAGAGAGAGGAATAATCACATCGTTCTGTTATATCGAGTAGCCGAAAAAAAAATTAAAGTACCATAACTATAGCTCTTCGGCTCATAAGTTTACATTAACGTATAATTACCTGATTGAAGCAGCACAAGCCATGCAATTTGAACTCCAGCTCGTGGAGGTAATCTTTCGTCACAACCATTTTTTTTTGTTGAGTCGGAAAATCGAACAACACAAAACGAAAAAACACTGCAACCGGCACAAAAAATAAACTTGAAATTTTAGCTGGTATTTAGCTAGTATTTTAGCTAGATATTCGAAGTAGTCGATCGACAATTTTGTAAGGCACAGAAGCTTCGAATGAGGTTTCTGAATGAGATGCATCGACTTATATCTATGGTGAAAAGAGCTAACGAGATAACTCCATTTTTTTCGAAATCGAGTTAATGACATGAATTACCTATTTGTTATATGTCTACTTGAAGGTACAAGAGTCAGAATAGACGAGTATAGCACCTATCGTTAAATATAACACATTGCCTAACGAGATAAGTTCATTTCGCTGCAAACGATTCCCGGCCGAACTTGATAAGTCCACCTTTGCGAGCTCCAAAATGCGATAAAGAGTCTACTTTGATTTGAAAATGGAAGAAAATGATATTCCAACATACAAATGGCTCTCACACTCTTCGAATGTTGTGAATTTCACTATACGATTGGTACATTTGATACGCGAGGGGCC